GTGGACGACAGGGGGCGGTGTGTGCGAGTGGTCATCGTCGTCATTACTCGATTACTACAGTAGTTATTACCACCATCGCAACAGTATCATCACCACCACCACCTTCTTCATCACCACCACTATCATTATCAACATTCACCACCACCATCATCACCAACATCATTGAAACCGTCACACCATCGCAACAGTATCATCACCACCGCCGCCTTCTTCATCACCACCACCATCATCACCAACATCAACATTCACCACCACCATCATCACCACCACCACCATCACCACCATCATCGTCGTCGTCATTCTCAACACTATCACCATCATTACCAACACCACCATCATTACCACCACCACCATCATCACCACCATCATCGTCGTCATTCTCAACACTATCACCATCATTACCAACACCACCATCATTACCACCACCAGCACCATCATCACCACCATCATTGTCGTCATTCTCAACACTATCACCATCATTACCACCACCACCACCATCATTACCACCACCACCATCATCACCACCATCATCGTCGTCATTCTCAACACTATCACCATCATTACCACCACCACCACCATCATTACCACCACCACCATCATCACCACCATCATCGTCGTCATTCTCAACACTATCACCATCATTACCAACACCACCATCATTACCACCACCACCATCATCACCACCATCATCGTCGTCATTCTTAACACTACCACCATCATTACCAACACCACCATCATTACCACCACCACCATGATCATCGTCGTCATTCTCAACACTATCACCATCATTACCACCATCATCACCAATATCATTGAAACCGTCACAGAACTCAGTTTGACTGAGCCAGTGGTCGGCAACCAAAATAAGAAGCAGAGATATGATGATATTCCCTAAAAAACATTTCAAGTGCCGCAATGCCACGCGGTGAATAAGTGACGGTGGGTCCTCAATAAATAACGTCCGGTGCAGTCCTTAAAGAGCCTGAGCCATGGCCTGGAATCGAACTCACGTCGGGATCGAGTGTGCAGATCACTCTGTGCCACTGCTCCCCACACCCCTGCTATAATACCACACTTGGAACACGCGAACACGACATTTGTTTCAGTCCATGGGCTTTCTAGGCCAATGTTTTCCATCACAACTTTTGAGACTGTTTCGACCATCTGGGTCTCATCAGCAGAGTTCCGGATTTGCAGAACACGTGGTGGTAATTGGCAAGAGCATTTCCACGTACAAACGATGTTGGTGGTCCTGTTGAAGTCAAATAAACAATATTGTATATAATTTACGATCTCATCAGAATCACATTTTATTTAGTTATTCTGGAGAAACCCGATTAGCTATAAAGCTCTTTTTTCACAAATATCCAGTAGGGGCAGGTCAAAAAGTTACAATAATAAAAAGAATGATAGGAGTGCAAAGTATAGGAAAGGGAAATAAATTCATGAAATAAATAAGGTATATTAAGTACAAATTGCGTAAATAAATTAATTCCTAAGCTTGGACAAAGCAGCAATCACAGGGAAATGTAAAATCAAATACAAGCAAAGGTCAGTCCCGTGTCAGCTTCCTCATCATCATAATCTGCATCATCATCATCTGCATCATCATCATCATCTGCATCATCATTGTCTTCATCATCATCATCCGGTCTTATTGTTCTATGGTGCAACCTTTGGGCCTTACTTCTTTGGGTCCAGCTTAGATGCGGCAGCAATCTCTTCTGTGAGCAATACATTTCGAGTGCCAGTGTTTTAGGGTCCGCCCATAAATGACGTCACGCGATTTTGGACGATTTTTTACAGCCCTCGTCACACGGCGTCACAAAAAGTCAGACCCCCCCCTCAAATATGACGTCACAAAGCTCTGCCCCCCCCCCCCCAAATAAATAAAACATGCTTCAAATCGCTTTAAACTATTGTCATTGCAGTGCGTATTTAATGTGGCGCTGCACTCTGATGTTGTAGGAGAAAACATTTATTAAAAAGTCTATTTAATTAAGTAGAACGTGTTTATATTTATTTAAAGTTGCGCATTTTGATGTGACGTCACATTTCTCAAACCCCCCACCCCCTCGTCACACATCGTCACAAATGTCTGACCCCCCCCCCCCTACGTGCGTGACGTCATTTATGGACGGCCCCTTATCTCTTGTCGGCCCTTTTTATTACACGCTTTTATTTAACTCTGTTGTCGTATCCTCAAAAAAATATTTTAACTCAATTTTTACCCACTTCCCAATGTGCTATCGACTGCAAACTTGGTATACTTATGTCATACTCATGACAAGACTATATTCTATCATTGAAATTTTAAAATATATATATTTTTAACATTTTACACACTTTTTTTATTTGACTCACTGTCTGTTATATCCTCAAATCTTGTAACTCAATTTCAACCATCTTCCCAATGTCGTATCGACTGCAAACTTGGTCTAGGTGTGTCATACTGATGACAAAACTATATTCTATCATTAAACATTTTTAAAAATATTTTTAAACAATATTTTTTACGACTCTAATTGTCCACGCTCAACTCACGTTGGCTGTAAATCACCACGTGGTCCCTTACGTCACGGCAAGCCTCGGGGAGCCACGCCCAGGGGCGGGGGATGTGGAAGGAGGGGAGGGGCGATGGGGGAAGGGGGTAGGGGAAGGGGCAGCTCGGACAGTACATTTCATTAAAACGTGTTTTAATTTTTTATTATTAAATATTTTATTCAATGTCCAAGTCTCACAAAGCTGTACAGGAACACACATTGCTCCGAGCATGTTCAGTTGTACAAACCGTCAGGCGCCGTGAATGTGAAAACCAGCGGTCAAATAAAAGATGAAACGGACTTAAAGGTTGGGGGTAGGGTCAGTAGTAAGCAGCAATACGTTTGCGGTTGGTTAATTTGGCTAAAGTTTGTGAACATAACTAAGTAACTAGTGATGTTTAGGCCTGTTGGTTAGGGAGTAGGGATGGCATTCGTGAGTGATTTGCTACTTGTTTAAGGGGTGGCTGGTTGCTGACCCCGTGACCCTACTGGGACGTCTGTTGACAAAGAGCTTCACAGCTCATCGGATTTCTCCTGCAGCCCAAATAAAGTATTCTGGTTGGCTGGGTTGGTTTGGGATCGTAGTAGCGGCTGCCCGGGCAACACAGCACGTTACTGCGACGTTGTCAAAAGGTTGTAGTTTGGTTATGTTTGAATACATTTTTTTTATCCAACGTCATCACGACGTTTTACCAAAATAACAGTGACGATGCCCTTTCATGCATGTTGGGTTTTTGTTTTTAGCAGTGTGGATTATACAACGTTTGTAGAATTGTTGCATAAACGTTGCGACTTTGTGTAGTAGAGCTGGCGGGAAATAAAATCAAGTAAAACTTTATTCCTGGGTTAAGTTTTAGGTTCATAGGTATATTTTCTGCACGTTGTTGTGCACATATCCCGTATGTTAGTGTGCTTGTACTTGCCAAAACATTACTTTGTGGTTGCAGAAAATCTATCTGGATGCACGTGTTACTTCTTCATATGTTGCACATGTTACTTGATATGTTACACATGTAACGTTACACGTCACTTGCACCTCTCATTGTACACTGCAATGGTTGTGTAGCTTCTACATGTGTAGCTGTAGCAACTACCACGTGTAGTAGCTACCACATGTAGCACCTACACGTGTAGTAGCTACCACATGTAGCACCTACACGTGTAGTAGCTACCACATGTAGCAGCTACACGTGTAGCACCTACACATGTAGTAGCTACACGTGTAGTAGCTACCACGTGTAGCACCTACACGTGTAGTAGCTACCACGTGTAGTAGCTACCACGTGTAGCACCTACACGTGTAGCACCTACACGTGTAGTAGCTACCACATGTAGCACCTACACGTGTAGCAGCTACACGTGTAGCACCTACACGTGTAGTAGCTACCACGTGTAGCACCTACACGTGTAGTAGCTACCACATGTAGCAGCTACACGTGTAGCACCTACCACGTGTAGCACCTACACATGTAGTAGCTACACATGTAGTAGCTACACATGTAGTAGCTACCACATGTAGCACCTACACGTGTAGTAGCTACCACATGTAGCAGCTACACGTGTAGCACCTACACGTGTAGTAGCTACACGTGTAGTAGCTACCACGTGTAGTAGCTACCACGTGTAGCACCTACACGTGTAGCACCTACACGTGTAGCAGCTACCACGTGTAGCACCTACACGTGTAGCACCTACACGTGTAGCACCTACACGTGTAGTAGCTACCACGTGTAGCACCTACACGTGTAGTAGCTACCACACGTGTAGCACCTACACGTGTAGCAGCTACCACACGTGTAGCACCTACACGTGTAGTAGCTACCACATGTAGCACCTACACGTGTAGCACCTACACATGTAGTAGCTACTACACGTGTAGCAGCTACTACACGTGTAGTACCTACAGATGCTACGGGACCCGCACTTTGAAGGGCCCCGCGCTAAATGCTTCCAAGCTATCAATTCCGGTTCAGTAATTCTGCACTTGCTCTATTACTATAGTACTATACCACCTTCGACTTTTACGAAGGACTGGGTGTTTAAGCTTAACGATTTGTCGTATTATCTGGGCTGTATAGCAAATGAAATAATACATTTGCTTTACTTTCCAAGTAAAAAAATGTGTGTTTTAATATGTATGGGTTTTTTTTTTATTTCGGGCCCCTTTATAACAAATGCTACAGGCCCCGCACTAGCTTAGCCCGGCACTGCTGCCAGCAAACATTGAGGGCACAACGAGCTGCGTTGTTTGTAACTCGCGCAAGAAAAGTTAGACGTGCCACAAACAACAACACTTGTGCCAGGCTAGGTGCACGTTGAGACCACACACGACGTTGGCGCAACGTTTGGCTACCGACCACGCAACTTTGGTGGGTGGAAGTGCCCAGATCCACCACCACCTAACAAACCCCGCGGCCTTTAGCAGTCAACATTTAAACGTCGGACGAACTTTGCGGTTTAAATCGTTGAAGAAACCTCCAACGTTGTCCCGACGTTCCGTTACAAACTGTGAGGCTGTTGAAGGGAACTTTGATACTTGTGAGGGGAGTGCGGCTTGTGTGTGCATCGCCTCACGTGTACGTAACGAAGTGAGTGTTTATTTTTGTTTATTAATGTTATAAGTTTTATTTAAACGTTGTTTATATATTTTTTTTATAAATCTCGAAACACGTTTTTATGATACAAATGTATTAACTTGCCTATGAAGCACAATTACGGAGTAATCCATAGCAGCCTATGTCCATTCTAAACCACAAGCATGTTAATTATATACGTTTTAAAACACGCAATACTGTATCAAAATATATACATAACACGCGATAGTATTACAGCATCGAACTTTAATCAAAGCTCTGAAGCGATTTTTTGTAACAAACTAAATTTCCCGCCAAAAGTAACGGCCAAGTCCCGAGGCGAATTTACGTACAGTGCTGCGTACTGTACCACCAGCGTCGACCACAACACCCACCCATCCCCCACTCGTGCCCGCCGCACTTGCCCCGAGAGCTCGTGGGTTACCCCTTTGCCTTTTGTGTGGGGGAGCGGTGGCGCTGCGATTCGCGCGCCGCCCGTGGAACCCCCCCCCCCGTGTTCGACCCCCCCCCCCCCTGTGTTCGACCCCCCCCCCGTGTTCGACCCCCCCCCCGGGTTCGACCCCCCCCCCCGTGTTCGACCCCCCCCCCGGGTTCGACCCCCCCCCGTATTCGACCCCCCCCCGGGTTCGACCGCCCCCGTGTTCGACCCCCCCCCCCGTGTTCGACCCCCCCCCGTGTTCGACCCCCCCCCCGGGTTCGACCCCCCCCCGGGTTCGACCGCCCCCCTATTCGACCCCCCCCCCCCGTGTTCGACCCCCCCCCCCCCCGTGTTCGACCCCCCCCCCTTTGTTCGACCCCCCCCCCCGTGTTCGACCCCCCCCCCGGGTTCGACCCCCCCCCCGGGTTCGACCCCCCCCCCGGGTTCGACCCCCCCCCGGGTTCGACCCCCCCCGTGTTCGACCCCCCCCCCGGGTTCGACCCCCCACCCGTGTTCGACCCCCCCCCCCGGGTTCGACCCCCCCCCGTGTTCGACCCCCCCCCCGGGTTCGACCCCCCCCCCGTGTTCGACCCCCCCCCCCCCGGGTTCGACCCCCCCCCCCCCGGGTTCGACCCCCCCCCCCCGGGTTCGACCCCCCCCGAGTTAGACCCCCCCCCCTGGCCGCCACAGACACCGAAATCTCTGAGCCGCTCCACCCGGCAGGTCGCCTCCGCCTCAAGACGAGTGGGGGGGGGTCCCCGCTGCGGTGTCGCAGTGAAACATCGCCACTTTGGGGGGAGACAAAGACGGCTGTGCGCACGTGGTCGATGCCCCCCCCTCCGTACTTCGGATGACATTGGTCACGAAAGCCTTACGTGTTAAACCGACTCGATACTAACAATCTCTTGCCCCCCCCCCCCCCACAAAATAAAAGTAATGCTTGGGTTAGGGGCCGTCCATATATGACGTCACGCACCTAGGGGGGTGGGGTCAGACATTTGTGACGGGGGGGGGGGGTAAGAAATGTGACGTCACATCAAAATGCGCAACTTTTAATAAATATAAACACGTTCTACTTAATTAAATTGACTTTTTAATAAATGTTTTCTCCTACAACATCAGAGTGCAGCGACACATTAAATACGCACTACAATGACAATAGTTGAAAGCGATTTGAATCATGTTTTTTTTTTGGGGGGGGGCAGGCAGAGCTTTGTGACGTCATATTTGAGGGGGGGGTCTGACTTTTTGTGACGATGGGGGGGGGGGGTAAAAAATCGTCCAAAATCGCGTGACGTAATTTATGGACGGCCCCTTACAACGGGGATCATGATGATCTTGCCGTGTGCAGTCGTGGTCACGTGGCATCGTGTGCGTGTGTCGAGCTGTCCGGCTCCTGCACACCAACAACCCCAACACCCCCCCCCCCCCCGTTGAGCCATTTCATTGAGGCTATTTCATAATTATATTTATCAGAGCGTGTTTTTTGTTTGCACGTTCAAGCCACAAGTACGTGTTGTTAATTCAGGCGGGGTGCCTTGCTAAAAGGTTTCTGTTTGGTGTTCTAACATCTTGACAGCTGTTTTATTGCCAGAAAGGGTAAAACCTATTCTTAAATTTTGATAACTGGCAAGGTCCCAATATTTCTGTTGGTTCACGTGCTGTTCGCGAGTTGCCAAGCAGCGATGAACGTACCTGTCAATCCATACGGGTTACCACTAATTATTGTACAACCCTCACCTCCCTCCTCTTATCTCCCTCCCTGACCTCATTTACCTCCCTGCGATATTTTCATGTAGTATGAGCGAGAGTTTTGATGATACGATAGCCTGATAAAGAGTACCCCACACTTGCAATCAGCGAGTGAACGAAAATACCTGTCAACCCATACGGTCACCTCGTATTCTTGTGCAGGGAAATTGCGTTTTCAGGTCCACAATACAGGCAAAAAAATGCGTCTCGTTTGTGACTTTTTAGGATGAACTTTGAGATTTATAAGGGCACAGAGTGACCAATAAGGTCTGAATTGGTCTGTAATAAGGTAGGCACTGATAAGGGGTTTGACAGGTTTGTATGAAGGCCACCACCGCTCATCACCGGGGTGTGGGGTGGCTAGCACCACGCAAGCCCAGCTGCCTTTGTCTCCCCGGTGATGACGTTTAGACAATGCACCGGGTACTCATTCAAAGGCTGAGTTGACCTCTAGGAAGGCTTCGCACCGGGTTCAGATATTTGTCACTGATGTTGGCCGTGAGCGATAATTGAACTCATACATTCATGTTATGTACGTGTGCTCGAATAACATGTTATGAAAAAAGGTTTAGCATAACACAAAATGTATCTTTTGTGCTATGACAATGCCATTTGCGTGTCCACGTTTGCAGTTACAATTTGTTTTGCTTGCTGAACTAAAATTGTTCAGCAATTTAACGAAATATAACTACTCCGCAATTGCAATTTCATGATGGTATTCAAGTGCCAATCAAATTGATGTGTTTAGCTTTTGCGGTTGGCGGAGCATTAGAGCTCGAATTCACATTCTACCCACATTACCTACGATCCAACCCGAAAGAAAACAATTGCGCATCATATTGAACTGTGAAAGCTCACAGGAAAATGAAAAGAGATATTAGATTTTTACATTTTGTCATTTTCAGAGACAGCTACACAAAAGCACTGCACCTCGTCCGGAGGGAGATCACAGGTGACATTGAATATGGAGAATATTGATGCACAGAGACAAAATAGACTGTCAAATAATCCACATCAATACCATAACTCATCAGGAAGCGAGAATTATGACGGTGAGCATATAATTATGATATATATTGATTGTGATTAATCTTTTTTTTCCAGCTGTCAGAATATTACTGCATCAGCATTGTTACTTTAAAATTAAACTAAATATTGCATTTGGCGCATGTTTACCTCCCTATCAGTGGCTATGTTCTGTATTTCCACATGTGATGTAGATGAAGGAGAGAAGCCAAATAAGAAAATGAGAGTTGCAGTTATGTCAGTCGAGGCCATTCAGTGCTGCTCAATGGTGGGCCTGCCATTGCCACCAGAATTCATCACTCACCCAGCTCTGTCTGAGTTTTGCTCACAAACAAGTGGTATGTGCATCTTAAGACTTGTGTAAATATAGCATACAGGAATCTTTGAGGCAGTAAATATGTCAGTCACTCAATGGAAGGCATTGAAATACAGGCTCACTCGCTCCTGAGTGAAAAAGAAGCAAAATGGCCTAGTCATAATTGGTTATGAATAACAACAGTGTTCCAGCCATGCTTAACATTGCCTGAGGACTTTTTTAGTGTCCTCAAATATGCAAGCCATTGCAATGTTTTGGCAAATGGTGAAACTATATATATATTTTCTCTCTTGATATTGTTTCCCCTGACAATTTTGTTTTATTCACAGCCTCAACGTCCAAAGACATACTTCACATGATTAGAACCCCTTCGCCGCTTGGACAGACGTCAACAGGAAGTTCACGACCAGGGAGCTATTCAATAGAAGGTGAAAAAGGTCAGAATGTGTCCTGTATTGTGATGCCATTAACCTGAGGTACTGCTCTGGGAATTGCAGCAGAATTTTCAAAAATTTAAGCCATTGTAAATTTGGCTGAATTATGCAATTAGATGTTGGCTTCATAAACTAATTTTGTGACTGTATCTACAGATCGGATTTACCAAGTACACACTCATACCCCACAGAGGCACAACTTAAGTGTGTTACTTTTACAATTGTGTTATATTCTATTTTTTTAAATCACTTGTTACATTCACAAAAACATATATAATGAGTTATGTCTATTTTAAATTAATACCAGGAAGGATTTTTTTTTAAATTGTGTACAACTGCAGATTTCAATATTAATGAAATTGTAAACACGAGAAATACTAATTAATATAATTCCTGACTTACAGATTACAAGAGCAAAGTTCTACTCAAACTGGACATCATTATAGAAAACCAGGCGGAGCAATTGCACCTTTTGCAAACACTTGCAAACAAAGCGGTTGTAAATGAGACCTTAGAGGATGTTCTTCCAAACCCATTCAACACGACTGATGAACTTGAAGAGCTTTGCTGTAGAATTAGCACAGACAACAAACTCAAAAAGCAAATGGTATATTACTTTTGGTAAATGCAAAAGAAATATGTGCTTGTATAATATTGTTTTAACATTATAAGTAACAAAGTCCATCGGTTTAAGGTGTACTTTAGTGAATGTAAGAAAGTGTATGGTGTATTAAATAAAGCAATGTTATGTTCAGAAGTATTTTCTTCTCAAAATAGCTTAATTATCTTCACAGATATCCCATCTGAGTTCACTGGGTGGATGTAACGTTGGGGACAGTGTCCACCGAATGATGAGAACGCTCGGCACCAATGCCATGTGGTCAAAGTACAGCCTCAAAGGGAGGAAAGGGAAGCTGTCCCTAATAGATCTTCCAGTTTTCATGGTGCTGACGAGTAAGTATGTTGCGTTATAATAATGCTTTTTTTTTCTTGTTGATAGAAAGCAAGTCCGTTTTTCATGTTATTTTTATTCAGTGAAGCACATTTCCTTGTGGAACTGACATTCATATGAGAAAGTGGCTTTTGTGGTGTAATTCAAATGTTATGGGCAATCACTGCAGATATTTCATGATTTTATTTAGCATTTATATATCCCAAAAATGTGATTTTTTTTACGGTGTATACTTAAACTAGATACATTTTTTATGAATGAAAATCAATCGGTACTTTGAGCATATATAAAAAAAAAATTAGTCCTATATGTATAAATTGTTTTAAATATATACAGGAGCTTGCTTAAAGAACCACCCAAGAGCAAAGGTGAAGGAAATAGAGGGAGAGATTGCAGAAACCCTGAAGCATGCTCCCAACAAACGAGGAGGGGCAAATTACAAGGTGATGTCCATGCTGCTCATCTTTGTCGAGGTTCATCTTCTTGGTTCTTTCGGTAAAGTCACGTAGAAGGGAAGTAATAAAATAATAAAAATTAAACATAAAATAATTCTCACGACGTTTCGGCCACAACGCTGTCTCCCCGACAGACCTGTTCTCCACCTGAGGACGGCTGCTTGCGTTGTGGCCGAAACGTCGTGAGAAGTATTTTATTATGTTTCTATTTTTATTATTTTATTACTTCCCTTCTACTTGACTTTACCGAAAGAACCAAGAAGATGAATCCCTGCAGTCACGAAAGCTTTAAATCGAAATTTGTCGAGGTTGTTAAATCTGTTTGGTAATTTGCTTTGCTTGGGTACGGTTAATCTTTCTCCTTTGGTATCATTTTTGACTTTCAGTCCTGTAAATTATTACAAAAACAAGTTTTCACTGATAACATATCAATCAGACATCAGTATTCAAATGTAAATATATTTGTCAGGACCCGAAAGGTTTAAAACATTTTCCTACAGTTTAACTTTTTATTCCTTCCACTGACACATTTTAATTTAGAATGTTATATTTGTCAGGATAGAATACACTTGGCTGTAGCATTGTGTAACTGAAGTCCATTGAATGTATATTTCTCATCCTTTCATAAACTAAACCACAATTGTGGTTTAGTTTATTCTGACCTCTTAAATGTATTAACCATATGCTTTATGTATGTGGGTCAACTGATGTTTGAAATTTTGACTTAAAACTTTTGTGACTGCAGGAATTCATATTCTATGGTTCTTTCGGTAAAGTCACGTAGATAGAAAAAATAATAACAATAAAATAATAAAAATGAAAATAAAGTGAATAAAAAATATTACGATGTTTCGATCGCAACACAAGCGGCCGTAATCAGGAACAGGATGACGACCACTTGTGTTGCGATCAAAACGTCGTGATTTTTTTTTATTCACTTTTTTTATTATTATTATTATTTTATTATTTTTTATATCTACATGACTTCACCGAAAGAACCATAGAATAAGATGTTTGAAATGTTGAATTGCAAATAATATTTTTTTCCAAAATTGAAAAATTACCGTGTAGAAATAAAAACACGATGTGATTTTTGCTCCTTGCAGAAACTACTAAAATTTGCAATATTTACCTTGAATACTAAATGTGTGGAAGGAAAATTATGGTCCTAAAGAAATATATATTAAATAGGCCAAAACCTATTAAATAGGTGAAGACATCTCTTATTTACTTTGTATGCACACACTGGTCTAAGAAATTTGCAGGTATTGTACAAAATATATATTCCACATGGGAGTCTGTGTTTACAAGTGTGATAACGGTGGCATTGAATTCACATTGTTGCTAATTTGAAACGTATTCCTTTCAGGAATCTGAAGTCAGGACTTTAAGAAATGAGCACCAGTCCAGCCTTCCCTTGTCTTTCTCTGACACTGATCTTTGCAATTATTAAATCAATACAACCTTCAAATACCATTTGTAAAAGTTTCATATCTTGGCCTATATATATAAAAGCAATTTAAAGTAGCTGACATTAATGGCAAAATGTTATCTCTAGCTTCTGTACTATATTAGTTTAAGTGTATATTATTTGTACTCAATTTGTACTTTTTAGAGTGAAAATAAATGTTTAATGTCACTTATATGTTTCGTGAAATTTTCTACACAATTCATTCATCCCTTTAATGTAGAAATGCAACAGTGCATTGTTATTCTGCAATGTTGTGGAAACGTAATTCAAACCGTACAACTTAACGTTGGTGCAACGTTGAAGTCTAACGTTACCGTAACCATACCGGAACATTATAGCAACATTGCTCAATTGTAGAACTGTTAGCTGGGTGGTTAGCAAGTTGTTTCGGGTTTTAACCAAGTCTTATCGTGGTTGCTTTTGTGGCAATATCTTGATATTGACTAAAAATAAGATCCATTTTCATTCTAAACCTTTTAACATAATCCAGGCATGACTTCAACACAGGTATGACGGAGGCAGAGTCCGATTACAGTTCCAGGGGGGGAGGGGCATTTAATTTTAAACCCAAGAGGAGAAATCGTTCCTGCCGTGTTTACATTTTGACCCACATGTCATCGCATGTGATGGACAGCACGTGAATGGCGGTCTGGTACAGGGACCGAGGCACATACCTGTCAAGCCCTTATCAGTGCCGACCTTATGACAGACCAATTCAAACCTTATTGGTCACCCCGTGCCCTTATACATCTCAAAGTTCATCCTTCAAAGTCCCATCACAAGGGAGAAACACAGGCTATATAGGGTTTTGCCCGGGTGTACGCCGTATGGACCTGAAAACTAAAATTTCCCTGCACAAGAATATGGGTAAAGTGTATGTGGTTGGTTGACATGTATGGGAGGCAGGTGTTCGTTCACACGCTGATTGCAAGCGTGGGTTACCCTCATCAGGTTTCTGTATCATCAAATAAAATAGGAGGGAGGTGAGGATTGGAGATGAGGCGGAGGGAATAGACAGCAAGGGACGGAGAGAGAAAAGGGCATGAAACGTTGAGGAAAGAGCAAAAGGGGAGACAGGGAGGGAAAGTGACAAGCAGCGGGATAAGGTTAACGAGGTCTGAGAGAAGGGGAGATGTAGGGTGGGTGAGATATATTGGAGGGAGAGGGGGACAGGAATTGATAAACAATTAGAATCAAAGACAAAGCGAAACTATGAAGCATTATAGCTCCCAATTAGTGAAAATGTAAAGTACCATTTTAAAAATATAACAGCAGACATTAAATATTTTTTTAAATGTAAGGATTTTTTGCACACAGGTGTTGTACGGTGCTTTTTCTGCAATTTTTGCTGGATTTTCTTGGATTTTCTGTTTGCACTTAGTCACATAGTCACTTTAAGATGTTTTCTTGTTCATGTTTTTTGTTTGTTGCACCCGATTCAAGAGCGAATGGCTCACAGGGCTATACCACCAAATAAATGAAACTGAAAAATAAAGTTACTTATCTATTTTTCTAATTCACTAGGGCTGTCACAATCACGAGTTATTGTTGAGAGTTAAAGTTAAATGCGTCAATACACCACCAATGTCAATAGTTGGATCAATATTTAGCTATGATCCCTGCATACACCGTTAACCAAATATAATCAATTCGAGTAATTAATCAGTGAATGTGAGTTTCACATAGCATGTACCAACTCCGAATGCTGATGAGACCCATGAGATAAAAAACAATTTAAAGCTAACTTGCTAACACAAATGTTGCTGTATAGTACACGACAATATTGTTCTGGAGCGCCAATAGACTGACAGGACTAAAATATTTCCAATGTGGAGATAGAATTACCTAAATTGAAATACTTGTGTGATACATTACTGCTGGTTGGCACTGGTTGCATAAACACGATGGCACATCTATGTGCTCTTACCATACCTGTCAACCCCTTATCAGTGCCTACCTTATTACAGGCCAACTCGGACCTTATTGGTCATCCCCTGCCCTTATACATCTCAACGTTTAACCTACAAAGTCCCATCATAAGGGAGAAACACATCGACCAAACAACACGTTCCCGTATTGAAACGAATGTACGCCGTATGGAACCGATAACTCAAATTTCCCCGCACATAAGCACGGAGGTAAACCGTGTGGGTCGGCAGGTATGTGACACCTATGTGCTCTTATGAGCAAAATTGGAACATTTTGCTTAATTCCAGAGCAGCGTTACCCGCTACCGAAAAATATAAAATAGCGCGTTTCCTCGTCCGTCTCAGGGCGCACGAGGTCTAAGCTGCGTGCTTCCGGTGCGCGAGAGACCCGTATGTAGCCCCGCCCCCCTGATCCCCCTTCCTCCTACCCCAACCCCCCGCCTCGCCTCGCCCCGCCCCGCAAACAACATGTCGCGCGCTCGCGTCTTTTCCCGCCAACTAATCTCGCGCTCTCCGCTGCCCTCCCTCGGTCACGTGCCAGCGCCTCGACCAATGGGGCAACGCGGGCTTCGGCGCGCGCGCTCGGCGGGAGGAAAGCCGGGGGGGCGGGGTTACAGGGTTGTGTGTGTAAATGGGCGGGGGTTTAAGAAAAAGAGGGCGGGGCTTTGAGAAAGAGGCGGGGTTTAAGTGAAAATGGGCGGGGTTTAAGTGAAAATGGGCGTGGTTTGGGAGAAAAGGGGCGGGGCTTTGGAGGAGGGCTTGCGATGGTGGAGGGGGGGGGGGCTTACAAGAGACCCCGGGGCGGACAAAGACGGCGCGGCGAGCCGGGCCGACTGGGCTGTGATCTTACGGCAGCCGTTCACTCACGCGGACGAGCTTCACTGCGGTCAGTGAACGCGGTCGTGTTGACAGAACAACAACAAATCGCTTAATTTTTGCCGCCACGCAGTCGCGTCGTTTTTTGGCGTCTCGCGAGGTCGACATTTTGTCGTCTTTCCACCTCCTCCTCCCCCCCACCCCTTCGCGCGCATGGACGTGACCCGAGTCGCCGTGTGTTGTTATCGCGGCCGCCCGCCATGGCGCCTCTCTCTCTCTCGTGTGTGCAGCAGGACTAGAAGACCGGAGTTGACGAGGGGTGAGACGACGAGGTGGAGGAGGAGAAGACAAGCTTGTCCCGCGTTGTTTTCCCCGCTGCTCTAGTTGAGGCTGAGGCGATGTCCGACACGGGCGGTAAGTGAGAGACGTAGCGGCGGTGGCGGGTGACGAAAGGCGGGAGAACTGTGGGGATATGGAGGCGGCTAGGCCCGTGGCTTATCAAGCCCGAGACCCATCCCCACGTTGCTCGTGGTTGCCCACGGGTCTTGCTACGCTGGTGAAGACGCCCGTCCGCTGGGTAACGAGGGGCACCGCGTTTGGTTCTGTGGTAGAGAGGCCACGGTCCTTCCAGGGTGACCGTGGCTAGGCCTGAGGTTGTGCATCAATCGTGGGCGGTGGTTGCATTGTGGATTACAATTCGTCGAGACGTGGTGGTTCCGAAATTGACATTGCTCAGGCTTGGTGGATTGCAATTGTTCCGACGTGTTGGTTTCGTGGTGACCTGTGGCTGATTGTTTAAAAATAAGGCGCGGAATGGTTGCACGGTCAATTGAAATTTCCAAGACGTGGTGGTGGTGGTGGACTACAGTTCCGTAGACGTGGTTCCATAGTTGGTCTTAGGTTGTGGAATTAAATTGGTCAGGCGTGGTGGTTCCATGGTGACTCGAGGTGGATTGAAATTGGTCAGGCGTGTTGGTTTCGTGGTGACCTGTGGCTGATTGTTTAAAAATAAGGCGCGGAATGGTTGCACGGTCAATTGAAATGTCCAAGACGTGGTGGTGGTGGACTACAGTTCCGTAGACGTGGTTCCATAGTTGGTCTTAGGTTGTGGAATTAAATTGGTCAGGCGTGGTGGTTCCATGGTGACTCGAGGTGGATTGAAATTGGTCAGGCGTGTTGGTTTCGTGGTGACCTGTGGCTGATTGTTTAAAAAATAAAGCGTGAAATGGTTGCACGGTCAATTGAAATTTCCAAGACGTGGTGGTGGTGGACTACAGTTCCTTAGGTGTTTCCATAGTTGGTCTTAGGTTGTGGAATTAAATTGGTCAGGGGTGGTGTTTCCATGGTTATCTGGTGGTGAATTGAAATTGTTTAGAGATGGTGGTTCCATGGGTAGCTAGCAGGGGTGTACAAAGAATAGCTGAATAGATTCACAGTGACCTGTGCTAGATTACCGATTTCCAGGCATTGGTCTCGGCCAAACCAGGTTAAATTGGGGCACCACGGTGGTGACATGTTAACTACCTCGCCTGGTATGCAGAAGGTCGTGGAATTTGTATGTTTTTCCCGTGGTCGTGTGGATTGTTCTCCGGATCTTCCAGTTTTTCCACGCACATTTATAATCATAGTATTTGGCTGCTATACATTTCCACATGTATGTTAACTTAGTTGAGCTATCATTTGTGACCTGGTAATTGTTTTTTTATTATAGCTAAATTACAATTACAACAGCATTGTGATCATAAGTATGTTGTGCTTGCAATGCACAATTATAATTTATTTTAGGCCTGGTCCAGAGTGTCTTGAGGCTATTACTGGGTGGGTGGCCTGGATTGAATCTAGATCCTGCAGTGGTGCATTAAGAGTGGTCTAGAATAGATCCAACGTGGTTTGGGGTCAATCTGTGGTGGATAAGGGTGATCTGGGGTGGATTAACAGTCATTCGTTAGCAATTCAAGCTCGCACAGCGTGGTTCCAAATTTGTACAGGAGTCTCAAGAGTGGATCTGAGTAAAATACCATGAAGTGGACTCGTGGTGGGTGGTTTGGGTTATCTTGTGTCTGATCCAATGGTGCATTCAAGGCTGCCTGGAGTAAATGGAAGAGAATGCAAGAGATTGACTTGAGAACTCGGTGGTGAGTGTTGGCCTATGGAGGAGGGGTGGCCTGTGTTTGTGATCACGTGGTCACCGAGTTCCAGACACCACGTGACACAGTTATACAGGACATGTGACCACTGTTTAATTTGTATTCTTTGGTTCTTTCGGTAAAGTCGCGTAGATAGAAAAATAATGAAGTGAATTTAGATTAAAATAATATAATTTAAATAATTTGTGTTCTGGAGTAGTGTTTATCAGAATCCAGCCCTTTTGACTCCGTGCCTGCCCCCTACGGTGCGGGTTTCTATGGCTACAAATCTGAATGCATATGCTAATGAAGTCACTAGATGTTACACGTGCCTGGTGGTTAGTAATCGCGGAAGCCCGCACTATGGGGGGGTTGAAAGACACATCTTCTCGAGTAGTGTTTCACCAAAAACCGCATTGGGGTGATTTCGTGGACTCAATTTTGAATAACACTTGGAGAGAAACCGTTTCTTCAGAAATGTGTGGCGAAAGTTCACGAATTTACAGTTGAAAACCTCGGTGTAAGCTTCACACGCTGAATAATTATCCGGTGCACCTTCTGCGCTGATCTTTGTATCATGGCATTGGCCCTGGGCTCCTCTGGCCGTAACAACCCCCACCTCATTGTGCACACGGTCTGTGGCGCACGTGTGTGCACAGCGGCCGCGTTAGGGAAGCAGAAGAGCAAGAAGAAGGGTGATCCAGACCCTGTGGACGAGTCTGTGGATGAACCAGTGGAGGAGGAGTACGTGGTGGAGAAGGTTCTAGACAGAAGAGTGGTGAAGGGGAAGGTGGAGTACCTGCTCAAGTGGAAAGGCTTCGGCGAGTATGGTTTCGCACGCATGCGCACACACGTATACGCACACACGTATACGCACGTGGTTATACACTGACATTTTTTATTGAAATTTACTTTTGTTTGTCGGGGCTGCATCTGAGCAAATTAAACAAATTCTTAGTTAAGTGACGGAAAAACTGCTTTTGCCTGCAATATCTTAGTTTAGAAAAATAAATTGTACCTATTTAGTTTATCCAAAATGCCCAGAATAAACCTGCTGTTTTAAACCTGGATAGTGCTTTAATGGGTGACCATGCGTAAAGGAGGTGCCATAGGATGCTCTGGGGGCTACAATGTGGGCAGCAGAGGACATGTAACACAATCCATTGAACTGTACTGTACTATACTTAACGAGTCAACCAGAACTAGCCATCATGAAGTATGGTCATATAACCCCCATGACCTGAGCGACGTGGGGAGATGAAAGGCCTTCATTGCTAGTTGAGAGCCTGTTGCACCAATACTATATTTTGTCTTTTAATTACATTACAATTGCTTACAGTTGTTAAAAGTTGTATCTTATACTGTTATAATGCTGCCTATTGTTGCGATAATGAATGATTCCAGGTTCATTAAAAACGTTCCTCATGCTTTAAGTCACTGCCCTCCATAACGTCTATCCCACTGCTGTAAAGGGTTTTAAGTTGTGTTTAACTAGTTGCAGTTGATACATCCATACAGATCCATAACTTTGGTGGCAAGAGTTGGTGGCTCACAGAGATTGGTCAAACACCAAAACGTGCTGAAAGGTGACCAGAGGATATCTTGAGCAAATTGTATTCAGAACCCATTTGTGTGGATCTTTGAGTATTTTCCCCTCTTGTGTATGGATTTTTATTAACACGCCTTAAAGAGAAATTGGGTTATTCTCAGCCAAAGCTAGTTTCTTTCAGTGGTGAGTGCACTCTGAACCGGTCCTTCCTGTCTTCCCATCATCATCATGCATATGATCAAACAACCCAATACAACCTGTCCCAAAAAAAGCCTTAAATTAATTGGGGCATTCCTGGATAAATGGAAAACACCTGAAGACGATTGCTTGTGTTGAGATCGAAACGTCGTGATTTAAATTTTTGTTATTTTTTCAATCTACGTGGCTTTACCGAAAGACCCAATATGATGTATAAATAAAACATTCTATATCACCTTGTGTGGCACGTGCAAGATGCATACCTGTCAACCCCTTATGAGTGCCTACCTTATTACAGACCAAATCAGACCTTATTGGTCACCCCGTGCCCTTATAAATTTCTACGTTCATCCTACAAAGTCACATCACAAGGGAGAAACATAAACACAAAAAAATATGTTGCTCGTATTGAAACGGCTGTACGCCGTATGGACCTGAACACAATTTCCTTGTACAAGAATATAGGTAAACCTTATGGGTTGACCGGTATGAAGGTGGATAATTGCATCCCCGCACCGTGAGAGATGGTGGCAGTTTGGGAGCCTTCATACTGATCATGACTGATGATGATGGCTGCATGCACGTTTCTGTACAAAAAGAGTTGGGAGTGAAGTGCAATACATATACCGTGTGTTCCAGCGAGGACAACACATGGGAACCCGACGAGAACCTGGACTGTCCCGATCTGATATCCGAGTTCCTGGAGAACTACAAAAACAAAGGACGACTTGCCGAGGAGAAATCTGAAAGCGGGAAACGCAAGGGCTCGTCGCTGAATGGTACCGAGGAGGCAGCGAGAACCAAGAAGAAAAAGGAGGAGACCAAGGTAGGACAGAGCTATCGTTGAGGACGGTTGTGATTTGTTGGCAATATCAGCCACAGTAACCGATACCTCAACTTTTGGTGCATGTGGTCCTCACCATAGCGGTGTAACCCAGTGTGGCAACATTAGTGGGAAATATGCAACTTTCTAATTTACATTTTACCGAGAATAAACCCTTGAGAAGGACCATCTCGTTTGGCAAGGGTGTCTGGTGTAAAAAAAAAAAAAACTCACATTATTTTATGACTACTGTGGCAGAAATATTCGGCTTGGCATTCGAGCTGATGGCTGCTGGTGAAACCTCTGTGCACTGTAATGGAAATTATCAGAATTTTCTCAATAATATTAAATTACATCACGTCTGGGGGGGGGGTTCTATGGTTAAATAACATGCACCAAAAAGTTACTTCTGGCTTTGCTTTTAACAATGCATACATGAGAAGGTGAAGAGGAGCTCGACAGCTGGTTGCGAAAGTACTTTCCCAGGTCAAGATTAAGCCAGATAGCGCTCTGCCCATTCTGCAAACTAATTGTTGTTTTGGTCAGATGCTTCTTCTCTGCCGAAATTTATTTAATGGAACTGGTAACTTTTAAGTGTGAGCAGGGTGTGTGGAAAATATCTGGTGAGTGCTGTGGATTTCTGTGTCTTGGTGTGATTTAGTGTCGTGGTAGTGTGGTGGCTTTTGTGTAGTGGTGTTAAGACGAATATCTTATCTGGTCTTTGACCTCTGCAAGATGAACTTAGCTTTGTCTGAGTACCTGGAGCAGTGTGTATAACAGTATACATGGGCGACTGTATCCACTGGCCAGGCATGATGCTGGAAACCCACCTCCACGTGTGTCATGCCGGCCTTGCCTCAACACATGTTAAAAGCTTAATTGGGGATCTTTGTCTTTGCAGTGAAAGTGAGTGTGATGGTATCGGGATAGTGTGATAGTGATTGAATTTGTGTAGTGGCAGCGAAGTGTGGTGGTGGTGCTAAGTGTAATCGTGTGGCAGTGCTAAAGTGCGTAGACAGTTATTCCGCGGTGTAGCTCTGTGTGCTAACATAGTACACGCTCCTATGTGTACAGCAAGCAGAGCAGCTTCGGGGCTTCGCCAGGGGCTTGGATCCAGAGCGAATCATTGGTGCGACAGATTCAAGTGGAGAGCTCATGTTCCTCATGAAATGGTACGTATGCGAGTTGCACAGTGAGGCGTGGGGAAACATCACATGTAGATTTAAAAACATAAAGGTCTGCTCATGAAGGCATGGCCCCCATCATGCCTTGTGTGCATTTGATGTGACAACCACTTTGCATATCCAATGCTTTCATCCTAGTCTAAGGCACCAGCTCAACAGAACTGAGTGTCGCCGTATTATTATTTTTTAAAACCAATTTACTTGTTTCCAGCCTGCAGATGTTTTCCTTTTGTGATAAGATTTCTCATCATTTACAGAGTGTTGGACTTGAAATACCACATAGGGGAGGAGGGTTCTCTTATACTGTAAATCCATCACTTCATTTTGTGGAGAATTGCCCTCACCCACACTATGCAGGACTGAGGCCACGGAACATTGGATCATGATGCTGTGCCCTTGCTCGGCCAAATGTGTGTATGCTACAGGAAGACGTGGTTTGGCTTATATATTGTGGTTCCTGTTTTTAAGATCCCTGCGAACTGAATCGGCATTGGGACTGAAAGATAGCATCTACAGTCCAGTATAATTTACGTAGTATGTTTATGGAAATTGTATAAACACTAAACACTAATAGAAGGGAAACAAAGACAAAGTGAAAGCTCTTAAGCCTGGACTTGAACAAGGAAGATATCGATAGCACGGCCTGCATGGGCAAGGCAGTCCCAGACATTGGATGCAGCAAAGGAAAATAATGTTGCTGTTTTGTCATGTGACCACATATTACAAGTAACCGGTTATGGGCCTTGCCCACTTTTCTATGGGTTTTAGTGTCACGTTCCGCAGGAGGTGCAGTACTTTGTTTGATGATGTAGGTTATATATATTTGAGAGTTTGAGACGTAAAGCAATGTCGTACTTTAGGCTGACCATGCCCCGATGAGTAACATTAATTACAACTAATTGACCTCAACACTTTTTTTTTAATCCCACAAAATAAATCGGATTTTGGATTTTCCTAGTTATAAGCATAGGCTTAATTTAGAATTGTTTGGAAAATATTAAGAATGGATAAAAATGTTTACATCTCTTTAGTCAGAAGGCCATCCTGCCTCAGTTCTTTCCTTCCAGCCCCTGGTTGCTTTCAGATAAAAACGTGTCCTTGAATATGGCAGTGCCTATAACATGGCAGGACATGCTTTGTGTGTTTGTGTGGTGGCGCTAGCCTGGAGTGCAACGCTTTGGAAGAATGGGGTAGTCTATAAAACATATTTGATGGGTGTGTTGGAAAAACGTGGACAAACTCTTTTGTCAATCCACTACTAGATGAGGGTCTTCCCCACCACATGGGTCATTTGACATTGCTTTACCACGCTGGCTATTGAAGGTGTGGTTAGCACAGATGTGAGAGTTTAGATGTACAGTACAGGTATGGATTTTGCTGGCCCTGCCTTTTGCCATGCCATTTTATAATGCAAGGAGCCCTGCAGCAACATGCTGGTCACCCATTCAAGCACTCTTTAGGCTCAAGCATCCTTAGCTTATGAGATCTTTATTATTTGGTTGTAGGTAATAGAATACATGTATAAATGTGCATACACTATATACATGTGTCATATTGTTTTGAGTGCTGATTTGCCATTCCCTGTCCAGGAAAGGGTCTGACGAGGCCGACCTCGTCCCGGCCAAAGAGGCCAATGTCAAGTGCCCACAGATTGTGATCTCTTTCTACGAGGAGCGGTTAACCTGGCATGCCTACCCCGCTGAAGAAGATGAAAAAAAGGACGATAACTGAGGGCAGCATGGGGCAGCGACGAGGACGAGACGGAGGGGGGAGCGGTAAGAGGAAGAGGATGTAGAATCAGCGGAGCACTAACCCAACATTTCACGATTTCTGAGTGAAATGAATTTGCCCTGAGTTGTTTCGTATATACAACATTAAAGTTGTGATTTAATCTTTAGTAATGATGGTAATGATGATATAGGATGTTTCAAATTTAGTTGCATGGAGGTGACTGGGTTTCTGCTGCCCTGGTTGTATTCAGGTCAAGACACACTGGGGCAATTGTAGGGCAAGCAGCTGCCACGCCAACTATTGTAAATAATTCCATATCCCAACTCTGGAATCGCCTCATTGCTTCTCTCCATAGCAGGACATCAGAAAGGAAACTTCCAATAAAATGGCAGGTGGAGGTCACATGATTGCTCAAGCTTGTGCATTCTGTAGACAGTCCCTGCTCATCAAACACGTTTTTCAGCAAATCTCCCGTTTTCATTGGCAAGGCAACTTATTGCAAATTGACGTTCCAAGTTACGGCTTTTGGTAATAGCCCCAGTGTGTTGTGGCCTTGAAAAGACTGAGAGGGAGGTGAGGTTAGCACGTAGTTAGCGCCCCACGTTGATGCCAGGTACACTGTCCCATCACAGGGGTATTTTTATTACGTTGTACCGAATGCATTCACATATAGTAGTCATGCTTTCAGTTAATTATGTAGACTGTGCTGTGTACATTTCCACAAACTTTGAGGGTTATTTTTCTTTTCAGATTGATTTCAGTACACGTTGCTTGTGGCGGTTACTGGCTGTATAAACCCCTTGTCGTGGTGTTAGTAAAGAGTTGCTTCCCTAGTTTTGACATTTTAAATCTTTGTATGTTAGTGGTTTTTTAAAGAAATTTATCATCAACTTGTACCATTGTTTTGGTAGCTGTTAGGGAAAAAAACAACTGTGGTTACCTTGAACCCTCCTAGTGCAGATGTTTTACAGTTGTGAACATGTTTTCCAGTTGTTTTAAATTACACCAAGGTAACTCTTTCATACCAGACAAAAAAATAAAGATTTCTTTGCAAAACTCTGCTTCAGTGTCCATTTTTAAATCCTTTATATTAAGTTTGCTTGCTGCTTGCTCGCGCGCTTACGACCGTGCAAATCTTTCGGTCGTTTTTTAACCCACTTCCCGTGATCCAATCGAGCTGACATTTTGCGCACAGACTCGTTGTGCGTGACAATTTATTTTCGTGAAAAAAAATTCCATAACTTTACACTTTTTAGGATTTTTTTTTTTATATTTAATTACCAAATTGCTTAATGGTGGCAGGCAATCATCTGACCCATAGGTGGCAGCCATCTCAAGCCAGAGGACGAGAGGACTCTAGCCGCCACGCATATAAAGGATTTATAGTGAAAAACTTTGTTTTTACGGGTTAATTTTTTCATGGTCCTGTGGAAACTTTACTTTTAACAGCCCTTTATCAATCCTCTAAATGGTCTCTCCCCCCCGTGAAGTGTCCCGTATGGGGAGTTGTTTATCCACAGTTCCCACGAGTCAAAGTGGTTTGGTGACGTTCAGATATCAATCGCCCCATCCAGTCGATATGTTCGAATGCAGGGTGCCTAATCCCACTACACTATCGCCGCGGCTCCGTTAAAATGTGCAGTGTGAAAACACGTGTGTGAGATGGGTCTCGGAGCCCATAATGGATTTGGGTCAGAAATGCTGCGACGCCGAAGAAGACGATTGGAGATGCCCATCTGGCTCGGACACGTTCAAAAAATGTTGTATTTAAATTAAACCACGTGATCATTAAAGTGCAATAACTACGACTGCTATCGTACTTGATCCATCCATCCGTTGCTGATGCAGGCCCCTCCCTAAGTTGTTTCCATCCTTCGCAAATCCACCTGGCATCTGCACGTTCACATCTCGTCTCAAGATCGGCCAAGAGTTAAATTCACGTCCCCCCCCCCGCACCTCCGATTAGCGCGGTTGGCTACGCACGGTGCAAAAGAAGTTCCACATACTCTACACGGATGAAGGCCACACCACCAAGCCACATTTCATGGTCCTCCATCGAGTACTGGGACATGAGTTTATTTAGTCTCCGTGTTGGGCGTGTTCGAGTGCACGTTCTCTCCCGTGGCTGACCATTAAACTCGTCAACACTCCTCATGCCTTCCAGCCATGACACGTCCTGCCCGAGCCCACGTGTCAACGCGACCACTCTAAACTGCACGTTATTTAATCCAAGCGTTCCTCTCTCGTGTCTAATTATAAATTAAAACATGCTGCTCTTGAATTTTTCGACACATTTTTTCCCCCCTCCGATGTTCCACGTTTAGGCCGCATGTCGTCGTCGACGAACACGTTAGTTGCGTGTTGACGTCACGTCTGCGTAATCACGTTGAACATTCCATGTGACGTCATGTCGGCGACGCCCCCGCCCCCCCCACCATTGTCATCGTGTCGTCACCACCGCATGTGCGCGCCGTGACGTCCTGCGCGGCGTGTTTACGTGACGTCACGCAGGCGTGTTATTTACGTGACGTCACGCAGGAGAGTTATTTACGTGACGTCACGCAGGAGAGTTATTTACCAGACGTCATCAGCCGCGCGTGACGTCGTGCGGCCGCTGTCCCCCTCACACACACACACCGGGCAGCAGGAGGCGGCGGCGGCGGCTCTAAGCGGTGAGTTCCCCGCGACTTCTCCCTCCACCTCATCCACGCTCGCCTCGACAAACAAACAAAAAACCCCTTCGCGTCCAGCCGTGAATGTGCTTTGTGACGAGGATCGTTGGAGGTGGTGGGTGGGTGGGGGTGGAAGACGCGGGGTCTACCCCCCCCTCAACTACCCCCCCTACCCCCCCCGCCTATTCCCCCTCACCCCCCCTGAACTACCCCCCCCCCTCAACTACCCCCCCCCAATCCCCCCCCGCCTACCCCCCACCTATTCCCCCTCACCCCCCCACCTACTCCCCTTCACCCCCCCCCTCACCCCCACCCCCCCCCACCTACCCCCCCTCACCCCCACCCCCCCCCCACCTACCCCCCCTCACCCCCCCACCTACCCCCCCCTCAACGACCCCCCCTCAACTACCCCCCTACCCCACCCGCCTGTTCCCCCTCACCCCCCCTCAACTACCCCCCCCTCACCCCCCCACCTACCCCCACCTACCCCCTCACCCCCACCGTCCCCCTCACCCCCCCACCTACTCCCCTTCACCCCCCCCTCACCCCCACCTACCCCCCTCACCCCCACCTACCCCCCCCCTCACCCCCCCACCTACCCCCCTCACCCCCCCACCTACCCCCCTCACCCCCCTCACCCCCCCGTGCGCGTGCGTCCCGCGCGGAACGTCCGAGGCGGGGCCCGTCATGGCGGCGGGGGGGTGAGGGGGGGGGGGTTTAGATTCTCCAGTCCGCTTCGGCCACTCGGGGGGCGAACTCGCGCCCGCCTCGTCGTACCCCCCCCCCCCGAGCGGAGCGCACGTGACGGGCCGCGCCCAATCACGCGAGCTCCGTGGCGGGCCGAGGCTTCGCCTATGCGCGCTACGGATTATAAAGCGAGGGCCCAGACAGCCAAGCCGCCGGGCGACCCCCTGTCCAGAGGCAGTGAACCCCCCCGACGCCACCGCTGCCGCCGCTGCGACCGGCTGACATCGGTGGATTCACGACCCCTGGGACCCCCCGGACGATGAGGGACCCGCTGTGAGAGACCCTGGGGGGATTCCGGTCCCGCGAGACCGCTTGCAGGCACTAGGCGAACCCGCAGAGCCGCGGGCGTCGAGACTCGAGGGGGGCCCCCCCCCTGTTACTCGGGACCCCAAACATCGCGGGGACCCTCGGAGGCGCCTTTTGAAAGATTCCCGACACCGGAGACGCCACGAGCAGGTATCGCAGCCATCGCCTTCCCAGGGACTCCCGACGCCGTTGATTCTTGAGGGACGCCTTTAACAATCGGAACGCCCCGACATCGTGAACCCCAGATCCACGGTATACCCTGGATCCAGGGACCCCCTGTATGTAGGCACAAACAGGACCCCGTGCCATCAGTTACCCCTCGTCTATGGATACAATTAGATGTGTTTTATACCACAGGAACCACCGACACTTAACAGTGGGAACCCTGTGATCTGGGATACCAATCGCTATAAACAAGGAATTCCAGAAGCAGGTACCACGGCCTCTTAGAAACCGCGATCACGAAGGACCCCTGACTCTAAGGGGACGACGTCTCTTAAAACTCCCTCATCTCAGAGACCCCTAGGCCAAGGATGCTGGTCTCCAAACTCGAGACCCCAACTCCTTATACGGCACCACAGGGACCCCTTGACACCTGGGACTGTTGATCCTTGGGGGGGCCTCTTCGCGATGGGATTTCTGGTCATCGGGGCACTTGCCTTCAGGGACCCCTATCCCTAGAGATCCCTGACATCCCTGTCTCTCCTCCTCCCCGTCTCCCCGTCTCTTACATTCCGATACTCAGTGTTGCGAAGTAGCACGGCCTGGTATTGCATATTCATTCACTGTCAACTCTATTTTTCGTGCACAATTGGTGTTGTTGATGGCTGCGGTGCTACGTGATGGGCGACAGAGGGGGGTGCGTCAAATTATGTGTTGTACTTCGCTTCTATGCTCCCCTGTCTTCAATTCGTGTTGAGCTGCAAGATGAAGTATGCCCAATCTGCGTGACGTGGGTAGGCCCTCATCCAGCAGTGGACTAATGAAGGGCTTTACGTGTGTTCATGGTCATTACAAAGCCCTATCCATGACGAACACGCGTAGGTGACTGGTTGATCGTGGTGTTACTCCCAACTGGGTGTTATGATTGGCAATTTGTGGCAGAGTTTGTGACCTGTGGAGGTGGTGTTTGCCTTGTAGCTGAGGACGGTGGTACACACACACGCGCATATCTGATGTACATTGACATAGCAAGTGTGTACGCAGAGTTAAAATGTGTGCACACAAGGCTGCGTGTGAGGCCAGTGTAACTTAATCTGCGATGCCAACTTTACGATGCAGATTAACCCAGGAGAGGTGCATCAAGAGGGCCCCGCTACGTTTGGATGTTTGGAAAAGTTATGAATTCGTGTTTTTGACAATGCGTCAGGAAACTGAAAAACCTGGAGAAAACCCACCACACACCGACACAGCACTGCCATCTCCTGATCACACCTTGCAGTCCAAGCCAATAACACCTTGTGTTTCTGGTAGTATCCGATTCAATTACTAACCAGACTCAAATCTGCTTAGCTTGCGAGATCTGTATGACATCACTTGCATTTTTAGTGATCTGGTCTATGCTGGGCAAATAGCATGTGCCTATCATCCAGTGTTTTGGAGGTGAGGGTTTGTGAATCATGCAGAGAATGGTGAAACACATCCGCAGCACGGCTAAGTCGCCAAAAATAATAAAGAAAGTGGGTCTGTGAATCTATATGTGAAGAGCTTTGAGCGTTAATCTTCTCCTATGCGTAATTGGTTTTCTCCGGGTACTCAAGTTTCCACCCACACAAAGCAATATGTTCCTTAAACCTAAATTCGCCAAATATCACAATGTAGCAGGTCCCTCCTAACAAGTTTTGGGAATCAGTGAGGCTTTCCTGGATATATAAAAGGCATTGTTATTATTACATAATTTAGTAGATGGTTCATAGTTATGCCACTCCACACTGTCTTTGTCAGCCTCTGGCATGAACTTAGAACAAGGATTCCTAGCGGTGCTTTATTCACCTCTAGGCAAACACGCTGCTAAGAAAGGAATTGGCCAAACATTCCAAAGCTAAAAAGCTTTTTATTTGAAGACTTTTATGGATAAATAAATGAAATTGTCATTCATTTTGTGCATTGTGACATATAGATGCAGTATATGGTGTATGGTTATATATTTGGTTTTTATACAAGGCATTGTCACATTTTTGTTCACATATAGAATGTATAAGTAATATAAATGTTCAGGCTTTTGTCGGTCCACCACTGGAGGTCTCCCAGCGCCTTTCCCTTTATAGGTTTTATTTTTACCATACTTCTCCACGTTGGTCAGTGTGGGCTGGAGATGATGGGGAGATGCCCAGGATGTCAGCTGTGGAAGGATAAAATTGTACGACTCTCACACCAACATTTTAATAACTAAGAGTGGATTAAACGTTTTACTGAATGGGTCATCTAGACTAAGAGAATGGCTGAATTAAATCTGCAGACGAAGACTTGATTAACATTCCACAGGTTGTCATCTATTAGACTAAAGACTATAACTAAACACATGAATAAATATACTGAAGGTCAAAATACTTCTTGCTGATTAATTATTTTTACTACTTGACGCTGCAAATCTCTCCGATCGTCTATATTTTATTTCAAGAAACGTATTTCCCCTTATCCATTACAAATTTGATGAGGTGTGTTTTTTGCTCACCATCTGGCGTTCTGGGCCTTTGAACCATGGTACTCGGCAACTATTTTAAAACAAAGAAGAATATCCTCTCGACTGCCTGGATGTCAACCCAAACATGCAAATACCCAGGGCCTAGTAGTGAAAGGATATGAACCGCTCTTCGTTAAAATCGGCTGCTCTTGATGTACGGTGTTGTTTGCAAATGTCTGGAATAGACCACATCACTCTAAATGTAACCCTTATCGGATCTCTGAAGCTAAGCAAGTTTGAGCCTGGTTAGTACTTGAATGGGAGACTGCCTGGGAATGCCAGGTGGTGTAGGCTTTGCCTGCAAGGTGTGATAATAAGATGGCAGTCACTCACTGTGTGGTGGATTTTCTCCGGGTTCTCCAGTTTCCTCCCACATTTTGTCAAGCACAAATGAATGGACTTTGCCAAACATCCCAATGTGGCAGGACACTCTTGAGACTCGGTGAGGCTGCCCTGGGTTAATTGTCATCACATCGGCATCACGGATAAAGTTATGTTGGCCACACAGCCTTGTGTGCGCACACGTACACACGTGCTTTGCCCATTCGCACTTGCCCTGTGTGTGTGCCGCCCTCATCGGCTCAGGGTGAACACCACCTCCACCGCGGCTCTTTACTTCCTGGGTCACAAACTCCATGGCCGTTTATTGTCTCTTCACAATTGCGTGAGAGGGGAGCAAAGTCGAAACTTGGACCTGGCCGCGTGCTGTCTATTTTTTTTTAAACCCCTGGTTATTTTTTATTATTGAAGACATTTCCCCCTCTTTGCTTTCCTCCCCCGTCAGTGTATCGTCAGGGAAACGAAGTAATTTAAATTTACAACCCATGCTGCTAGCAGTGTGTCGCAGAATGTATCCTGGGAGCTGATGTCACTTTTGATAAATTTATTCTAATGCTCACGATATTGGTCATGCAAAGATCTGTTGTGCTCACAGTGTATGTTCATTTTATGCTGATTCTGCGTTAAGGCTAATGGAGGGAACGAGGCTGTGCAAATGAGATGGAAATAAACGAGAATTGTTACAAATGAGACGGGCAACACGAGACAACAACACAGGGGATTCTTGAATTGAATCGCCATCAAAATGAATTAAAATAAATCCAGTGGCAGGATGCCCTGGGCATCGTGCCACTGGCGTTTTGTTGGCAAGATGTGTGTCGGTTATTGCAGAGGTCTGGTTTATTATTAATGCTGTGATTCCACTGGTTTACCGGGGAAAGTTTTTCTGCGTCTCATGAGTCTTTTTCAGGATAGTGCCGCCAAGTTATAGCAGTTGAGGAGTGATGATTGCTCCGAGTTTCCACATTTTTGCAAATTTGGGCCATGGTGCTGGCACACAATGGCTTACTCTTGCGATTGATGTCACAGGATCTTTTAACAGCCGCTGCGAGGCAGGATGGTGTGTGATTTTTTTGCAGTTAATACACTTGCAGTATTAAGCAGGGGGGGCCGCTGGATTCGAACTGTAAACCTCCGCAGCAAGCAGCGAATGATTTAGCGGTGGCCCATGTGGTTGTTGTGTGATACAAGGCCCCCTCTGCTCGTGCTTGGTGTGCACATGGCAGGAGAGTGAAGTCCGCACGGCATCATGGGAGACGACAAGCCATTCGTGTGCACGGCTCCAGGGTGCGGGCAGGTGAGCGGACATGCTCACCACACCGCGTTCGCCACACCACGCTCACCACGCAACACTTACCACCACCCTCGCTACGCCGCATACCGCAGAAACTGCAACCACGTTCACTGCACCGCCCTTGCCATAATCACCGCGCTCGCCATGCTTACCGCGCAATCTTTCATCACGCCACACTCATTGCACCGCTGACACCACATCACAACACCTTAACCACGGCAACCATGTCACCCAATACACACTGCGCCATAGAAATTACAGCAGGACACCCACACGCACTGAAAGGCTCCAGGAATGTCACATCACACAGACATAAGACACGCTGTTTGAGATAGATGTGTCCATCTGTCCATGAAACAGACACACTGGCCCGTGAGAATAAGATGGATACCTGTCCGTCACACTTGATACTCGTAGGGCACAGTGGTAATACTCGTGCCTCACAGCAAGACACTTCTGGGTTTGATTCCTGACCCTGCGCCTTTCCTTGAGGAGTTTGTAAGTTCTCTCCACGGTTCTGCCTGGGTTTTCCCCAAGCCCTCCTTTTTCCTCCCATAGTCAAAGCAAACGATACAATGCAACCGATATTGGCCAAAATTCCAATGCTTTAACATTACTGACAGCAGCAGCAGCAACATCGTCTTCTACTGCAACTTGACAGGACCCTCCTGAAGTCTTGAGACTCAATGAGGCTTTGCTGCTTAACAAGTGTAATAATAATGACTGTGATATAGACACACAATGTCTGTGAGACACACACCTGTAAGACAGACATCTGTCCTTGAGACAGATAAAGATTTCGATTTAAAGCTTTCGTGACTGCAGGGATTCATCTTCTTGGTTCATTCAGACTCTGTTTCCTCGACAGACCTGTTCTCCACCTGAGGACGGCTACTTGCGTTGTGGCCGAAACGTCGCGAGAATTATTTTATGTTTTATTTTTATTATTTTATTGTTTCAATTCTACGTGACTTTACCGAAAGAACCAAGAAGACAGATAAAGATTTCATTGTGAGAAAGACGCACCTGATTGTGAGACAGAGGCCCACCTGCCTGTGAAATACTGAGATGCACCTGTCAATGAGAATGAGACACAGAGACACACCACCTGTCCCCCCACCGTCTCCCCCCCGCCCACAGCGCTTCACGAATGAGGACCACCTGGCCGTGCACCGACATAAGCACGAGATGACGCTCAAGCTGGGGCCCATGCGCAGTGACAGTGTCATCGTCGCCGGTCAGACTCTCGCACACACACACACACACGTGTGAGTGAAGAGGGGGGGGGGGTGTGAGTGTGAAGAGGGGGGGTGTGTGAGTGTGAAGAGGGGGGGGTGTGATTTTGAAGAGTTGGGGTGGTGAGGGTGAAGGGGGGGTGAAGAGGGGGGTGTGAGGGTGAAGGGGGGGTGAGTGTGAAGAGGGGGGGTGAGTGTGAAGAGGGGGGGGGATGAGGGTGAAGGGAGGGGGTGAAGAGGGGGGTGTGAGGGTGAAGGGGGGGGGTGAGTGTGAAAAGGGGGGTGTGAGTATGGAGAGGGGGGGGGGTGAGTGTGAAGAGGGGGGTGTGAGTGTGAAGAGGGGGGGGGGGTGAGTGTGAAGAGGGGGGGGTGTGAGTGTGAAGAGGGGGGGTGTGAGTGTGAAAAGGGGGGGGGGGTGAGTGTGAAGAGGGGGGGGGGTGAGTGTGAAGAGGGGAGGGGTGAGTGTGAAGAGGGGGGGTGTGAGTGTGAAAAGGGGGGGGTGTGAGTGTGAAGAGGGGGGGGGGGTGAGTGTGAAGAGGGGAGGGGTGAGTGTGAAGAGGGGGGGAGTGAGTGAAGAGGGGGGTGTGAGTGTGAAGAGGGGGGGGGGGTGAGTGTGAAGAGGGGGGGGTGTGAGTGTGAAGAGGGGGGGTGTGAGTGTGAAGAGGGGGGGTGTGAGTGTGAAGAGGGGGGGTGTGAGTGTGAAGAGGGGGGGTGTGAGTGTGAAGAGGGGGGGTGTGAGTGTGAAGAGGGGGGGTGTGAGTGTGAAGAGGGGGGGTGGGAGTGTGAAGAGGGGGGGGGTTGAGAGTGAAGAGGGGGGGGGGTGAGTGTGAAGAGGGGGGGGTGTGAGTGTGAAAAGGGGGGGGGGTGAGTGTGAAGAGGGGGGGTGTGAGTGTGAAGAGGGGAGGGGTGAGTGTGAAGAGGGGGGGGGGTTGAGTGTGAAGAGGGGGGGGGGAGTGAGTGAAGAGGGGGGGTGTGAGTGTGAAGAGGGGGGTGTGAGTGTGAAGAGGGGGGGTGTGAGTGTGAAGAGGGGGGTGTGAGTGTGAAGAGGGGGGGGTGTGAGTGTGAAGAGGGGGGGGGTGTGAGTGTGAAGAGGGGGGAGTGTGAGTGTGAAGAGGGGGGTGTGAGTGTGAAGAGGGGGGGGGGGGTTGAGTGTGAAGAGGGGGGGGGAGTGAGTGAAGAGGGGGGTGTGAGTGTGAAGAGGGGGGGTGTGAGTGTGAAGAGGGGGGTGTGAGTGTGAAGAGGGGGGGTGTGAGTGTGAAGAGGGGGGGTGTGAGTGTGAAGAGGGGGGTGTGAGTGTGAAGAGGGGGGGGTGAGTGTGAAGAGGGGGGGTGTGAGAGGGGGGGGGTTGAGTGTGAAGAGGGGGGTGTGAGTGTGAAGAGGGGGGGGAGTGAGTGAAGAGGGGGGGGGGGGTGAGTGTGAAGAGGGGGGGGGGGTGAGTGTGAAGAGGGGGGGGTGTGGGTGTGAAAAGGGGGGGGTGTGAGTGTGAAGAGGGGGGGTGTGAGTGTGAAGAGGGGGGGGTGTGAGTGTGAAGAGGGGGGGGTGTGAGTGTGAAGAGGGGGGGGTGTGAGTGTGAAGAGGGGGGAGTGTGAGTGTGAAGAGGGGGTGTGAGTGTGAAGAGGGGGGAGTGTGAGTGTGAAGAGGGGGGGGAGTGAGTGAAGAGGGGGGGTTGAGTGTGAAGAGGGGGGGGTGTGAAGGGGGGGGGGTGAGTGTGAAAAGGGGGTTGTGAGTGTGAAGAGGGGGGGTGTGAGTGTGAAGAGGGGGGGTGTGAGTGAAGAGGGGGGGTTGAGTGTGAAGAGGGGGGGGGGAGTGAGTGAAGAGGGGGGTGTGAGTGTGAAGAGGGGGGTGTGAGTGTGGAGAGGGGGGGGGAGTGAGTGAAGAGGGGGGGGTGAGTGTGAAGAGGGGGGGTTGAGTGTGAAGAGGGGGGGTGTGAGAGGGGGGGGGTTGAGTGTGAAGAGGGGGGGTGTGAGTGTGAAGAGGGGGGTGTGAGTGTGAAGAGGGGGGGGGAGTGAGTGAAGAGGGGGGAGTGTGAGTGTGAAGGGAAGTCGTAGTGCAGTGGTTTGTGCGCTGCGCTACGAAACTGGCGGCAGTGGTGTCGTGGTTAGCGCGTTTAGACCTGAATTCGATTCCTGCTCGTGGCCAACGCCAGTGATATCTGAACTGGTTCTTGGCTTCCCACGAGCACGGGGGAGACAAAGGTGGCCGGGCGTGGTTCTTGCCACACCATCCCCTCTCGTGCGCTGTGCTCACCTTCAAAAGCACTTGCCCCAACGGCCTGTGTAGTCTATATGGGTGATCTTTGTCTTTGAAAGGGTAGGAGTGTGTGTTGTGTCTGGCACGTGGAGGGATGCATTGGAAATGGAGGTGTGTTTTGCCGTGCGTGCTGCGCATTGCCATGCGTGTTGTATGTTGGCATGTGTGGCATGTATGTGTATATGCGTGCACAGTGTGCGTCTAGCCATGAAGAACGTGTGAACGTAGAGGCATGTTTGGACTTGCACCGTGTGATGCGTGTTGGTGAACACGCCACTCATCCCCTCCGCACGTGAATCCTCCACATTTCTCTCGGCTCCTTGGCACCCTATGGCTCACTCCCGACGTGCGCGCGCTCTGCCCGGCTGTTGCCTGGGATCAGTGCCAATGCTCGCCCTCTCGCTCGGCACGAAAAGTGGAGTTCCCACCACGAGGCGGAGGGAGAGGAACGGCGCTTGCCGGGGCTAAAATTAGATCCGCCGTTGCGGGAGTGAGTGAAGCTCGGAGCCCCTGCGTGCGTGTGCCGTGTGTAGCGACACTGAAAGCCGGGAATCATGCGTTGATTGAATTATCCTACGGACCTGTAAGTTGCACGCCACGGTGGCGAGACGACTACCTCGCCTGGTATACAGCAGGTCGTGGGTTCGATCCTGACCCTGACGCCTGTATATTCGGAGTTTGCATGTTCTCCCCGTGATCGCGTGGATTTTTCTCCGAGTCCTCCGGTTTTTTCCTCCACATTTAGAAACATCCGTTTAAGAGTATTTGGCTGCAATAAATTTCCACACGATAAGCCACTTCGTTGAGCTATCATTTGTAGCCAGGTCGCTTCTGAAAAAGCGCTATATAGCTCAGTGGGCCTTACCTGGTAAAATAAAATTAATTGTATGTTGAAAGAAGTTCAAAATACATACAATCCTCCCAGCTCAATATCAATTACCGCATTCGCGGCACGTTGTTTCACGCGCGCCAGCATTGCCGCTCGTTTATTACTCTTTTAAAAAACTCGTGAGTCTACGTGCTCACTGCCGCTTGTTTTTGTATTCACGTCCGTGTGTTCGTGCCACCGTCTCAGACCAGACCCCGACGCCGACGCGCTTCCTGAAGAACTGCGAGGACGTGGGGCTCTTCCACGAGCTCACCGGCTCCTTCGAGCACGACCTCAAGAAGACTCCGGCCGGCGAGGTCGACACGCCCGACGTCCCAGCCGCCCGCCACACCTCCTCGCTTGCTCCGCCACCGCCGCTACCAAGGGGAGGCGACACCGGTGGGGGTGGCGGTGGCGGCGGCGGTGGTGGCGGTGGAGGCGGTGGAGGCGGTGGAGGTGGTGGAGGCGGTGGTGAGAACAAAGATGATGCCCATGACGGGAGGAGAGAGATGCTCGCGGCGACCAGAGAGGAGGAACGGAACGCCCGACAGAAGGTGCGTGCATGGGTGAGTTTGTGTGTGTGTGTGGAGGTGATCGCTAACAGCACTTGCCCCAACAATCTGTTAAGGCTATACGGAGGATTTTTGTCTTTGTGGAGGGGGGAGGAGCATGGGAAGGAGGATGAAGAGGAGGTAATGGCTTTGCCCCGTGTGTCCTTTGAATTGGGGTGGAGATAAATGTTAAATTGAGATGCGTGTATCTTGTGTAGAGTTGTTATGTCTTTATCAGACGTCTCTTCTCTTGGCTCGAGGTTTCCTGTCTCCTGAACACGTGTGTGTGTGTCTTCACTCCAATTCTCGTGCCTTTTACAGATATGCGTGTCTCTTGTAAATGTCTCGCCTCTTCTCGTCGTGTCTGCGTCTCCACTGGACATGTCTAGCGTATTAATTCTAGATTTGAAGCTTTCGTGACTGCAAGAATTCATATTCTTAGGTTTTTTCGGTAAAGTACCGTAGGTAAAAAATTAAAATTAATAAAAGTTAAATTAAAAAAATTAAAAAATCACGACGTTTCGGAGGCAACACAAGCCTCCGTCCGTCAGGTGGTGTGACTGTTCCACCTGAAGACGGAGGCTTGTGTTGCCTCCGAAACGTCGTGATTTTTATTTTATTTTTATTTTACTTTTATTAATTTAAATTGTTTACCTATGTGACTTTACCGAAAAAACCTAAGAATATGTCTAGCGTAGACGTTTGTCTGTCTTTTCACTCGATGTCTCTCTTTCTTAACTAGTTGTATATCTCCCTTCTCCAGATGTCTCTGGGCGTGTGCGAGGGAGGAGGGGGCTTGGGGCCCCCCAGGGAGCCAGCTCCCCCGGACGGCACTGCCCCTCCCCTGCCCGCCCCTCCTTTCCGGCAGGACGGCCCCAGCAGCAATAACAAGGTGAGTGGTCGAGACCTGTGGTGCAGGGAGACCTGGGCGTCTCCTTGTGTTCTCCATATGTGGTGGTGAGATGTTAACTACCTCGCCTGGTATACAGGAGGTCGTGGGGTTCGATCCAAACCCTGACGCTGTATATTTGGAGTTTGCGTGTCTCTCTCCCGCGTGGTCGCTTGGATTTTTCTCCGGGTCCTCCTGTTTTTCTCTCCACGTTTAAAAACATGTGTTTTGAGTATAAATTTGCACGTGATAAGCCACTTAATTGGGCTATTATTTGGGGCCAGGTCACTTCTGATAAAGAGCTATATAGCTCAGTGGGCCTTTCCTGGTAAAATTTAAATAGTTTAGTTTAATATGTATTCCCCATGAACGACTTGTTACGCGAGAGGGCAGCTCACCCTAATGGACGGAGTCACATGACACATACATTACCCTCACAGAATCAGAATCTTTATTTAGACTGGAGCATTAAACCGACAAGCTATGAAGGTCTTTTACACAGATGTCCAGTCGGAGGTAGACCAGAATGTTACAACAACAATACAAAAACCGATAGGAGAGCAAAGTATAGGAAAGTTAAGTACAAATTGCTAAAGTATATTAATTCCTACCGATTTTCAACAATAAATGCAAGCTAGGGCAAAGCAGCAAAGCAACAACAACGGTCTCAGACCACAGCAAGACAACACACAGCCTGAACCAGTCATCAAACCTCCTAACCGTCACAAAGCACCACTCATCTGCATGTCGCGGTGTCTACGTGCTTCCCCCCCCCCGTCTCCCTGTCCTCGGTGTCCCCGCTTGCCCAGGAGCCCGTGTGTGCCGCCCCTCCCCGCAAGCTGCCGGCTCCACCGCCGGCGCCCGCGGCACGGCCCTCTTCGCTGCACCTGCTGTCCCGCGGAGACGCCAGCGCCACGGGGGCCGGAGCCGGCTCCATCATCCCCCAGACTCTGGACTCTCCCACCGCCGTGTCCGTCATCACGCAGGCCCCGCCCTCCAACCGGCATATGGGGTCAGGCCCCGCTCCTACCCTCGCCTCTCCGCTACCCTCTGCTCCCCTACGCTCCACTCCGCTACCCGCCGCTCCACTCCACTCCGCTCCCCTCCGCCCTTCTCCTCCACCACATCCCGTTCATTTCCGCTCTCCTCTCCCTTCCACTCCTCCCCTCTCCTCTTCTGTCCTCGCCTCCCTTCTGCTCCCCTCCGATGCCCTCCATTCTCCTCCGCTCTCCGTCACTTCGCTCCCCCGGCTACCCTCTTCGAGAGACAAACAGTATAGACGAGACACAATGAACAAGACTGGACAAACGAGGTAGTGCAAATGAGGCAGAGAATAATCGTTTTTACGATTTCATCGCTACCCCCCAAAGCATTACCTAAGCGCAGAGTTGCGGGGGAGATTACTCGTTACGTTCCTGATCGACGTAGAGAATTCAAGACATCGGTCGAGGTAGAATGTCCTCACAGGGGGGCGGTGATGAAGGCCAAGCATTCGCACGTTCACCAACTGTTCGAGTTTCTGCAGCTCGAGCCAGGCAGGCCACCCTGTTTAATACTGCAGCTGTACGAACCGTAAAGACACGCGCTGTCGGCTTCACAGTGGATGTTACAGATCCCACGGCGTTTGGACAAAAGAGTAGGGGCCACGCACGCGTGCCGGCGTCACGGTCGCAGAGTTGTCCGGCGTGATCACACCGCACGGCAACATCGGCCACTGCCGGCAGATTGAACGCCCGCTTGCAGGCCGCCGTGCTGCAGTCAGCTTGCACCTCGCAGGGACCCTTGCCAACGGGGGGGGGGGGAGGGGGGGAATTCCCCGAGATGTAATTCACGGGGGGGTGCGGTACAATTATCACGTGACGATGATGACGACGAGAAAGTAGCGAGAGTGGTGGTGGGGGGGGGGGGGGTTGACGTTGTTGATCCTGTGGCCTCCCCCCACCCAGGCCTCCCCTGCCAGGCCCCGTGCCCATGTACATGCAGCTGCCCAACGGCCAGCCGCTGCCCATGGGCTTCCCGGGGCCTCCGTCCAGCTCCCTGGCCCTGTCTCCAGGGCAGGGCCCCCCACACCTCCCTCCACCGCACTCCTCTGGGGTGAGTAGACACCAGTGCATTCTGTGCGTTATTGTGGTGGTGGTGGTGTTGTGTTGCGGTGGTGTGCTGTACACAACGTTCTTGCTGTGCGTTCCGTTGTGGTGGTGTGACGGCCACTGTGGCGAGATGTTAACTTCCTCACCGGATATACAGGAGGTCGTGGGTTCGATCACGACTCCGACGCCTGTATATTTGTGGATTTTTGTCCGGGTCCTTCAGTTTTTCCCTCCACATGCATTTAGAGCGTTTGGCTGCTATACATTTCCGTGATAAGACACTTCGTTGAGCTATGATTTGTGGCCAGGTTTCTTCTGAAAAAGGGCTACATAGCTCAGTGGGACATACCTGGTAAAATAAAAATTGTTTCGTTTTTATAGGTGTAATCCTTGCCGTTTTATTGTTTTTATCACGGTTACTGAGTGCACAGTGGGCCAAATTAAGTGGTCTGCAACAAACGGCACTATGAAAGTGGCAATAGATAACACTTAACACGCAGGTTGAACTGAGCACTGGGAAAAAAAAAGATGCTGGCAGGAGGGAATTCCCAAGTCGAGCATTGAGAAGGGAAGAAGAAGAATGATATGACCTGCAGTGTGGTGGTGGTGGTGGGTGAACGCAGTGTGCATGAGATGGAAGCGTCCAGTCTGGTTGACCGAGTCTTCAGGAATCATCGAGTGACGTTCTTGGGACCAGTAACCATGGTAGCAGCGATAGAAGAGTGATAAGGAGGCGGCTGACCCCTGGCGGGCAAGTGACTTGAGTGGATCACTTGATAACATCGGATTGAAGCTTTCGTGACTGCAGAAATTACTGTACTCATTGTTTTTTTTCGGTAAAGTCACGTATGTAGAAACAAAATCAAATTTAACTAAATTAAAATAAATCACGACGTTTCGAACGCAACACAAGCGATCATCATCAGGTGGAAATGGGGCAAAAAAATACGTGGTCAACCAGGTTAGTGTCTGACTGTGTTGTTGGCCGACTGGTTTTGCATCGCATTATGTTTCTAAGGTTTACTGAGTTCTTGGATCACTTGAGTGATGAATCGTCATTCGACCTCACTACTGTGATCGTGTGTGCCGTGTCATGAACACACAACCCACACACACTCGCACACCGGTGTGTGAACCCTATCACAACGGCATGTGTACATATAACCTTTGTTCTCCGTGCTGTGTTCCCTGGTACAACACGCACAAGTTTAACCCTTGTTCTGTGTGCGTCATCGCATCCTGGTTGTGTCGCAGATGTCGCGGCCGATGAACCTCGTGCCCAACATCCCAGGAATCCCGGGACCTCCCATGAACCACACGGGGCTGCCACCACTGCTACCCCCCCATTCGGAGGCTAAGATGGTACGTTCAACGTGCCTCACGTGTCCCCCCACGTGTCCCCCATGTGTCCCCCCCCCCACCTTCCCCCACCGGGTTAACGTTCTTGTTAATTGCGTGCAGTGCGAACATGTGTGTCGGGTTTGCGCTCCGCCTAGACCTCATCATCATCGTTGTCATCATAAAGGGCTTAATAAAACGTGTTTAGAAATATTTACACGTTATTACAACTATGGAAAAGGTTACACGAAGAAAGTACCAACATGCATTATTTATCCGTAATACAGATGTTTTTTTTGGGGTTAGATCGCGTAAATATATAAATGTGTCGTTAAACCCGCCGCCATTATTTAGAATGGGAGTCGCACAAGGTGATAACTCGCTTTTGTCAAAGTTTAAAGATGTTTTCCCTGAAAATGGGCTGGTGAAACAAATGCATAGAAGATTTGGAGAATATTTTAACCATCTCAGATTTGCTGGCGACACGGTCGTTATGGCGTGGCAACAAACGTGGCCGGGCGATGTCCTGACTACAATGTGTCTCGTACTAGTGTATCCAGACGATCGTTAACAGCACTAGCCCAAAACGTCTGTAAGTATACACTGGCGTTCTTTGTCATTGATGTGTAATCTGAGCCGTCCATAGACATCCTCCACTAAGCGATGAATGACACTTGTATTGTGTGTGCTTATGTACACAATCCCACCTGCGCTCGCCGCATTGTAGCCAATGCAGAGAGTTGTGTCAGTGCATTCCTGTGCATTCCTCTGGTAGATTCTTATTTACAATGAAGTGTCTAAACCCACCTACACCCACACGGCCAATTAGCGAGGTGTGTCACATTGAACAAAGCGTACCAATTAGGTACCGCTTCAATTTGTAAAAAAACTACAATTAGTTACCCCTTCAATTAGTTACCACGTCAGCACGTCCGTCGGTGTGGAGAGCGAAGCCACAACATTTCCGACACACCATTGGAACCTCCTTTGCCAGTAACAAAATATGATAATTTTTTTTTTACCCTTTTCTGGCAACAAAACTGACACCTTTTTTTGGTCCAACACCATGTGAGACTAGGCTCTAAGGAAAGCTGTCTCTGGTGTGGACCAATCAGTTCCAAAGACAATACATACATTATCAGAGTTGTGTTTTTTGTTTGCATTCCGACTGCAGGTATTGTGGTCAATGCAAACATGACTCCTTGTAAAAAAAGGTGTCAGTTTTGTTGCCAGATAAAAGGGTTTAAAACCAATTATAATTTCCGACACATTCATATTTATGCGATCTAACCCAAAAAAACTGATGAATAACATTGGTCACGAAAGCCTAGGTTGCAAAATAGATTATTGTTGTTGTTACTCTTGCCTCTTTGTTTCACGAGGTTCCTGCTAAGTGTTTTTCCCGCAGTCAGGGGCAATGCTGCTGCTGCTGCTGTGTGCTATCTCAGTGGAGTCAATTTCAGGTCATTTCTCAGCATTGAGATGTCTGGCCGATACCGGGACACACTCTTAATGCGTTCCTTTAAGCTGACCGTTATTTATGAACAAAGCGTATTGAAGAACTCTTCTTCTGTCTGCACATGCACACATAAATTAAATTTCTATACAGAATCAAAACGCTTATTTATACTGGAGGTATCCGATGGAGCTATAAGCTTTTTTTCACAGATGTACCAGGAGGGGCACGGGGTAAGAACGTTACAACAACAAACAATACAACAACACGGTAGGAGTGCAAAGTCACGTGACGAGAGTGGAGGGTGATGTGCCAGTGATGCGAGTGATGGTTCTGTCCTTCACCCCCCCTCCCAACTCCCCCCCCCTCCCATTATATCCTCTCTGCTCTCAACCCCTGCTCTGCCTACCTCTCCCCTCCTCTCCACACTTACCCCTGCTGTCCCCTCTCATCCCCTCCTCTCCACACTTACCCCTGCTGTCCCCTCCCCTCCGCTGCGCTCCATGCCCCGCTCCCGCGAGCCAGAGGCTCAAGGCCGTGCTGAGCCAGCAGCCGAGCACCATGGGAGCGAGCATGACGGAGATGCAGCCGCTGAGCGTGTTCACCGGCGGGCGCCACGAGCTGCCCGGCGCGGGCCCACCGCCCTCGCAGGTGCGGTCCCCTGGTGGCTGCCTCCTCACCCCCTTTGTTTATTTTACGATCAGAAGAAACAAAAAGATGCTTCGTTCATCATGTCGTTTTTTGGGTTTTTACTTTTTTATGACCTTTTTTTACACCAGAATTATAACATATTTACACGTTTTCTCGTGGAACAAAAACCCATTGCTAGATCCCACCGTCAGTCACATTACACAGAGCACCCTCTGTAGCCCAACGTATCAAAAAGGATGGGACACCCCCCCCCACCCGTCAACTGAGCGTAGCGAAATCCTAGCCAGAACTCTGCTGTCACCCCGCCGCCTGCTGGCTTGTGACATCGTGCCACAGCACCCCACCGCCATATCTGCCCCTCGCTCCTTATTCCTGCACCGTAGTCTGGCAGGAGGACCCCTCACGCAGGAGGGTGGAGACAACAGAGGAGGCCTGGGGGGGGGGGGGAGGGGTCAATGTGAACTGTAATTGTCACATTGGTAATGGATCGCAATCACAGAACGATTGTGACTATGATTGTCATATCGGCCAATGGTGCTGTGTAAATTGTAATTATTTGAACCCGGGTCCGCTGCAGGGTGGAGTAGAGTGGGTGTGCGGAGTGGAGTATGGGACTGTGAAGTGGAGTATAGGAGTGCAGAGTTGTGGGGTGCAGGAGGTGGGAATTTGTAGTGCAGATTGGGAGGGCATTGGGAGTTATAGGAAGATGGGGTGGCGTTGTGGGAGGGTGAATTAGCGTGCATTATTGAAGTTGGGAGTAGAGTGCAGGAGTGTGGAGTGGATTGTAGGACGCCGGAGTGTGGAACGGAATGCGGGAGGGTGCAGTGTGCTGTGCATTATTGGGAATGCCGAGTGGTGTACAGTGCGAGAGTATAGAGTGGATATATTTAGAGGCTGTGACGGGAGAGGCCCGATGCGAAAGGAAAGTGCTATGCAAGACGATCTCAATACAGACAAACCAACAGAGATAACACGAATCAAGGGATCACACGCGCACGACACAACGCATCTGTCGGCAGAACCAACTCCCGGCCAACGTGGGCTCCCATTTTGGTGGTCGCGTACCTCCGTTCCCGAAGGGAGCGGCACACTTTAGTCAGGAATGCGCTTGGAAACTAGATGTGACCTCGTGGGGTCAAAGTGGAAGAGAGACCATTACCTGCTTAGGTCAGCCACCTAGGTTTGGGCCATGTTTTGTCAATTTTTTTTATTTTATTAAATAACATTTAAGCATGGCATAGCATAACCTAGACACAGCTGTGTGTTAACACACAGTGCCGTGGTGGCGAGATGTTTACTACCTCGCCTGGTTCACAGGTCATGGGTTCGATCCCGACCCCGACGCCTGCTGTATATTTGGAGTTTACGTGTTCTCCCCGTGGTCGTGTGGATTTTTCTCCGGGTCCTGCGGTGCAGAAGGGCTCAAGTCTACGCAGCCAATCGCTTGTTGAAGCCTCGTCCAATTGGCTCTTGAAAGTAACTGTGCTGGGCTTGTCCTCGCGATGTCTCGGCAACGGGGTCTGGTCCACCGGCCCAGCGGTCCGCAGGTTACACGGCAGTTGGAGTCGGCCCTCTTCTCATTGCCGCCGTTCGCTCTCCCGTCCGCAGATGTCTCCCGGTTACCTCTCGTCGGGACAGCCGTCGCCACAGTCGTCCGTGAGCAGCAGGGGGGGAGGAGGGGGAGGCGGCGGGGGAGGGGGAGGAGGCGGGGGCAGCGGGCGCCGGCGGCGCTCGGCCGACGACGACCCCGACGAGAGGCGGCGCAGGTTCCTGGAGCGGAACCGCGCGGCCGCGACGAGGTGTCGGCTCAAGCGCAAGGCCTGGGTGTTGAACCTCGAGCACAAGGCCGAGGAGCTCACGCACACCAACATGCAGCTGCAGGTGGGGACGGTGGGGGTGGGCACCACACGGTTTGTGTCCCAGGTTTGTTTGGCGAGTCCTTGACTAGCGCGCGACGAACATGTATCTCAAACGTGGGTAAGTGCTACCCCGAGCGTTTGGTTAAAGTAAAGAGACTGGAATGGAGATCCTAGAAGTAGTTCTGTGATACCCACTTCCATGGGCCATTCATGGCTTAATACCAACAGCACGATTGAAGTAAAACTGGGAAAAATATGAATTTTCATATATTTGGTGAGATTATTCAGTCACATACGCCGTGTGTGTATGTGGTGTGTATATGGTGTGTATGTTTATGTATGTGATCGGTTGTGTTGGCACGGTGTGCTACGAACCCAGCTACTCAAGTTTGATTTCCGCTCATGTCCAACACCAGTAACACTTATCTGAACCGGTCCTAGGCCTCCCCTAGGTCGACTCAGCCTCAAATGAGTACCTGGTGCATTGTGTATAACATCGTCACTCGGGAGACAAAGGTGGCCGGGCGTGGTGCTGGCCACTCCTTCGAGTGCCGTGCCGGCCTTCATAGATGCTCGCCGAGAGCACTTGCCCCAACAGTCTGTAAAGGCTACCTGGTGGATATTTGTCCTGGTGTCTCAGAGCGAGGTGTCCATACTGAAGAACGAGGTGGCCCAGCTGAAGCAGCTCCTGCTTGCTCACAAGGACTGCCCCGTCACCGCCATGCAGCGAGCCGGACACGGATACGTGTGTGAGTGCACACCGCAACACCACCCTACCACACCACCACACCACCACACCACACACTGCAACACCACACACTGCCACACCACCGCAGCACCACGCAGTTGCACTTTATTTTGCACGCGGTTGGAATTCACTTTGCTCAGTCGGTGTTTGCCACCGAGGTCGTGACGGATTTTTCTTTTTCTCATTGCTGTCGCTGCTCCGTGTCACCTGTACCGTTCCCATTCCATTGAAATGTGCACTGATGCCATTATTGAGGGCGATATTGGCAAGTAAAATAAAGATTGATTGACTATCACCACACTACCACCACATCGATAGTGGAATTGGCCAAACTCCCGTCACCTCTCATCGTTATCCATCAATTAACATAACTCTCCATCACACTCCCATCACTCCCCATAATTACCCCATCGTCCCCGGTTGTCTCACGTTGGCCCGTGCCCCCCCCCTCGGCCCCTCGCAGCTGACCCGGAGGAGGGCCCTGCGGACGACGCCCTCGGCCCCGCGCACCTCCAGCAGCAGCAGGTGATCCAGCACGGCACCCCCACCTCCTCCTCCTCATCCTCCTCCTCGTCGTCGTCGTCCTCCGCCGCAGCCAACGGCCTCCCGCCGACGACATCGTCGTCGTCCACGCACGATGCGGCGGCGGCGGCGCAAGCGAGGGCGGCGCTGGGCCTGGGCCTCGCGTCCTCGCGGCCGCAGCCAACGAACAGCTGACAGGACGGCGCCACAGCCGCTCCGGGCTGCGCGTCGCCGCCGATCCTTGAGATGTGAGGAACTCGTAGAGGCCGTGACGACCGCTGCTCCAAGCCGCTCACTACGTACGCATTGGAGGGAACTCCCGGGGGGGGGGGACAACGCTGCCTTACTCGAGCGAGCGCAACCGTGTTGGCTCCGCTTGCGCCGTGCGTTCGGTGGACAGACGAGCGATGATGGTCGGGAGGGGGCCAGGAGCTCGTCCGAGCCGCGCCCTCCAATTAATACTCACGGCGGGACCACGATGCCGTGCGGCGCTCGGACGTGGCGGGGTGGGGGGGGGTGGCTGCGCCCTCCCTCCCCCCGCAACCCGGCTTCCCCCACAGCTCCGTGCGAAAATATAACCACCGCGCGTTTGCGTGCGGGAGCAGCCAAGCAGCGGAAGGGAGCATCTCCATGAAAAACAAAAATCCAGCCTCCTAGTGAAAACCTCCGCCTGGGCACGACGACGTCTCTCGGACAGCGCGCCGGGAATCCGGGATGGCGGCGGAGCCGCCGTGCCGATAGGGGGGGGGGGGGGTGGGGGGGGTCTCTCCTCGTTTACAGCGGCTCCATCAAGTGCCGCTAGCACGGCGAGTTCCCCCTTGACACCAGCACCCGGAACGGACTCGGGCGGCGAGGACTCAGCTGCTATAATTTGTACGATGCAATCTCCCAAAGAGCTACTCGACCCGCAGGACGCAAGCCCGCGGGCGGGCGGGCGGACGGGCGGACGAACGAAAGGACAAACCGACTCGGAGCACTTCCACGGCACGAGGGCTGGGTGCCGAGATTTTAACCGGAAACCGCACTGCGTCGGTGCCCGGCAATACGCGCACGCACGCGCGTACGCGAGCCGAGGGTTAGAGGGGCGAGGCGCCATCGGCCTGCGCCCCCGACGCTGTACGTGAAGAAGCTGTCGTGCGCCCTTTGCCTTGTGCCAACCTAGGCGAGTTACACACGGACTGTTAGCGGTGGACGCAGCCCAACAGAGGGGTAGAGCTCTCGTCTCATAGATGGGGGTTCTTCATCCTCATGACCTGCCACGGTACTTCTTACTCAGTTTGCCATCTTGTTTCCTACTCCTGCCTTAGCCCCGTTTACAGAGACCGCTGGGTCATTCGACTTCCGGCAACAGTCCTCCTCCTGTTGGCAATGATCGTCGCGCGCCAAGCGCCCGTTTAGCTGGTGGCTCCATCTCCCTTCCAATGCGAACGGAATGGTCACGAGTGGTACGCACCCGGCGATTGCAGTGCACGTTCCACGTGGAGCAGGCGACAGACCTGGTTTCAATTGACATCGAGACGTCGTGGGAAATTAGAAATCGCGCACTTTCACACGTACGCACGACATCTCGGTCTTTCATTTGAACCAGCGCTAGGTCACGTGAAATGTGTTTTTCACAATCATCGGGCACGTTCGCAAGCTCGTAAACCGCTTGGTGTGCATGTGAACGCGGGTAAAATGGCAAACGTGGAATTGTGTACCGGGGTGGGTTCCAAGGACGGGAGTGAGGAGGCCTAGGACACGGTCCCTTGGTCAATCCACTGCTGGATGAGGGCCTCCCCACGTCGTGGGGCAGTTACGTGGCCATCCTTCACCACCCTGGGAAGAGTGCGGGTTGAAGGTGGGGACCACAGACGTGGAAGCAGTGAAGTACAGTATAATGGATTCTGCTGCACAGGACAGGCCTCTTTGGGTTGTGTCTCCCTTGATGCTGCTGATGCAAGCGGCGACGAGGTCGGGGGTGGAACGACGCATCGACTCGCCGACAAACGTCGATTTTTAATCCCGCTATACCCGCACAAAAATGATTGGGTTTTATTCACACCGTAATCTCTGTACGTAATTAGTTCTTCAACCCCTGCGGCAACAACAACGATCTTACAGAAGTACTTGTTAGTCAAATCGCGTCGCCGCCTCGAGTCGATAACGATTCACCGAACCGGTGAAGGAGGATGAATCGTTCCGCCCCTGACCAACGCGTCGCACTCCACCTCCCGTGGAGCGAGGGATGGTGGAGCCCCGCGGCCTACCACGTTTCCCCCCTCCTCCACTTCCCTGTTAAAACTGCCGACAAACCTAACCTCCTGAGCACGCGTAAAAACGAGGCTGATGCAATGTACATACACGGGAGGCATGTGGGCAACGGCCGTCGGTCTTGTCCGTCCGTCACGCAGACCAGCTGCAGATTTGTCTCGACACCAATCGGCCAGACACATTCTCTCTCGACGTGCACCGTCCGTCCGTGTGTCTGGCGAGCGGAGATGGGCCGGAGATGGCACAAGGCCGTCTGGCGTCGAGGCAAGACTCTGGACGCACCGTACTGCCCGTCCCCGACCGTTTTGGGGTGTCGAGATGAACTCCCGACACGGACGGTTCGTCTCCACGTCTCGCTATCTACGTGACGTCTCCACGTCACGCTATCTGCGCGATCTGCGTGACGTGGAGACAGTCTGGCTGTGGAGACTGACGGACTGTTTTGACGGACCGTTTTGACGGACCGTTTGCCCGTGTGGCGCGTGGACACGGGCTGGAGTTGTTCGTCTCGCGCGTCCCACTAAAGGTCGTCCAGTCACATGCGCTGCCCGCATCAGTAATCCTTTGCCTTAAAAGTGCATGCGTTCAGTTTCATTATTTTATTTGAAAATGTTACCATTTTTTTTCAAGTCCCGTCAATATTCAGACACCACTGTGTAATGGCAAATAGGGGTTTTTAATACTAATAATTTAAATTGCTTTGGTTGTTAAGTGTATATGCAGTTATGCTACAAACTGGTTGCAAATAGACGCTGTGTAACGGCAGCTGCTTTAGATTACATGATACGACGCCCATACACACTACTGTATAATTATTTCAAATCCTGACTCTGACGTCGGATTTAACATGTAAATATTGATAACACGCTTTTTTTTAAGTTGTGCCCGGTCTCCCGAGTGTGTGAATCTTGGCCAGTTCGGTTGTACCGCTGTGGTGGTGGTGGTATAGGCGGTTAATGGTGCCGATGGTGGTGTATGTGGTGGTGTAGACGGTGTTGTAAAGGCGATTTGAGTTGCAGGTGGAAGCCATTGATGTATGCGATGGTAGAGAGCACAGGGTTGGAGGCTGTGAATGGGCGGTGGTGTTGTGGTTGTGTTGGTTGTGGATGTGTTGGTAGCTGGTGGTGCTGATGGGAAGATGTTTTGGAGTAGTAGACAGTAGCAATCGAGATGGTCATAATGGAGGTGGTGGTGACGGTAAGTAACCGGCCTCTGTGGAGGAGGCTCGTGAAGGACGCTACTGGGCAACAACAGAGGGCAGAGGAGCGATACGAGCAGAGTGCCGGGTGGCTAAAATACAGCAAGTTGGCGCAGTAGTGAGTACAGCTGGTGCATCTACCAGTCATCTCAATCAGCCAATCCATGGCACCTGGGTGTGTCCCAAGACCTGTCAGCGAGCCTTCGACACTTCACGTGGCCTCAAAGTGCACTTGGCCTGGCACAGGCGCCGTGGTGACATTACCGTCACTTAGTTGCGAATGGCGGCTATTGGTAAGTAACCGAGGTGGTAGCAGTGGAGGTGGTGTTGATGGTGGTGGTGGTAAGTAACGGAGGTGGTGTTGATGGTGGTGGTAAGTAACCGAAGTGGTGGTAATGGAGGTGGTGTTGATGGTGGTGGTGCTGAGAAATGATGTAGGAGTAGGCGGCGAAGGTGAGTGACGGATGTCGCGCCGGAGCTAGCCGTGCGCTGGTCCAGTTTGCCCGTCGACGTGAAACGCGCAACCGAGGTGCTGGTCGGGTTGGCGGGCGCCCAAATCCTCACGGCGACTCTGCTCCTGGCTTCGCTACTCCCGCCGCTTGCCGTCACACGGCCACGCCCATCAGGTTGACGCGCCGGTTGTGGTAGCGCTTGGAAATGTCCCCCTCGATCTGCGAACGACACGCCGCCGTGAGCCGGTGTGACATCGAAGAGTACTCCAAGTGTACGATTTGTGATGCCAGGGTAACAATCCCAAGGTTGGAAGAATATATATAGAGTTCAGTCACCCCCAAGGGTACAGATACAATGTTTACGTGGGTGTCCCTTGCCCACTGGATGCTTCTGGTGTTGCCAACTCTCGCAGTTTTCCAGCAGGCGCCCCGATTGGAGGATTTCTGGGGGAGGAACTTAGTCCCCTGCCCGCCTCGCCACTTACTGTTCCCACTACCCATCATGCATCACTTTTTATCTGCGCCTCTGAGGATGCAGTGGTGGTTTAGGCCGCTCGTTTTTTTTCTTAAAATTTTTATTTTGCCAAAGTGTTGCCCCGTAAAACCCGAGAAAGAGCGGCACGCGACTGCGTTAGCGACGGCGCGTACGGAGCGAACGTACGAGCGCCTGCAGCTCCCGGGAGCGCGCCAGCAGCACGTCGAGGCTGGGCTGCAGCGCCACCTGCTCCTGCAGCGCCTCCCGCTGGCGCTGCACCGCCGCGTCGCGCTTCCGCAACGCCGCCTCCGCCTGCCGCAGCTTCTGATTCAGCGTCGTAGTGAGCCGGTCGACGTAACTGCACGCCCATGCACACACGCGCATGAACGCACACATGCACATGCACGTACGCCGGCACAACGTGAGAACGCTGTAGCCGCGGTCAAACACGACTGGACTGCCCACTCCCCACCGAGTCTTGGAATGCGATAATAGCCGATCGTTCAGTTGATAATGGAAGAGTCCGAAGTGAGAGTTATAGGTTGTTACCCGTTTTTCTTTAATGATGATAAACCACTCAAGACAATTGACTTGCACGTATACCGCTCCCCTCTTGTGCTAACGTAAGATTATTTCTATGTACTGTACGTGCATGTCGCTTGAACGTCTTTCATAGCCAACCGTGCTAATCGGAGGTGCATGGGGAAGTTTTTAAAGAAATGCCTTTTTGCTCCAGTGGCTTACTAATATCAGAACGTTCCAGACGGTCGCAGAAGCGGATGATGCAGTGACCGTCCTTTATTCCAAGCAAAGCCGACTCCAGCCGTGCAACCCCTTTCCCCCCATTCCCCCACCACCCGGTGGTGGCACCTCACCGCGGTGACGCGTGGATCATGAAGAGCTGGCGCATCTTGAGCGAGGTGAGGCGCTGGGTGAGCGCCCGCGTCTCTCCCAGTGCGGCCTCCACGCCGCGCCGCGACTGCTCCTGCAGCACGAGCGGCGCCGCCTCGAACTGGTTGATGGACAGAACGTCGGCCTCCTCGCTCAGCTCCGCCGCGCGCTGGACAAGGAAAGCCTCCAGCTGGGGCGGAGGGGGGGGGGGATAAGCGAAAGCCACGAGCTGTTTTATTTTATTTCCCAGGTAAGGCCCACTGAGCCGTGTAGCTCTTTTCCAGAAGCGACCACCCTGGCTATCACAAACGACAGCTCAACGAAGTGGCTTAGCGTCACGTGGAAATGTGTAGCGGCCAAATACTCTAAACGTGGAGGGAAAAACCGGAGGACCCGGAGGAAATTCCAAGCGACCACGGGGAGAGAGAGACACGCAAACTCCAAATATACAGGCTTCGGGATCGAACCCACGACCTGCATAACCTCCTCCATACCGGGCAAGGGAGATAACATCTGGCCACCACGGTTCGATGGGTGAGAGGCAGGGGATCGGTGAGGAGGAGCGATGGGGGGGGCGAGGGGGAGAAATGGTGAGAGCGGGGAGACGGGAGAGGGCAACTGAGGGAGATGATGAAAGGGCGAGAGACGGGAGGGAGGTGGGGGTGAGATGGAGAGCTGGGGAGGTTTCAGTTTCATTTATTAGGTATAGCCCCGTGAGCCATTCGGCTCTTGAATCGTGTGCAACCGCAACAAACAAAAACTAAAATATGAACAAAAAAACATCTTAAAGTGACTATGCACAAACAGAAAAATCCAGCAAAAAACATCAAAAACTTCCAGAAAAAGCACCATACACCAACACTGTGCAAAAATCCCAGTGGGATTAAAGTCAAACAAGGTGTACCGCCTCCCCACTCCCGTTGGGGACTGAGGCGGACTGCGATTGAGGCTCATGGCCTGAGTCCCTGTGCTGCGTTTGGGACAGAACTGGGCCACTGTTGCTGGGCTCTCAGTGGTAAGTAAAACCAAGCAAGTTCGAAAAAAAATCACGCGGAAATATTTACTTGGCATCGTGGAAGCCAACGGGCGGCTGTCACGGCAAATCGCGTCTACATATTTGCTACATTTCCTCCTCCACTCTGGTTTGTTTCTCCAAATGTTTTAAGGAAACCGTTTGTTTAATGTGGCCGGTGTTCAAGAGGGAATGTTGGGCTCATGTTGGATCGTCTTCACGAGAGTTGCTGGACGCATGGATAGGTCTCGTGCAAAGATACGTTAAACATAAGTTGGAAAGCGTTCATCAGAAATAAAAAATATTTTTTTTTACTTTTCATTTCAGCAGTTAAAGCCCAGCACGGCGTATAGCTATATAGCTCTTTTTCAGATGTTACCTGGCCACAGATGACAGCTCAACGAAGTGGGGGCTCATCACGTGAAGTTTATAGCAGCCCAATAATCTAAACGCGTGATGTTGATTCTAAATGTGGAGGGAAAAACCAGAGGACCCGGAGAGAGAGACACACAGACTCCAAATATACAGCAGCAGGCATCAGGGGTCGGGATAGAACCCGCAACCTCTTGCATACCAGGCGAGGTAGTTAACATCTCACCACCGTGGCGTCCCTTTGTGCGGGGTGGGAGGGGGTGGGGGTGTAAGGGAGGGGGGGTGTATGGGAGGGGGCACGTGCGGGCAGGGGATGGGCAAGCACCTCCATGAGCTCGTCGATGAACTGATTCCGCGTTTCCAGGTTTTCCAGCACCGTGAGGGCATCTGTACCGTGAGCCTCGCCCGCTCCTGAACCCACAGACACACCGGTGTGATGCGGAGGTGTGGCATGTTGGTGTGACGTGGTGGTGTCATACGGTGTGTGGTGGTGTGACATGGTGTGCGGTGGTGTGACGCGGTGTGCGGTGGTGTGACGCGGTATTCAGTGGTGTGACGCTGTGTGTGGTGGTGTGACGCGGTATTCGGTGGTGTGACGTGGTGTGGCGGTGGTGTGCTGTGCTCTGCGGTGCCGTGTGTGAGTGCTGGCCGGCTGTGTCGCGGTCACAGCAGATCCACCGACCATCTCCTTGGCTGCCCGGGTCGCACTCCTTCCCGTCGTCCACAACCTCGATCGTCCAAGCGCCATCATCACCACCGTCACCACCGGCGCCGGCATCCTGACGCATGCAAGGGGTGAAGGGAGCGCAGATAGCAAGTGGATGAGTGGGTGAAGCGGGCGCAGGTGGCGTGTGGGAGTGGTTGTGGGTAATGTGCGGTGAGCGGTTGAAGTGACTGTGTGTGGCGAGTGGACACACGTGCCCCTCGCCCCACTGGTTATCATGGAAGGTGAACGAGCATCGGTGGTGAGCGGTGAGTCACCACCACAACGCTTGTTCAAGCAGTCGGCACCGACGCTCACCTCGCCGCCTCCCTCCAGGCTGATTTCCCAGTCGATGCCCTCTGCTTCCTCACCACCTGGCTGTGCGTCACCCTCACCACCACCGTTCCTCGCGTCCACCGGCGTCTCCGCGGTGAAGTCGCCAAAATCGATTCCCCCGGCCTCCTCCTTGGCGCCGCGGAAAAAGCGAAGCGAAAGTCACGATCGTTACCAGGTGAGCGGGGTTACGGCTTACCCAGCGAGGAGGGGATGCTATGGCCTGCTGCGGAAATGACAGAGTGGCAGCCGAATGCGTTGGAACGCTCCCGAGAGCCGTGCTCGCCGAAGAAACGGAGCGATAAAATCGTCTCGAGGTACAGGTGGCGAGGCGGGCCGCTACACCGCAGGATTGTGAAAGACGGAAATGTCTCGGGGAGGCCTCTATCCAACAGCGAATTGATCGTAGCTGCTGCTGCTGATGATGATGCAGGGGGTAACGCTCACCCGGTGAGTGATGACACTCGCCCGGCGAGTGGGGTAACGCTCACCTGCTTGGCCGGTGAGGAGAGGTCCCCTTTGTCCGCGGGGACTGTGGGGGGGTGCAGGGAGGAAGGGGGCTTCCCCGTGCGCCACTCGTGCACCGTTGTGTTCCCCTTGTGCTGCACGTGTCTCAGCAGCGGCAGCACCTTGTCCCGGTCACTGACGAGACACACATAAATCCCCTGTATAGCCTTCATAGACTGTTGGGGCAAGTGCCGTTAGTGAACGCCTATTAAGGCTGGCACGACACACGAGGGGGTGGGTGGCCAGCACAAAGCCCGGCTGCCTTTGTCTCCCGAGTGGTGATGTTTTACGCATGTACCAGGGTACTAATTTGAGGCTGAGTAGACCTAGGGAGAGCCCAGGACCGGTTCAGATAATTTTCGGGCATGAGCGGGATTTGACCTCCGGTCACCAGTTGTGTAGCGCAGCGCGCTCCCCAACGTCGAATCGCACGCACACACGCACACGCATGTACGCGCCGTGTCTCACCCCTCGCACACGAACTCCACGCACGCCTGGTAGAGCGCCACGTGCTGGGCGAGCTGCGCCGACGCGGACGCCACTTCGCTCAGCGTGCCCGGCAGCTCCCGCAGCAGCGCCAGCAGCTCGTCACGCACGCTGTCTCCCTGCGGCACAAACGCCATCGCCACCGCATACGGGCAATCAATCAATCGCCACCACTACGACACAGTGGCAATCGCCACCACCACACGGCATCTCGGTTAGCGAGATGCCGTGTGCTGGTGTGGCAACGGTGCTGGCGAGTTACCGAGATGTCGTGCTGGTGCGGCGCGGTGCCGGCGAGTTACCGAGATTCCGTGCTGGCGGCACGCCACGTAGAAGCCCTCGCGCAGCTCCGCCGCCGCGTTGGCGCACTCGGCCTCCCGCCGCGACATCTCCTGCTGCGTGGCGGCGCACTTGGCCATCTGGCGGCGCACCGCGGGCGCCTCGTACAGCACGCTGCGTGCCAGCAGGTTCGCCAGCTCCGCTGCGGCACGCACGCACGGCACGCACGGGCGAGGGTTAAACCGCGGAACAGATGGCACGCAGTGTGACGCGGGATCGAAGGTCTCCGCGCGTGACGATCGACCGTCCCCCGTTGGGCGAGGCGAGACGCTAGGAGGGATGATGGCCGGTGGTCCCGAGAAGGGAACGGGCACGGGGGGGGCACGTACCGCGGAGACGGAGCGATGAAATCGGCTCGTGTGCAGGAGCTCAACGGATTGTGGTGTCGCGAGACGGTTACAGATGGAGACGGATTGCGGAGGCCTGCATCTAGCAGTGGAGCGATCACGGCCAATGATGATGATAGGATTTGTACTGTATCAGATTTGCGATTCCAGTGTCGGGTGTTGCAGCCGTCACCCGGACGTTAGCGTCCGCGCACGCACAATACGAACCTAGATAGACATTGTCCTTCTCGTACATCGACACGATGTCTTGCCAGTCCTGGAACAAAAAGAGGGGGCAGAATTGTTCTGGGGGTTTGGAATATTTCACCGCCCACAATCAACTCGCAACGCCCAAGAACCGAGTTGAAGAAACACGGTGGGAAGCTCCTGAGATTGAAACTCGGGTCCTTGGAGTCACCCGCTCACCTTCCGTTCTCCTTCATTAACGGACCGGAATTTGAACGTCTCATTTGAACGCAAGGACAAACGGAATCCATCCGTACATGTATCAGGATTCAAGACGCTTATTGCGAGCGTCAAGACCGACTTTAATTCGTGAACGTTTGCACGCGTGACCCTTAGAAAATGAACGACACGTGACTTTGAGCTGATGAATGGCCGGGCCTCCCCTCTCACCTTCATCCGCTGTGAGGAGTATCGCCCGAAGATGTTCTTGCTGGAGGCCTCGGTGGAGCGCAGGATTTCCACGATGCGCAGGCAGTGGAAGTATTGAATGTCTGGTTGCACAGCAACACGTAACCACAGCAACCAGTAATCGTGGCTACCAGTACCATCCCGTATCCAGAGGAACACGCTCTTGACACGCAGCATGCATAGTAACCGAGGGTAACCGAAAACTGTCGCACTAAACTCGAAAATTGCAGCATCCTGTAACTATAGCAACAAGCTCTGATCCACAGCATCCATTAACAAAGGAAACCATTTCAAAGACATGATACACAGCATCCCGTAACCACAGCAATCAGTAACCACAGCATCGCATAACCACAGCAATCAGAGCATCCAGTTTTCATAAGCTAGACATCCACATTAACCCTGTATGTGCATGTCAGTAGCATCGTCAACTGAACCACAGATCGGGTCTGGAATTGAGGTCAGAATACCCGCTACATCCGAGTCTCAAGACGAAGCCTCGGCTCTACCCGTTTGGTTTGTGCAGGTGGGGGCAGGTGACTCGAGGTGGCATATCCAGGTGAGGTGTGCAGGTGAGAAAGCGGAGGCGAGATGTAAACGCGAGAATGCGTGCAGTGGGGTACAGGTGTAATGTCTGTGTAGGTGATGTCAGTACGTGAGTGTGGTGCACAGGCGACTTCAGGTGAGTTGATTGCGGTGTGTGTTTGAAGTATAGGTGAGTAGGGTGGGTGAGCACGGTCAGTTTGGTGTACAGGTGAGGGCGTGTGAGTACGGTGAGCTTGGAGTATTGGTGAGTATGATAAGATTGGTGTACAGGTGAGTGGTGAGTACAGGTTAGTGCGGTGAGCTTGGAGTATTGGTGAGTATGATAACTTTGGTGTACAGGTGAGTGGTGAGTACAGGTTAGTGCGGTGAGCTTGGCATATTGGTGAGTATGATAACTTTGGTGTACAGGTGAGTGGTGAGTACAGGTTAGTACGGTGAGCTTGGAGTATTGGTGAGTATGATAACTTTGGTGTACAGGTGATTGGTGAGTACAGGTTAGTACGGTGAGCTTGGAGTATTGGTGAGTATGATAACTCTGGTGTACAGGTGAGTGGCGAGTACAGGTTAGTACGGTGAGCTTGGAGTATTGGTGAGTATGATAAGATTGGTGTACAGGTGAGTGGTGAGTACAGGTTAGTACGGTGAGCTTGGAGTATTGGTGAGTATGATAACTTTGGTGTACAGGTGAGTGGTGAGTACAGGTTAGTACGGTGAGCTTGGAGCGTACAGGTGAGGGCGTGCGAGTACGGTGAGCTTGGAGTTCTGGTGAGTGCAGGTGAGTGGTGAGTACAGGTTAGTACGGTGAGCTTGGAGCGTACAGGTGAGGGTGTGCGAGTACGGTGAGCTTGGAGTTCTGGTGAGTGCGGTGAGTGCGGTGCGTGTGATTTACGTGTGCCACTCAGCAGGCTGCGGATGTCCGGGTGCTCCGGCATGTCCCGCATGGCCACCGCGATCCTCTCTCGAATAGCGCCAACTGCACCCTGCCAACGCAGCCCGCAGTGACGGCGGTCGACCAGCCAATCTGTGTCACACGGGGACACGGGAACAAGGGGGTAGCAGTCAGTCTGTGTCACACGGGAACAAGGGGGTAGCAGTCAGTCTGTGTCACACGGGGACACGGGAACAAGGGGGTAGCAGTCAGTCTGTGTCACACGGGGACACGGGAACAAGGGGGTAGCAGTCAGTCTGTGTCACACGGGGACACGGGAACAAGGGGGTAGCAGTCAGTCTGTGTCACACGGGGACACGGGAACAAGGGGGTAGCAGTCAGTCTGTGTCACACGGGGACAAGGGGGTAGCAGTCAGTCTGTCTCACACGGGGACACGGAGACACGGGGGTAGCAGTCAGTCTGTGTCACACGGGGACACGGGGACAAGGGGGTAGCAGTCAGTCTGTGTCACACGGGGACACGGGAACAAGGGGGTAGCAGTCAGTCTGTGTCACACGGGGACACGGGAACAAGGGGGTAGCAGTCAGTCTGTGTCACACGGGGACACGGGAACAAGGGGGTAGCAGTCAGTCTGTGTCACACGGGGACACGGGAACAAGGGGGTAGCAGTCAGTCTGTGTCACACGGGGACAAGGGGGTAGCAGTCAGTCTGTCTCACACGGGGACACGGAGACACGGGGGTAGCAGTCAGTCTGTGTCACACGGGGACACGGGGACAAGGGGGTAGCAGTCAGTCTGTGTCACACGGGGACACGGGGGGACCGGCCTGCCTGTATCACCCATGATTGTGGTGGACACGCTACTGATTGTTCTAGATTTGAAGCTTTCGTGACTGTAAGGATTCATATTCTTAGGCTTTTTCGGGAAAGTCACGTAGGGGAAAATAAATAAATAATAACAATTTTATACAGTAATACAAAATAAACGAAATTAAATAATAAATCACGTTTTAGAGGCACCTGATGACGGAGACTTGTGTTGTCTCCGAAACGTAGTGATTTATTATTTTATTTCTATTATTATTTCAAATGTATATTATTTATTTATTTCCCCCGACGTGACGCTACTGATTGTGTTGGACACGCTACGTGACGATGCCATTCCACAGGCTTCACCTTGGGCAGACGGGGAGATGAAGGGGTGTTGGGGGGGGCACAGTCGGGTGGAGACTCACCCAGGAGTTTGCTCGTGTGGATGTCTATCGGGATGTTCTTGTACTGGTCCTGTCGACACGGCGGACAGAGGCACACACAGACACAGCGAGTTGGCATGTATCCACACAAACCGAGATAACAACACTTTGACAGGCACGCACCACACGTAAGTCACTGACCTACACATACCCAAACGACACACACACACAACGGGTTTGACATACACAATGCACACACACGCAACACAAAGACACTGACACACACACAACGGGTTTGACATACACAATGCACACACACACACGCAACACAAAGACACTGACACACACAACGGGTTTGACATACACAATGCACACACACACACGCAACACAAAGACACTGACACACACACAACGGGTTTGACACACACAATGCACACACACGCAACACAAAGACACTGACACACACAACGGGTTTGACATACACAATGCACACACACACGCAACACAAAGACACTGACACACATCACAACGGGTTTGACATACACAATGCACACACACGCAACACAAAGACACTGACACACACACAACGGGTTTGACATACACAATGCACACACACGCAACACAAATACACTGACACACACACAACGGGTTTGACATACACAATGCACACACACACGCAACACAAAGACACTGACACACACACAACGGGTTTGACATACACAATGCACACACACACACGCAACACAAAGACACTGACACACACACAACGGGTTTGACATACACAATGCACACACACACACGCAACACAAAGACACTGACACACACACAACGGGTTTGACATACACAATGCACACACACACACGCAACACAAAGACACTGACACACACAACAGGTTTGACATACACAATGCACACACACGCAACACAAAGACACTGACACACATCACAACGGGTTTGACATACACAATGCACACACACACACGCAACACAAAGACACTGACACACACACAACGGGTTTGACATACACAATGCACACACACACACGCAACACAAAGACACTGACACACACAACAGGTTTGACATACACAATGCACACACACACACAACACAAAGACACTGACACACACAACGTGTTTGACATACACAATGCACACACACACACGCAACACAAAGACACTGACACACACACACAAAGCAATTCACAGACACACAGCACACAAACACGGGACAAACGCACAAGATTTAATACACTGACATACACAACACATCGATACTTAAGACACAGCACGCATAAACAACAACACAACATGGACACAACACTAAAACAAAACGTAAACACACTGACGCACAACGCATTGATACATCGACACAACACGCATACACTACTACACATTCAACACACAAAACACACAGACAACACACAAAGATCCCCCCTACAGCCTTACCATACTGTTAGGGAAAGTGCTGTTAGCGAGCACCTATGAAGGCACACGAGGGGGTGGGTGGCCACCACCACGCCCGGTCGCCTTTGTCTCTCCAGATGCGATGTTTACTACACAGGTACTCATTTGAGGCTGAGTCGACCTCGGGACGCCCAGGTATATAATCGTCACTGATGTTGGCCGTGAGCGGGGAATCGAACTCGGGTCGCCAGGTCCGCAGCGCTAACCACTACACCACCGCTCCCCTCGGAGAGGCATGGACGACACAACACACGACACCTGAACAGCTTCGACACGAGCCACGGTGTTGGTGGTAATGTCGGGAATGATGGTGAAGGGTGATTAGAATGGTAGTGCCGGTGATGATGATGATGGTGGTGATGATACAGCGATGCCAATGAACCAACCTCCATAGCAGCAGCAGCAGCAGCTTGTATTCCTCTTGCGTGTTAGGTGTACGTATTGTGTCTCAGCTATAATTGTGCTAACGTTATGTGCATCGAGTGATTAATTCTCTCCAATGTGCGTGCTGAGTATATTGTGTGTGATGGGTGTGTGGTACAGAGTGTTCGTCGCGCTAATCTATATTACGCGTGTTGTCAATCTTGTAGGCGTTTTATGTATTTTGCGTATTACGTATGTTACGTGTGCCGAATTGTGTTACGCGTGTGTATAGTATGATGTGTTGTTTGTATATTATGTTACGTATCATTGGAGTAGCGTGTGCATGCTATGTTGCGTGCGCTTATTATGTATTACACACACACGCAGGTATATTATAATACATAATAATAATACAACGCGCCGTGTGTGTGAGAGTGAGAGTGTGAGCTGTGGTCTAGCAGGCAGCACACGTGAACACATTGACGTGGCCTCCGGGATAATCATTTGGAATTCTCAACTCGCCCTGAGGGCAGAAATATTTACAGAATAAATTGAATGGCTAATGCGAAAGTGCCCCCGGAGCGTTTCTGAACCGCAAAAGTTAATGGACACGCCCCCCCATGGACCCGGTAGTGACGTCACAACCCCCTCTGAACAAACACGTGCTTTGATCTTCAGTGATGGTTTTGTCAAACGTGGTTCAATCCCATCGCTGTCAACGCCTTATCAGTGCCCCCCCCTACATTATTCACACCTGTCAACCCCTTATCAGTGTCTACCTTGTTCATAGCTGTCAACGCTTTATCAGTGCCCCTCCCTACCTTATTACAGACCAATTCAGACCTTATTGGATCACCCCGTGCCCCTTATTAATCTCAACGCTCATCCTACAATGTCCCATCACAAGGGAGAAACACAAGCAGATAGACTATAACACAAATGTTTCGCCCGTATTGAAAAGGCAGTACGCCGTATGGACCTAAAAACTCAATTTCCCAGTACAAGAATAGGGGGTAAACCGTATAGGTTGACAGCTATGCAATCCACTGCTGGATGAATGCCTTTGCTTGTCATCCCTCGCGTTATCTCGCCGGTGTAACTTAATCTTGCAGCTCTTGCCCGCCAAAGGGGTCTTGTCTGGAAGGGGTATAGTGATTCATGGCCGTTGGGGGCGAGATGCAATGACGGGAGCGACTGCCGAACGATGGTTGACGCGTCAAGGACGAGGAGAAGGACGAGGAGATGGAGCGACGTGGATCATTACATCGCAGGCGTCGGGAGGCCGGGATGCGCCCCACCTCGTCAGATGCTTTTGTGCTCGGATGGGCGACCTGCCATGCGTAACAAGTTGTTGTTGGCTACGTGGTTGGAGCGGCAGAGACTAACTAATGCGCAAAATCTATTGAACTGTGTAGGATGCTCTGCACGTTCCCCAATCCGTACTGACCAGCCTCGTGAAGTATATTAAAATAGCTTCCCAGACCCACCCAGATGTATAGAGATTAGGGACTGTGCACGTACAAATACATCGCTGTCAACCCGCTGTACGGGTTATATCCGTATTCTTGTCGAGGGAAATTGAGTTTTGAGGTCCATACGGCGTGCAGCCGTTGCAATATGGGCACATTTTTTTCTTTCTATTTTTTGTGTTTCTACCTTGTGACAGGACTTTGTAGGGTGAACGGTTGAGATTTATAAGGGCATGGAGTGACCACGTTGGTCTGAATTGGTCTGTGATAAGGTAGGCACCAGGGACGTGCGGTCAGGGGAGGCAGGGGAGGCAGAGCCTCACCTGTAATACTCCAATGAAAATAGCTGTTACGAAAAGTAAATAATAAAATAAATGTTATGATATTTTTCCACTGATCTGTGTTATAAATGTCATTTCTGTGCGATGCCAATTATTTTTATAGTCAAAAATCGCCAAAATTGCGGAGCTCCGCTGCGAATACAGGAAGAGACGAGAGGTGAGGCAGCGACGAGCTCTGCCTCCCCTCTGATTGCGCAACCCCTCAGTAACTGGATGGAGCGCGGGCAATAAGCGCGTGCCTGTTACTATCTCAGTATGTCACCAATGTAATGTTTGTAGAGCCCTTCATTTCATGTCCTCGCCTTCCATACTCCAGGTAACTTATTTCACGTATGTGTATAAAGATATTTAGGCTCGCTGGTCTCGTCATGAAACTGCAATGAAACATTACCAGGCTGCAGTCTACATTATAGACTGCCAGTACACTCACTTCCATTAAGAACCACGCTACAGTCCACATTAGTGGTTTTGTAGTTTTTTTTATAATTTTAATTATTTGTATGCAATTTTTTTCTATCTACGTGATTTTACCAGTATAACCGAAGAATATGAATTCCTGCAGTCACGAAAGTTTGAAGTCAAAACAACACATTTATTTATTAGAACACAAGAAAATAAATAAAGCGTTTGAACCCAAAGGAATCTGATCAATTAACTTGACCCCCTAACTTGACCCCCTGACTTGACCCTCTAACTTGACCCCTTAATTTGACCCCCTGACTTGACCCCGTAACTTGACCCTCTAACTTGACCCCCTGACTTGACCCCCTAACTTGACCCCCTAACTTGACCCCCTGACTTGACCCCCTAACTTGAACCCCCTGACTTGACCCTCTAACTTGACCCTCTGACTTCACCCTCTAACTTGACCCCCTGCCTTGACCCCCTAACTTGACCCCCTAACTTGACCCCACAAACAGGGCCCAATAAGAAACCCAACCCTGGGCTGAGCAAGGACAGGGGGCCTTGGAAACCTGCCAGCTGCAAAAAAAACGCCGCAAGGCTTTAAGTGTGCCTCTCCCGTAATTGACCCTGATTTAAGGAGCAATATATAAGATAATTTTGTAGACAAGGATTTATTTCCTGCATGCGACTGACGACACTTCGTATCCCCACACACGTTCACTTGGTGATGCTGCTGCATTTATTGGCATAACAAAGAATTTAAGACACTCCTCGATCACACTGTGGCCAATTATGTGCACGTGATGGTGGTGCTATGAAGCAGGGCCATTGCCCGAAACGTCGCCTATTATGTAAGTATCTTTATTTTGTGTTTTACTTTTTTACCCTAAAAAAACGAATCCTAAGAATCTCGATACTAGGATCTTAAGAAACGCGTACCCCGCTAAGCCTTACTGCGCATGCGCAATTTCACGGTAGGGGGGGGACTTGAGCGGGAGGCTGTGGGGGATGCGGGGTGGGGGCTTTGAGGGGGATGCCGGGTGGGGGCTGTGGGGGGATGCGAGGTGGGGGCTGTGGGGGGATGCGAGGTGGGGGCTGTGGGGGGATGCGAGGTGGGGGGTGTGGGGGGATGCGAGGTGGGGGCTTTGAGGGGGATGCCGGGTGGGGGCTGTGGGGGGATGCGAGGTGGGGGCTGTGGGGGGATGCGAGGTGGGGGCTGGAGGGGGGATTCGAGGTGGGGGCTGGAGGGGAAATGCGAGGGGGAGGGATGCGGGGTGGGGGCTGTGGGAGGATGCGAGGTGGGGGCTGTGGGGGGATGCGAGGTGGGGGCTGTGGGGGGATGCGAGGTGGGGGCTGGAGGGGGGATTCGAGGTGGGGGCTGGAGGGGAAATGCGAGGGGGAGGGATGCGGGGTGGGGGCTGTGGGAGGATGCGAGGTGGGGGCTGTGGGGGGATGCGAGGTGGGGGCTGTGGGGGGATGCGAGGTGGGGGCTGGAGGGGGGATTCGAGGTGGGGGCTGGAGGGGAAATGCGAGGGGGAGGGATGCGAGGTGGGGGCTGTGGGGGGATGCGAGGTGGGGGCTGTGGGGGGATTCGAGGTGGGGGCTGGAGGGAAATGCGAGGGGGAGGGATGCGAGGTGGGGGCTGTGGGGGGATGCGAGGTGGGGGCTGTGGGGGGATGCGAGGTGGGGGCTGTGGGGGGATGCGAGGTGGGGGCTGGAGGGGGGATTCGAGGTGGGGGCTGGAGGGGAAATGCGAGGGGGAGGGATGCGAGGTGGGGGCTGTGGGGGGATGCGAGGTGGGGGCTGTGGGGGGATGCGAGGTGGGGGCTGTGGGGGGATGCGAGGTGGGGGCTGGAGGGGGGATTCGAGGTGGGGGCTGGAGGGGAAATGCGAGGGGGAGGGATGCGAGGTGGGGGCTGTGGGGGGATGCGAGGTGGGGGCTTCAAGTTCAAGTTCATTTATTAGGTATAGCCCTGTGAGCCATTCAGCTCTTGAATCGGGTGCAACCGCAACAAACAAAAAACAAAAACATGAACAAAAAAACATCTTAAAGTGAATATGTGACTAAGTGCAAACAGAAAATCCAAGAAAAGACAGCAAAAATATTGCAGAAAAAACACCGTACACCAACGCTGTGTGCAAAAATCCCAGTGGGATGCAAGTCAAACAACAACAACAACCACAAGACAACTTAGATTAAGGCCATCAGTCTAACTCTGTACTACAACAACACAAACATGGCTAAACCAATACACTTTTCGAAATCACCAAAATAAAGCCATGAAGGCAATGAAAAAGCAATCATAGGAACTGACGGAATTTTCACAATAAATGGCATAAACAACATGTACTACCAAAACCCTGCAGCCATAGCTGGCTGCATGAGTCACTCCACAACAGCAGGAGCATCAATCGGAGTATTGTAATTTTTCAATGCACCTTTAAGATCAGCACACTAAATCAAAACACAGGTCATACTTTGTAGCGATCATCCGGAGCGAAACATTTTATTTTAGGTCACTGAATAGCACTGGCAGCTAGGGGTGTACAACTCCTCTAAAGCAGTTTTGAGTGAAGATCTCATAGGTAGTGACTCAAGTTTCAATTTATTTGCAACAGCATTCCAGACCCTGGGGGCATCAATAGCAAAGGCCCTTCCTCCAGTATATGTACGGCAATAGGGAATATTAAGCTGGTAAATGAGTGTAGACCTTAGGTCAAATTTGTTCTGTGGGGGGATGCGAGGTGAGGGCTGTGGGGGGATGCGAGGTGGGGGCTGGAGGGGGGATTCGAGGTGGGGGCTGGAGGGGAAATGCGAGGGGGAGGGATGCGAGGTGGGGGCTGTGGGGGGATGCGAGGTGGGGGCTGGAGGGGGGATTCGAGGTGGGGGCTAGAGGGGAAATGCGAGGGGGAGGGATGCGGGGTGGGGGCTGTGGGAGGATGCGAGGTGGGGGCTGTGGGGGGATGCGAGGTGGGGGCTGTGGGGGGATGCGAGGTTCGGGCTGTGGGGGGATGCGAGGTGGGGGCTGTGGGGGGATGCGAGGTGGGGGCTGTGGGGGGATGCGAGGTTCGGGCTGTGGGGGGATGCGAGGTGGGGGCTGTGGGGGGATGCGAGGTGGGGGCTGTGGGGGGATGCGAGGTGGGGGCTGGAGGGGGGATGTGAGGTGTGGGGTTTGCGAGGTGGGGGCTGTGGGGGGCTGTGGGGGGGGATGCGAGGTGGGGGCTGTGGGGGGGATGTGAGGTGGGGGCTGTGGGGGGATGCGAGGTGGGGGCTGTGGGGGGATGCGAGGTGGGGGCTGGAGGGGGGATGTGAGGTGTGGGGTTTGCGAGGTGGGGGCTGTGGGGGGCTGTGGGGGGGATGCGAGGTGGGGGCTGTGGGGGGGGTGCGAGGTGGGGGCTATGGGGGTTGACGAGCGGAAGCGGCGCGCGCCCGTTTCCATGGTAACCACTCAACGTCGTCACCCTCACCACGACCACCACCACCATCCACGCCTTCACTCGCCAACTCGCCGCTCTTAGTCCACCACCACCATCATCAGCACCATCATCAGCAGCAGCAGCCGCGATGCGCTAGGGGGAGGAGGGGTGAGCGGGTGGAGGGAGGCGCCGCGGCGCGGTCAACACGGCGCTCCCTTCGCGCTCAGTCTGTAGACAATCCCGTGTCGGCATCGACATTCATTGTCGCTTCTGTCGTGGTGGGTTCTTTTGTGTCTCACGTCTTCGGCTAATTGTGTTTGTTAATGTGTATTAGGACTGTCACGTTTTGTGTTGTGCGTGTGTGTGTGCTAATACGGTGCACTGGAGCGTGCCGTGTATTGAGAGTCTATGCAGAAATGCAGTTCTATTGCATTGTGTCTATTTGTGTGTACGTATTGCACAATGTGCTTTCATCGGGCTGCGTAAATTGTGTTCGGTGTCGATCCCATTGGACGTGTTGTGGATGCGGTACAGTACTCGGAGCGGTGGTGCAGTGGTTAGCGCTACGCTGCGCTACGAACCCGACCACCCGAGTTCGATTCAGGCTCACGGCCAACATCAGTGACGATTATCTGAACCGGTCTTGGGCCTCTCCTAGGTCGACTCAGCCTCAAATGCCTACCTGGTGCGGTGTGTAAACATTGCCACTGGAGAGACAAAGGCGGCCGGGCGTGGTGCTGGCCCCCCACCACCTCGTGTGCCGTGCCGGCCTTCATAGGCGCTCGCTAACAGCACTTGCCCCTACAGTCTGTGCAGGCTACACGGGGGGCCTTTGTCTTTGTACAGTAACAGTGTGTACTGTCCTGTTGTATTGTGGATGTTATGTCTTGTTGATTGTGTATACTTCGTAGTAATTGTTTCTCGCGTTTTCAAGCGTATTGTGTGTGTACCGGTTATATAGCAATTGCATATCGAATACAGTGTTGTGTTATATTGTGTATATTTAGTTGATTGTGTATTCTGTATGTAACTGTGTATAGTGTATTACTGTAGTTTATTGTGGTGTGTATATTTCTATCGTGATGTGTTTTTTTTGTCCATATTTCGGCTTGGGTCATATCGATTGTGTATACGATTGTGTAGTTTTGCGCGTTGTGTATATCGTATGTAGATCATTGGGTGAGCTATGCTTTGTCATTGCTTATTGTGTATGTATTTGTGGTACATTGTGTGTGTATTTGTGGTGAAATTTGTGCATGCCATATAAAAACAACAATTGTGCGTTGTGTACCGTCGTGTGCACGTTATGCTATGTTGTGTCCATTGTGTGTGTGTGATTGTGTACATTGTGTAGGGCTCCTTGAGTTAATGGGACGGAGAACAACTGGGGATTGCTTGGGATAATGAGACGGAGATGCATGCAGAGACATAGATGACATATTGAGGCCGAGATCCAGAGGTACAAAACCACAGTGTGTACACAGCTGTAGGCCATGAAAGCAATTCGTGTGAAAGTGCTGACATTGACCAATAAACGCTTTAAATTATATACAGTAATTCAAAATTTACGTTTTTATTGAAAGTCAGTGACGTGCTTATTTTTTTTCCCTCTATCTTGTACTGTTATTGTAGTTTTATTTTGTATTGTTTGCTGTTGTAACTTTGCTGAACCGCCCATAACTGGACATTTGCGACAAAGAGCTTAATAGCTTTCTCGGTTTCCTCCGGTCCGAATCAAGATTCTGATTCTGAATTATCGCTGTGTTCCTGTTCAACTGTGAATTCCAGGTGGATCCTCTGCCGTATTCGTGAAAACGATGTCTTACTAGTGAGTGCCGGCTTCTGTTTGAACCTGTTAATTGTGTCGGATATATCGCGTGCTTCGTAGCAACACTCGGATTTCACCAGGAGAATGGAAAACGATCCATTAAACACATTGTCCTGCGGAGGGAGCTGGTAGAAACGTTGGGTTGCTCGGTCAATGGCCAGGGTCAACGGCGGCGTGGTGTATTCCGCAAATATGCCCGACTGTGAGGGCGGGCACAAGCCGGCGTGAATAGGTTAAACGTTGAGTTTTATAAGGGCACCACGGGGTGACCAGCCCCTCCCCACCCAGCCCTACCCCCACCCTCCCCACCCAGTCCCTCCCTGCACGACGGACACAATAATCCCCTGTGGGCTGGTGTAACCAGGAGGTTCCTACCAGTAAAACAGCGTGACTCACGGAGGACACCCTCATACGGGTGTCCTCCCTTTGGTTTCACGATCCTTGCAGGTTAACGAGAGCATCAAGAACACAACAACAAACAGCAGGAGACCTCAAATCGCAGCCAGTGCAGCATAGATGTTGTGTTGCAGAGGGACAGCTGCCGCTCGGGGTCCCCTTGGTTCGTACTGCAGCAGGGGGGAATGGTTGAGACGAGTTGTGATTTAAGTTGCTGGGGCATTTAGCGACTGATAAGAACGACAACGTTTACAGTAGTTATCCTTATAAATATTTTTTTTGTAAATAACGAAGTATTCAATTACATTTGAATCATAAGTAGAAAAACAATGTGGAATAAATTTTTTTTAAAGCAGTTGCCTTCAATGTAGGATACGTTATAGAATCAAAATTGGCGAAGAGAAAATGGCTTCAAGGCACAATTGGGACACAAAGATATTCCTGGAGGATTATAATGCGATAGATTCGAAGGAGGATTGGTCAAAGCCCTTATTAACTCTCGGAACGGAACAATGTAACATTGTGAAACGTTTTATATCGCAAGCAGGCAGGAGCAAATCAGATAGGCTGAGGCACAGCACATTAGTGTGGGCTTCATAATATCGCTTTTTATGGTTAGATCGCCTACATGTGAATACGTCGTAAGCCCACCTCCACCCGACACAGCAAGTTAGTAAGATTTGTCACGTGAACAAAACGTGCCAATTCGTTTTCTACTTCAGAACACCAGTGTGTTGGAGAGCAAACCCACAACATTTACAATTTGAGGACTTCATTTTGCTCGTCAGTACAACCACTTTCATCAGACAATTTGCCAGAATTGTGGGAGTTGGAGTTTACTGGCATGTTTACATTTACGCGATCTACCCCAAAAAACGTCGTCGTGAGCAATATTTGTCGCGAAAGGCCTACGTGTTAGATTCAGTGTGGGCTGTACGTTCGTGTGTGGACGAGCACTTCTGCATTTGATCATTTTATGGCACATGCCTACTGTTGCTGCCGATTGTTGACGCACCCCGAGTGTGCCAACATCTCCCGTGGCTGACTGTTGACATGGACTGTGGACCCCATGGAAATTTAGGCCACATTGATCAAAGGGTTTGCCCCAACCCTTGGAGACACAAACTAGAGAAAAAATTACAATTTGCAAATCTGCCAACACATTTTGCTCATACGCTACGCATTGGCTATGTACAGATAATGAATAACATACAAGGAAAAAATCGTGTTGGAAACTTTTTAAATGATCCTTGAAAATGGATGGTTTGTCCTAAGAACTCCGTAGCTTTTCGCGGTTGTGCTGTTTCGCTCTGGAATGTGTTTTTGCATTGTTCGGCAATGCAAAGTTGTTCGGCAATGCGAAGTTGTGATGCAAGGTGTGTGTGTGTGTGGTGGCGTGCGTGCGTGGTGGTGCCCTGCCGTGTTGGGGAACAGCGGCTATTCTCCAGAGACGTACGACCCTCGCTGGGAGGAGAGGTCAGTGATGAACAAGGTGCAGCAGAAATACTGGAAGACCAAGCAGACGCTCATCCGGGTCACAGGCAAAAAGGAGGATGAGTTCGTGGTGGCATCCGACTCCGACCTTGACAGGAAACTCGAGGTACGCCCAAGTATTAATTCCTCACTTTGCCAGGTTGCGGGGACACTGGAAGTTATATGCCGACTAAGAATAGCCGCAGCCATTGCTGAGAAGTATACTGCGTGTCATGTGCCGGACGAGGAAACATTTTCAAGGTCGGCAACTTGAACAGACGTGGCTGAAATGTTGCCCTAGGTACTGGCCACCTCCTTCTTCTCCTTCCTATCTCCTTTCAGTCTTTTAAATGTATCCCTCATGGGAGGGCCTGACTTACTGATTTGTGCCGCCCTCCTCACCGCTTCGTGCAGTGTTGATGGCATTGAGGTGGCCGTGTGGCTCAGAGGTCAAGAGTGCTGAGCTCGCACCGCTGAGACCCGAGGTCGGAATCCAGGCAGCCACCTGTGATTAAACCGCCTTGTCAAGTGAAGTCAGTCGATGGTCTTCAGCCCAGTCACCAATAACCACGCAAAATAATCCGTCGCGTGACATTTGATTCTGGGAATTAATATGATCGCTTTGTCATGTGACGATGGGTGGGAAAGCGCCGCCCTCTATTGTGTGGACCAGAGGAGACTTAAAGGGCTCTGAGGAATCCCTCCGTGACATCCTCATTCTGTGGCCTGTTTCTCCAACATGAATGGTCGCGCTCCTCCGTGAGAAATCTGAATGGATACCAAAACCGGACCATTCCTTGGCAAACATCCCAATGACGTGAATTTCGGCATTAGTCCAGCCGTAACGATCATTAAAATACTGGCAGCGTAATGGCAACGTCAATTTGTTTTGCATGCGGCGAACAGTGGATTATCGAGGTGGCTTCATAAAAATTGATCAAAGTGATATCAAGACACGTGGCGTCTGGCAGAGTGGAGGATGATGAAATTAATTGAACGGACACAAATCTTTTTCTCGATTTAAAAATAAAACGGTACGCATGCGACAGAACATCTACCAAGGAGATTGAGCGATCAAATCGGATCGTGTGCAGGTGCTGAGTGGATTATTACATTGCCAAGTTGGCATAGTAGGGGGCACAGATGGTGCATCGGAGTATCATCTCAGTCAACCCATGGCACCTGGGGCTGTCCCGTGACCTGCCAAAAGACGTTCAACACTTCAAGTGGCCTTAAAGTGGTGATGTCACCGCCATTTCGTGGTGAATGGCAGTTGTTGTTACTACTGCATCACCCAGACTGGCCGTGATGTTTTTTCCCCAACTCCGCTAGAATGTGGTCATCGGCTCGTCTCTTCTTGCAGGTCTTCCAGGATGTCCAGAGGTCGTGCGTGGAGCTTCTCAAAGTCATAGAGCTGTATCAGAGGCGGCTTGGAGGTACTCCGAGTTGTTTATTCACTGTCCCTGTTGGTCACATCACTGGTTTGGGTGTTGTTAGGTTGTTGACACTGTTTTGTATATTTTATATATTCAGTGTTTTTGGCCATTCATGTAAATTGTATTTTATGTAAAGTGCTATATGAAATGTCTTTATTGATGTCGGTTACACTTTATAAACAAATGAAGATCGATTGTCCCATTGTTGACCCTGTGCTACTTTGTACCATCCGTGACATCATGCAAGATTACGTTGTGGACGGGTCTCATAAGCTAAGCAGCGTTGGGCCTGGTTAGCACTTGGGATGCGAGACTGCTGGGGGATATCAGGTGGTGTTGGTTTGGGGTGTGAGGGGGTATGGAGCTGACTGTCTAGCTATGGATTTTTTAATGTATGTGTGCGGAGCTGTGGGTATTATCCCCGAGTATGGATGGTGGGTTTTCGTTTTCTCTGGGTCTTCCGGTATGGTGCCATGTGACAAACACTCCCTTAATAGAATTGGCCGACGTACATTGTAGCAGGACCCATCTGAAAAAGTCTGAACAACAACAAACAACAACACATTTTTTTTATAAATATAGTATCTACTTGAAATTGTATTCCAAAATGCTTTACAAAATGTTAAGCATATATATAAGGGTAAAAATTTGGCTATGTACGGTGTGAAAGAAGTTCAACATACATACATACCAAGGGGAAGGGGGACAGCCAGTGAGGCCTTCCTGGGTAAAGAAAGAACATCATTCGCACATCGCAGGGCCGTGAGAGATGGCAACGGCTGGGCGGGGGGGGTGGCCTTCATCCAGCAGTGGATTGATGATGTTCCGATGACGACGACGACGCGTTAATTGTTTCCTTCCAGCGCTGTCGGAAGAGGAGAACGACATGGGACACTTTCTGAAGCACCAGGGATCGCAGGAGCAGACGAGGGCTGGAAAAATGATGCTGGCCACAGGGAAGGCTCTGTGCTTCTCCTCCCAGCAGAGGTGGGCACCGCGAGCGCCTCACATGCTCCCCCGACGCTCCCCCGACGCTCCCCCGACGCTCCCCCCGCAGAGTGGGGGCACCTCGTCTCATGGCAAGGGGGGGGGCCCTTTGTGGTGACAGGAAGCCATTGTGCTAACGGCTGGTTGCCCGCCATAAAAACACTTTGAAAGTCCCATGCTCCGAGTCGTCTGGTTTTTCCCTCCCAAATTTTGAATCGTGTTGAGATTTCGATTTAAAGCTTTCGTGACTGCAGGGATTCATATTGAATGAGACGCTGTCTTTCCGACAGACCTGTTCTTCACCCAAGGACGGCTGCTTGCGTTGTGGCCGAAACGTCGTGAGAATTGTATTTTATTATGTTTAATTTTTATTATTTTATTATTTCCCTTCTACGTGACTTTACCGAAAGAACTAAGAAGATGATTTCCTTTACTTTGCACCTTTTGTGGGGAGGGGCTGGGTGGGGAGGGTGGGGAGGGGCTGGGTGGGGAGGGTGGGGCTGGGTGGGGGGTGGGTGGCGCTGGGTGGGGAGGGGTTGGTCACCCTTTGGTGCCCTTATAAAATTCAACGTTTAACCTACTCACGCCGGCTTGTGCCCACCCTCACAGTCGGGCATATTTGCGGAATACACCACGCCGCCGTTGACCCTGGCCATTGGCCGAGCAACCCAACGTTCTTACCAGCTCCCTCCGCAGGAATGTGTTTTCACATATGTCCAGTCTGGGCAGGTCAGCAAGCTGTGGGCCTCTCCGCGTCCATCACGTTCCGTCGACGGTTTCCTCCACTGGCCGTTATTTTTGTTTCCCTCCCCCTTCCCCCCCCCCGTTGTGATCCCAGGCTGGGGTTACACCACCCCCTGATGCGACTGCACCAGGAGGTGGAGACGTTCCGCTACCGCGCCATCTCTGACACGCTCATCACCATCAACCGCATGGAGCAGCAGCGCACCGAGTACCGCGGGGCGCTGCTCTGGATGAAGGACGTGTCGCAGGAGCTCGACCCAGACACCTACAAGCAGCTGGAGAAGTTCCGCAAGGTGAGGGACGCAGTTGTGGTGATGCAAGATGTGATGGTTGTGCTGGAGGGAAAGTTTTCATAAACGATTTAAACTATTTGTTATTTTTTGTTTTACCAGGTAAGACCCGCTGAGCTATGTAGCTCTTTTTCAGAAGCGACCAGGCCACAAATCTTAACGAAGTGGCCAATTGTGTGGAAGTCTATAGCAACCAAACACTCTAAACGGGTGTTTCTAAATGTGGTGGGAAAAACCGGAGGACCCGGAGAGAAATCCACGCCACCACATGGAGAACATGCAAACTCCACATATAAAGGCGTCAGGGTCGGGATCGAACCCACAACCTCCTGCATACTAGGCGAGGCAGATAACATCTCGCCACCATATTGTGCTAAAGAAGGCAACAATTTTTGTGACGAGATGAGACGAGTGCTGGGCATCGAGATCAATAATTTGTTCAAAGAAACAAGCGATAGAAACGGATGGAACCCCAAGACCATTCACCGCCAGATTTAGGGAAGATACATGGTGATGATTTGGCAATGGAAAGGTTAATAAATAATGTCACTCCACAATGAGATGAAAGGGTGATGAGTGGTGGCGATTGATGATGCCGTGGAACGATGACAATTGCGATTGTGTGTGTCGGTGGGGGCGATAGCATTGCGGTTAGCGCACTGCGCTACGAACCCGGCGACCCGAGTTCGATTTTTGCTCACGGCCAACACCAGTGACGATTATCTGAACCGGTCCTGGGCCTCCCCTAGGTCGACTCGGCCTCAAATGAGTACCTGGTGCGGTGTGTAAACATCGCCACTGGGGAGACAAAGGCGGCCAGGCGTGGTGTTGGCCACCCACCCCCTTCGTGTGCCGTGCCAGCCTTCGTAGGTGCTCGCTAACAGCACTTAACCCAACAGCCTGTTACAGGCCATACGGTAGATCGGTGTCTTTGTGTGTCGCGAGGCAGGTGCAGACACAGGTGCGGGTGTCGAAGGGCCGCTTCGACAAGCTGAAGAATGACGTGTGCCAGAAGGTAGACCTGCTGGGCGCCAGCCGCTGCAACCTGCTGTCCCACACGCTGGCCACGTACCAGGTGGGTGGGGCGGCACACAGTTCGGCCTTTTAAAAATAATCTCTCTCGTCTTTTGACGCAATTTTACCCCGATTGCGCTATCGGTGCCGCGTCGTGAGACGCGGACGAAGTTGGATCTCTCGCAGAGCGGTGCAATCCTTCGTGTTAGAGGGGTGATCTGACACCACGTCACTACGCCGGTCGCTGCAGGTTGGTGAAGGTGGGGAGGATAAGAGACCGGAGCGTACAGGTGCAGTATAGCAAAGTAGTTGAATGCAAAGCCTCTGGCATCTGCCAAGCCACCTTGAAGTCCAGAGCCTATAACAGCTGTGTTGTGCGTGATGGGTGCTCGTCCAAGCAACGCTCCGGCTTCGATGAGATCGGGCTCGTGCCGGGTGATTAGGTCGGAGGCACTTAGGGTTGTGGCATCCATAATGTATCAGCCCTCATGTCACGGGGATAATGGCGTTTGACCGCAGAGTGGTGAGGTGGCTGTATGGCTCGGCACTGTTACCATGCCAAAGCACCGAGTCGGCATTTCCGCTTTCAAGAGCAATCCCGTAAGCAGGCGATAAAAATAAACACATTCACAGCCCATGTGCATATCTAATTTATAGGTTGCTAATATGTATGTATACTTGTTTATTCTCTTAGGTTTTTTTCGGTAAAGTCACGTAGGCAAATAAATAATAAAAGTACAAATTATAGAAATAATAATAGAAATAAAATGATAAATCATAATAAAAGTAAATTATTTTTACTTTTATTTTTTTTTACCTACATGACTTTACCGAAAAAACCTAACGGTATGAATCCTTGCAGTCACGAAAGCTTCAAATCTAGTATACTTGTTGGTATCTGGAACGAGGAGTTCATTCAAAGCGTGTGATATGTAGTTATGCAAACAAGGTTTACGCTACGAGAACGTTTTATCTTCATCCCTATAGTTCGGTTTATCTGTCACAGCACTTTCTTATCTTATGACATGAGCCCTGTGCTGTTGGCTAGGGATGGGAAACCGTTGAATCTCAGCGGGTTTCCCACTCCATTGTTTAACCTGGTGAGTGGTGAGGAAGGTCGGATTAGTTGTTGCCAACTGATTGGCGAGTGTCAGTTGAGTGGTAAATGTCTAACGGGAGGGTCAGGTGAGTGTTGTGGGAGTGTTTCGTCGATCCACCCGTGGTGCGGGCGGCGCTATGAGATCAGTTTGCTTTTACACTAACTTTACCCTATTTGTATTTTTGTAATTTAAGATTGTATATTACGGCTAGTTTACATTTTATATTGGACACTTATTCACAATTTTACATACTTTAGCCCCTTAGTATTAGTTAGACTTTGTAACTTTAGTATAGTTAGACTGTATACCACGTATTTAAGTTTTAAGATTCCTACATGTTGAATGTATGCACCTTCCTGCCATAGTAAATTCCTTGTCTGTGCAAACTTTCATGGCGAATAAAACCCTTTCTGATTCTGGTTTCGTCTCCCTCAACGCTCGTCTTCCTGCGGCCTCGACAGACCTCCTTGCTGCACTTCTGGGAGAAGACGTCCAGAACAATGGCCGCCATCTACGAGAGCTACAAAGACTACCAGCCGATGTACAAGGCTACGGACAAGGTAACCGCTGCACCGCCAGTGTCCCCTTCGACGTGCGTGCGCCCACGCCAGCCGGGCGAGTAGCGCTGCCTGGCCACACTTGGCAGGTATCCTGACAACTATCCTTTTTTTTTACTTTTTCCTTTAAAATGTTCTCGTGTTTTTACCCCGATGTTATGTATGTGTTCAACTTCTTTCGCAGCGTACGTAGCCAACCGCGCTAATTGGAGACGCGATTATCCCGATTGTGCCCTTGGTATCAGGTCATGAGTCAAAGAATCCACTCAGATTTCTCATAGAGTAGTGCAACTTTTTGAGTTAAATAACAGCCCGTAGAAGCGGATAATACAGAGCTACCTCTGAGGTCCTGTACAGCATGAAGCAGCACTTTCCCACCCACCCTACCACACAGAGTAATGTTTCACGCACAACGGGTTGATATATTCGTAATTCCCAGAGCTGGATTGTAGCCAAATCAAGTGCAGAACTTAAATATAATGTTTTGATTCTTTTGTGTATTTATTGGTGACAGGGTAGAGAACATCAGCTGACTACACTTGCGATCAAGGTTTAATCCTCAGGCAGCTGCCAAGATTGAAACCCAGAATTACAGCGGTGCCAGCTGAGCGCACTGACCTCTTGAGGCGTCCGGCTATTGCCCCGTCAATGCTTTTAACCCGCACCACGTGTGCGTGTCAGCCCGGCGCGCCAGGCCATGGAAAGAACTCTGCAAAGGAGACGGTGGGAGCGGGGGAGAAAGTGGACGGCGAGGAGCAACGAGACGCCACCGGGGATGACGATGAGTGAGTGTCACTTAGTGAAGTGGTTTAGCGGTTATGCTACGAACCCGGCGACCCGAGGTTTGATTCCTGCTCACGGCCAACACCAGTGACAATTATCTGAATGGGCGCTGGGCCTCCTTGTAGGTCGACTCAGCCTCAAATGAGCACCTGGTTGGGTGTGTAAACTTGGCCACTGGGTAGACAAAGGCCCCTTCGTGTGCCGTACCAGTGCTCGCTAACAGCACCTTGCCCCATAATTCTGTTACGGTTATATTTTACCCTTGGGCGCACAGCTGTGCCAACTCCCACACTCATTGAACTTTCGCACACACACAGCTGGGCATTGGAATAATTGAGGTTGGATGCGATGTAAAGGCGCTCTGAGTTTCTGAGGATTTCAAACAGGTGTCCTGTGAATGCAGATTCTTACACACGGATCACCTTGTTCAGGTGGGTAGGCCCAGTTTGGGACTACATTCGAATCACGTTGCATCCTGCACTGTTTGGTGAGGCCAACGTTTGTGCCGTTTCAGGTTGATCTGTTTGGGAGAAGACGGTTCCATGGGCAAGGCAGCTGCCGATGGTGAGATAAGCGCCGGGTGTCATTGTCCTACCTACAAACATGTGTGAGCGGTGTGCTGGAAAAACATACAAACACACTGATACAAAACCTTATACATCTCGCACAAATAAGTTTTTAGAATAAAAACTGCTCCGATATATCCGATGCTGAAGGCTAAACATCTATTTTTATTTTACCAGGTACGGCCTCTCCAAACCGTCACCACCACTCACTATCGCACATTGAAATGCACATCTTCCAAACTGCCTCGCACCTATGATTAGCATGGTTGCCTACGTATGGTGCGAAAGAAGTGCAGCATACATATCTCACAGTTCTGATGCACCAATCCATCTTGCTCCTGCTTACTAGCTCCGTCTTTGTGACAGATGTTATCTTGGCTGTGTTCCCTTCTTGAGCTGACTCGCGCGAGTCAGAGAAGGGGACGCTGTCACCAAAGTCATTCACAGTGGCGTTTGAATAATTAAATTGTTCTGAAAATTGGATTGAATCAGAATCAGAATATTTATCCCGGGGAAATCCGATGAGCTGCGAGGCTCTTTTTCACAGGTGTCCAGTAACGGGCGGGATTGGGAAAATTAAGGCAGAAAAAAACGACGACTAGCCATGTTGTGAGAGAAGAATCCGACAGATAAGTGTTTTGACCTGCAGTGTGGTGGGTGATCACAATGTGGACGTAAGCATGTTGAACTTCTCTCTCACCCTATGTAGCCAACCGTGCTAATCGGAGGTGCGCGGGGGGGGGGGGGAAGGAAAGTAAACTAAACACCAAAAGTATGGCAGTTTACAGCTGTGCTAAATGTGCTGAGCTAACCGTGACAGCTGATGGTTCTGTCTGGCGCTCGAGTGTCGAGGATGGGCGCCGGTGCTGAGGGCCGCGTGTCGTTTCTCAAAGGGGCCGATGGCACCGGCTCGGGCGGTGCGCTGGATCTCACCGACCTGGGCCACGCTCTGGCTGGCACTCCCGCCGGTGAGTCTGGAGCACGGCGCTCGTTCGTTGCATCTCGGAAGCTAAGCAGCGCCAAGCCCGGTTGGCGCTGGCGTCGGTGACTCACAGTTCCAGGTGTTGTAGACTTGGGCTGCAAGCTACCAATGCACTTGACTTCTCATTCAACAACAACAAACAACTATATTAGGGCAGAAGTCTTCTTGGTTCTTTCGGTAAAGTCACGTAGAAGGGAAATAATAAAATAATACAAATTAAACATAAAATAATTCTCACGACGTTTCGGCCACAACGCAAGCAGCCGTCCTCAGGTGAAGAACAGGTCTGTCGGTGGTGTTTCATTCAGACGCTGTCTTTCCGACAGACCTGTTCTTCACCTGAGGATGGCTGCTTGCGTTGTGGCCGAAACGTCATGAGAATTATTTTGTTATGTTTTATTTTTATTATTTTATTATCTCCCTTCTACGTGACTTTACCGAAAGAACCAAGAAGATGAATCCCTGCAGTCACGAAATCTTTAAATCGAAATTTAGGGCAGGTGGTGGGTGGAGTGAGTTAATGGCAGGGAAATACAGGAGGAGAGAGCAGCACCACAGCACAACCCGGGACGAAGTATCCTGGGCCTAGCACCAACACGAGCCCTGTCCCTCTGTCTGCCAGTCCGTAACTGGGGGTGGCAATAGAACTCTCGTAAGATGATTCTAGATTTGAAGCTTTCGTGACTGCAAGGATTCATACTCTTTGTTTTTTTCGGTAAAGTCACGTAGGTAAAAAAAAATAATAAATGAAGACAACTAAATTAAATCACGACGTTTCGGAGGCAACACAAGCTTCCGTTTTCAGGTAGAACCGGAAGATGATCCGATACGAACCAAACTTTAACATAAAGTTGTGCTGCTATTGCGAACTTAGCCAACTGTAAACCGTTCACATTGACCGACTGGTTATTTCCCAGAGCTTGGAGACAAAAGCCAGAGCAAAAAAGGACTTATATGCAAATGTAAATTAATCGGCTTAAATACTTGCGAACGAAATACCTGCGAGAACAAACGCACGTCTGGAGAGCGTTGAATAATAGATTCACGCGTACGCGCGATTTCTCCTAACTTTTCGGGAAAGTGCTCTGATTGTGTTTGGTTCAGTATACAGTATCTAACGTCTTTCGCGCACCGTACGTAGCCGACCGTGCTAATCGGAGGTTCCTCACTATAGGGGCCCGCGACGTGCTGTGTCACTCGGCAGACGGCGAACGGGATGTGATGTCGCTGCTCAACGACATCCTCAACGCGGGGGCGCCAGGCGAGGAGGGGGAGAGAGGGGGCTTCAGCCGGCAGTGGTACGACGTGTTCGGCGATGACGGCGCAGTAGGGGAGACCTGCCCGCAGCAGTCCAAGCAGCAGTGGCCGGGCGCCACGGCTCTGTCTGCAACGGCGCCCGGAGGCCCAGGTTCGAACCCTGACGGGCCTCCCGCCCCGGGACCCACGGTGGGCGGGTTCCTCCCGTCGCAGCTGCTGGACATGAGCTCGCGGAACGAGGGCTCCGCCCGGCCGGGTAAGCCTCCACGCTTGAACCCACCGTCCTATTCGTGAAAGGGACGTGGTACGCTCGGGGGATGGGGTGCTGCCGCGGACGCAGAGCCGTCCCTAGGGTGTACGGCGAATCGGGACGGCTGCCCGGGGTCCCCCACGCCAGAGGTCGCAAACGGGTTTTGATTCCTTACCCGTACCCGGCCGCACCAGGGTCGCATATGGGTACCCGTACCTGTACCCGGCCGGGTACGGGTATCCGTTCCCTACCCGTACCCGTACCCTACCCGTACCCGTACCCTACCCGAAATGAGTGACAAACGGCTACTCATCAGTGACTCACGGCCTACCCGTACCTGTACCCGGCCACACCAGCGTCGCAAACGGCTACCCGTACCCGTACCCGGCCGGGTACGGGTAACCGGGTATCGGGTAGGGTACGGGTATCGGGTACCCGGTTGCGACCTCTGCCCCACGCTTATGGAGTGGGCCCCCTGCGCTTCGATGTCACGGTGTCAGACGTAATGCTTCTGGTTTAGTTTGAAGGCGTCAGGAGTTCGGGTGGGGGGGCCCCACACGGTGTGATTTGCCCCGGGCCCTGCACCCCCCCACAATAAGGCGGCCCTGCGTGGAAGTGATGGTATCGCACTGAACTTGTAATCCAGAGGTCGCCGGTTAGTTCGATGTTTTCAGGGGCAGCAGCAGCTGAAACAATGGTGCGAGTTATCTAATCCCCCCTCCACCCCTGCCGCCTCTGTCAACCCAGCAGTCAGAATCATAATTAGGATATTTATTTGTACTGGAGGAATCAGATGAGCAATGAAGCTCTTTTTCAAAGATGTCCAGTGGGGGTGGGTCAGAACGTTACCAATGGGATCACCACAGTCAATCGGTAGGCAGCATGTGGTGGTGTAGAGTGTGGATGCTCCCAACCCTTCCGAAACGTCGGCATGGAAGAGGTGAAAACTCCCTCTCGGAAGTGTCCTCCATCGCTTCCTTGAGTGGGAGTGCCCTTGGGCCTGCGGTGGCATAAGTAATTGCGGGGTTGCACCTTTACCTTCCCTCCCTTGCCGTCTTGCTCGAGCCGTTTTACATACGAGTGCACATAAAATGTACTCGTATGCCTCGTGTGCTGTATTTAGGCACGTATAACAGATCTGTCCCTCAACTGAGGGTCTTTGTCAGGCATATAGCCACGATGGGAGCAGTGTACGTGGAGGCAACCTGGACATTTATTACCAACACCCGTAGGCAAATCTCCCAGGGTAGCTACTTGGACTGGCGCATCGTTGTTGCTTCCCCACACCATATTGCTTTAAAAAGTCATTGATAATTTTCAGACCTTTGTCAATTCACTGCTGAATGAAAGCCTCCCCATGCCAAATCAGTCATGTCAGCTCTTTGACCACATTTCATCGTGCTGGTCAATGTGGGTTAGTGAAATGGGGAGGGGGGGGCGTGTGGTGCGATAGCCAGGACCAGTTCAGATGATCACTTGACACCGATGTTAGCGGTGGCCGGGAATCAAACTCGCGTTCAACGGGTTCAAAGTGCAGCATGCTAGAAAACCGCACCACCGCTTTCCTGTTCTGAAAATGATGTTTCTCGTGTTCGTTGTATCCCAGGTTGGTCCCTTCCAAGTAACAGAAAGCAGTTTGCAGCCACATCCCAGGCCGATGCCCACACAGGACAGGGTCATGCCACAGCCAAACGTAAGCACATGTCGGTTGGTGATCCAACGCACGCCGATTCACTCCAGGTCACTCATCAGCAGTCAGTCATCAGCAGTCAGATTTTAGCTGTCAGAGGAACCCCCCAAATGTGTCGAATATATTTTAAATAATGTTAATATTTGCCTGACTCGTGGTGCTGGTGACGTTCTAGTGACTCGTGGTACAGCCGACTCCAGTGCATCGGCCTGCCTCTCGAGCGCCGGCTCATCGGCGCGAGTCCCCCGTGCGGTGACTCTCTTGCTGTCTCCCCCCCCTCTCCATCCGGCAGCGGTTGTGGACGGTGCTGGCAAGCCCGGAAAGGACATGTCAGCGTGGTTCAACCTTTTCGCCGACCTCGACCCGCTGCAGAATCCGGACGCCATCGGCCGAACCAGCGAGGACCAGGAGCTGATGAATGCATGAGAGCGTTACTGGCCACCGGCCCCCGACCCCAACCACCGACAGGAGTTTCCCACGTGACGTCGTTTTCCAGGAACGCCCGTTTGTTGTTGGCGGCGCTCCCAAGTCGAAGCCGAGGTTTGACCTGCAGGGAGGCCGAGTCGCGTCGGGGCTCTGCCTCTACGGATGGGCCCCACTGATCTGTGTGTGTGTGTGCGCCTGTAGTCAGGAGTCTTGTCGGGAGAGCGGCGCTGCGATGGGGAGAAGGGCGCTGCGGTGGGGGAGACTGGTGATCCAAAGAGGAGAGGGGGGAGGTGCGGAGGAAGCAGTAATAAGGGGGGGGGGGGTAACAACCTAATAAGGGCAGACCGCCTACACCCTCAATGTGAAACTCAATAAGTGGGTTTTAAGAGGGATACGGAACCCCCCCCCCCCCAAGTTCTCCATAGAATCGCTGCCGGTAGCAGGTAACGCTTCTGTCAAAAGCCTCCAGGGAAGACAGACGGCACGCTTCCACAGTAGAGCGCACTGCTGGGCTAGATGCGCACACTGCACCGCGCTGTGATATAATTAGTAGAACGCACTGATGATACACGCTCGCTTTCGCTATAGGATGGTGTTTTCAAACAAGCCCTTATTGACGAGAGAATATAAATTGTATTGACGCAACCATTTTTACCAAGCACGTTTTTTTTAATAAGACAAAAAAAATTAGATTGCAATAGTTTAAAACTGGTTTTACTATGAACGGTACGGTTCCGTCAAATTTGGTTGCACCAAAACTGGTTTGTGTTCGCGAATGTGAAAAAGGCATAGTCACAAATTCTCACTGCAAGTGTGGTGGAGCTGCAGGTGATGAAGCAGTAACATTAGGCTTGTAACAAATCAAATTGTCAAGATTCATTACCACTGTTCACTTCAAGAATCTATTATTTATTCAGTCTCGTGTGTGTTGTCCGTCTAGTTTGCCAAAGTGTTACATTTGCCTATTATTTACATGTAATTTGCATAACCCGTAAACATTTGCTTCTCACACGCGCGAGTTGATGCATGTGTTATCGCGAGTGTAGGAACCGCGTACGATTGAGGAATCGTTCCTTGCCCAGTCGGTGTCGTCAAAAACGAAGGCCGGCAAACATTCGCCGCTCGCCACGTGGTAGCCCTGCCGGGGCACGTTGCTATGCGTATGTAAACCAGCCGTCGCAATAAGTACGTGTATGATAATTTATACACGTCCTCTTTAAACAAAAGAATATCCAGCCACGGTATGAAGTGGGAATGTATTTCCGTTATTTATAAATACTACTTATTTAAATGACTTTGTTTTGTACTAAACAAGACGGTGTCAAAATAGTTAATGTAATTATTTACATTTGCAAGGCGCATCTCATCTGTAGATCTCAATGCGCAAAGTTTGAGGTTTCTTCCACGTGACGACTGGCCGACTCCTGTAGTGGTAGCTTACTCCACACTGCAGTAATAGATGGGACCGTTGTCAAAGCAGTTGGAAGTCATATATAACGTTACCGACTGAATACTGGGAGGGTGATGGCCCACGCCACTAACTGCCGTGGGAAATGCAGTGAGGAATGGAGGTCAGAGCCGTTGACCGAATTCTACAAGTGGGGTAGCTGACTCTGTCATGCATTGACGAGACAGAGTGTCAATACGGAGGTTTACTCAACGTGACCGAATACTGGGGGTGGTAGTTCATTCCGCTGACTGCGGTGAGAAACGCAGGGCATGAGAGGAATTATCAGAGCTACTGTCTCGACATTTTGATCGCTGTGACGCAACCAGCCGCCACTGGCTGTTCCGTCGTCACAAGTAGACCGAGGGAGTGCAAAGATCGAAAATAAACTCAAGTTAACAACGGAGAGCACGAGACATAGTATACCGTTCCTGAAACGCCTGTGCGTAATCGTTCGCTCAGCGATGCTGACCGTCACCACGTCGTGAAGAGCATCATTCCTCTAAATCAGGGGTGGGGAACATTTTTTCTGCCAAGGGATATTTATAACATCATTCGCGGGCCATACAAAATTATCAACTTAAAAATTAGCCCGTTATATTTGGTCAAACATTTAATTAACTCGCCCCTAATGCGATGGCTGGAACTGCTTCTCTTTGGCGAGGCGTGTGATGTTAGCTGGTATTGATGATGGTGTTGCTACTCGCAACTGCTTTTCCTGGTTTGCTCCTAGATTTAGTGAATTTTGAGTCCCGCCTGCAGTTACCTTGGCAGGGCAAAATCAATTTTTTTCGCGGGCCGGACGTTCCCCACCCCTGCCCTAAGTGGTGGTTCCTTCGCCCAAAGAGCCCATATCTTATTATATGGAATGCACAGTGAACGCTTACAAAAAGAAAGGGTCTCAATCATCGTGGATAAGTAACTGCCCAGTCCTTCACAGTGGGAATCTTCCCAGCTTCCTTGGTGCATGCAGTGAAATCAGGGTTGCTACCTGCCCTGGGGAGGCTGCTGTCCTAGGAAATCTGTCACCCCAGGACATTAAAAGTCCCGGTTTTTATCACCTGCTTGACACACCACTCAAGAAAATGCATTTAGATGTAGTTCACCTTCTGGTATTATGCGATATTCTTCTCTCCATTATATAATCCTGTTTTTTTTAGTACCTCAAAGGTGACAGCACCAGCGTGGGGGAGTTTCCGTCGTACAGAATGACTGCGTGACACGCGCCCCGGTTTTAAAGTTGTTCTTCACTGCCTGCAAGCGCGGCCCGCGCTGCACACACTGCACCGTGAAGTCCCGGTGTCGAAAAGGCGTTGGCTTAGCTCGTTTGGTGGTGTTGCGGCTGCTGCTGTCACCTCCTTCCCCACTGTGCTTAGGAGAGCGGGAGAGGAACGGCGCAGCTTTCCAAAGTGCGCGCAGGCGTTGCAACTGCACCAAGGGCCAACGACAGGCCAGAGTGGCCCAGGCGACGGGGCCACAAAGAGGGGGAGGAAATTGGGACAGCAGGGGGTAGAGGTTAGGCCCCGTTTAATTCCTTGCACCAGGGCCCATGCCAACCGTGCTATGCCAACTGCTGGAGGGAAGCGTCGGAAGATGTACTGCCACAATTGTACCGAAGTCGAGTACTGTGAAATATTTATTTAAACAAAAATAAATCTTTGTGTTGAAACTTGTGACTGCCGAGTCCCACTGCAGGGAGTCGCACATCACGTGTGAAGGACACTTGACCGGGCAAGCTCTGAGTGCGGTGGTCGGGTGGCTGAAGAGGTTAGAGCACTGAGGTGCCTGGGTTCGATCCAGGCAAGCCGCCTGTGGTTAAACTGGGTTCTCAATTGTAGTGAGTTCACGGTTTCAGCCACGTCGCCAATGATTGCACACACACAACAAAACATGACATTCAATTTGGTCGTGCATTTAAGTTTGTTCAATTCCAGCTTTGAGAATTCACAATATCAATTTGACTGTTCTGCGAGACCAGATGTCTCTCGAATGGATCTCCGAGGTAGCCCTGTGATATCCGCTTCCGTGGGTCGTTCTCAAGCACAAAGCGTTGTTACTGCTCTTTGAGAAAAACGGAGTGGATTTTTACTTGAATTGCGTGATGTTTGCACAATAGGAGTAAAATTGGGGGAAAATACTAAATGTAAAATATAAACAAGTATAACCCGTAAAAACAAAGTTTTTTTTACTATAAATCCTTTATATGCGTGGCGGCTAGAGTCCTCTCGTCCTCTGGCTTGAGATGGCTGCCACCTATGGGTCAGATGATTGCATTGCACCATTAAGCAATTGGTAATAAAATATAATATTTTGTCCTAAAAAGTGTAAAATTTTGGAGAAAAAAAATTCACGAACATTAATTGTCACGCACAACGAGTCTGTGTGGAAAATGTCAGCTCGATTGGATCACGGGAAGTGGGTTAAAAAACGACCGAAAGATTTGCACGGTCCTAAGCAAGCAAGCAAGTGAACTTAATATAAAGGATTTAAAAAGTGGGTCAGTCTCTGAACCAAATAAGTTACTCGAGTTATATTTATTCAAATACTAGTTGGGCCAGTTTAACACGTAGGCTTTCGCGAACAATATCCATAATACAGGTTTTTTTTGTTGTTAGATCGCGTGACTGTGTCGTTAAACCCACCACCACCCGACACAGCCAATTAGTAAGGTTTGTCACGTAAACACAACATGCCAATTCGTGTCTCGTACAGCACACCGATGTGTTGGAGAGTCACGAATTGGCATGTTCTGTTGACATGACAAACTTGTTGGCTGTGTCGGGTGGTGGCGGGTTTGACAACACATTTATATTTACGCGATCTAACCCAACAAAACCGATATTATGGAACAGCCTACAACTTGGGCCCCCCTGGCAGCCTCAAGTGTCCGGCAGCCCTTTGTCAATCAGCTGTTGAAGCGCCTCCTTCACGCTTCCAGGTCATTGGTTTGACCATACTTCACCACACCTGTCACTGCAGATTGGTGCATGGAGTTTGCGGGACCACAAGACTGGTTCGCTCGCCACTCCATGTTAGCCGTCGACGGGTAAAGGGCCGTCCATAAATGACGTCACGCACCTAGGGGGGTGGGTCAGACATTTGTGACGAAGGGGGGGGGGGGGTCAAAAATCGTCCAAAATCGCGTGACGTCATTTATGGACGGCCCCTAATCGAACTCGGGTCGCCTTGGTTTAAAAACGCAGTGCGCTAACCACTGCGCCACCGCTCCCCACCTCCCTCAATGCAACGTCTGTTACGGTGGAAATCCTCACAGGAGTCTCGACACTTTGAGGAGGGGAGGGCGCTGCTCCATTGGGAAGGTTTGGCCCATTCTTTGTCAGTACCTGGAGAGAGATAAAAAATGTGTACTCCGCACGGAAGGATTCAACAATCCCTTGTGATCTCGGCAAGAGCGAGCAGCCCTTGCAGGGGCGCTTGCTGTGACGTCATGTAACCCACGACACCCTGCGCGCGACGTCACTCGGCACGACGTGACGTCACCCACGCGGCAGGCGGGACGCGTGACGTCACCCAACCGTGCGAAACGTACGTGACGTCACCAGGGTACTTCGCGCGTGACGTCGGCGCTCACACCAGGAAGTGTGCGTGACGTCATTTGTCAAGTACACGTGGTAACGCCCGTGGCGCACGTGTCTTCTCCCCCCCCTCCCCACCTTGTCCCTGAGCCCAACTCATCCTGTGGGAGGTGCGGGACCCCACGGGACCCCACGGGTCTCGTCGCTCCTCTTGGTCGGGGTGGTTGGGAGGGCACCCGCGATGGCGTCAGACCTGAAGGAGCTGAGCAAGAAGGTGGCTGAGCCGTGACTCGTTCCACCGTGGTTCCTTTGCCGCGGTCCACTCATTCATCCCGCGTCACTGTCCTTCACTTATTCGCTGCGGTCCGCTCATCCGCCAAGCAGCTCATTCGACAGCGTTCCCTTTGCCGCGGTTTGAGTCGTCACGATTAATTCACCGCGGTCCACTCATTCATCCCGCATCACTGTCCTTCACTTATTCGCTGCGGTCCGCTCATCCGCCAAGCAGCTCATTCGACAGCGTTCCCTTTGCCGCGGTTTGAGTGGTCACGATTAATTCACCGCGGTCCACTCATTCATCCCGCATCACTGTCCTTCACTTATTCGCTGCGGTCCGCTCATCCGCCAAGCAGCTCATTCGACAGCGTTCCCTTTGCCGCGGTTTGAGTCGTCACGATTAATTCACCGCGGTCCACTCATTCATCCCGCGTCACTGTCCTTCACTTATTCGCTTATTCGCACGGGGTTACACTTTAACCAATTCAAGCTGGTTCTCACCGACTCACAGTTCACCCTTGCACTAGATTCACTCTCAACGTGTTCATTTATATTGGTGCCATCTACAATTCTACATCGTTCATTCACCGCTGTTCACTCATGTACAGCGATAACTAAGCCAGACCACGTCGCATTTCCCCATATTTGTCTCTTCGCGTAAAATTTGCGAGCAATCCTTGATTTCACACGCGAAAACTCTGGACCGATTTCGACGTTTAGCGGTTCATCAGTAGGGTTAAGCTTGTAGCCTGACAACAAATTCAGAATCTTGCCACGTTCTGACCTGCCCCTACTGGACATCTGTGAAAAAAATAGCTTCATAGCTCACCGAATTATTCCAGTATAAATAAATATTCTGATTTTGACTTATACCTATCAAACCGCTCTAACCGTCTATGAGACTGTGTGTCTTCTGCCAGGCGATACTGGACCCGGTCCTGGACTCTAACCGTGACACGTGTTTCGCAGGTGCGGGAACAGACGGTACTTTGCGAGGAGCTTGCCGGGCTGGCCGCTGGCAGGGTGAGTGAACCACACTCGGGCCCATCATCATCATCATCAGCATCGTGGCTGCCACACATTGGCTGTGGGTGATGCTGAATGTGGCCTTAGGGGTGACGGTGGTGAATGTGGCATTGGGGTGACCTGGGTATTGGCCCCAATACACAGGGTGGACTGGCAAAGGGCATGCGATAGTTATTGAATCAAAATCTGTATTTAGAGTGGAGGAATCCGATGAGCTATGAAGCTCTTCTTCGATTTAAAGCTTTCGTGACTGCAGGGATTCATCTTTTTGGTTCTTTAGGTAAAGTCACGTAGAAGGGAAATAATAAAATAAAACATAATAAAATACAATTCTCACGACGTTTCGGCTGCTTGCGTTGTGGTCGAAACGTCGTGAGAATTGTATTTTATTATGTTTTATTGTTTCTCTTCTACGTGACTTTACCGAAAGAACCAAGAATATGAAGCTCTTATTGGGCAGGCAAAGGGGCAGGTAAGGAAATAATAATTATGTCCATTTGTAACTCGCACGATGTTTCACAGACATACGTGGCTGTCACCCTGAGGCGTGGGATAATTAAGAGACAGGCTTGGAAAAGTTGATTGGAAATGCAGGTGGCAGCCAGTGGGCATGCAGGAAGATAGTTCATGGGCATGCAAGGGATAGTTTATACTGGTAGGAACCTCCTGGTTACACCAGCCCACAGGGGATTATTGTGTCCGTCCGTCGTGCAGGGAGGGGCTGCGTGGGGAGGGAGGGGCTGGGTGGGGAGGAGCTGGGTGGGGAGGGGAGGGTGGGGAGGGGTTGGTTGGGTTAGGGGCTGGTCACCCCGTGGTGCCCTTATAAAACTCAACGTTTAACCTACTCACGCCGGCTTGTGCCCACCCTCACAGTCGGGTATACTTGCGGAATACACCACGCCGCCGTTGACCCTGGCCATTGACCGAGCAACCCAACGTTCCTACCAGCTCCCTCCGCAGGAATGTGTTTAGAAGGACCGTATCATCAAGAGACACGTAAGAGACAAGCAGAGGATTGGTGCGAGGCACGTGAGGGGCAGGGCCGCGAGGCACCCATGCCCTGGCCTGTTGTTGTCTTCACAGCGTGTCTACATGCAGCAGCCAAACAGCGACGTCTACTTCCTGGCGGAGAAACCCCAGATGCTGAGCAAGTGCAGAAGTGAGTGGCAGGGTTCGCCGTAGCCCGGTTTACCTTTCGCCGACCCCTAATCTTACACCAAAACCCTAACCATACTCCTGACTTATAATCGTAGCTGTAATGCCTGACCTTACATCCACCCATAACGCTAACCCAGTATCCTGGCGTAATGGTTCGTGCATTGAATTAACACACCAGTGACCTTGCAGTGAGTTTAGAAGTTCCGTGAAATCTCCGTATAATCCACTGACCTTTTCCTGCAAAGCATCTGATCGCAGGCGTGCGTGCGCTTCCACGTTCAGCTCGGTCTGTTGTGAGACGGTGTAGATATCCTATGCGCTGTATCCCCTGGCCTCTGGTCGCCGTCTAAACCCAATCCCTGCGTCAACAACTCTGTCCACCCAGAAACGCTCGACGACCTCAAGCAGCAGGAGAAGAAGCAGGAGGCAGCGTTGGCGAGCAGCACCGCCGAAGATTCTCACAAGCGGCGCTCCTTCCACTGACGTCTGTGCGGGGGCGGAGGCGCAGACCCAGGCGCCAGCCATGTGCGGGATCTTCTGCGCGGTAGTACCGCACGACCCCGCGATCCCTCGACCCGATCCCCTGCCCGACCGATTGACCCAGGACCTTTTGGAGGGGCGGGGGCCCGACCTTGGCGGGCAGCTGACGGTGGTGACGATGCCTGACGGTGCCGGTGCCGGGACGAGCGCCAGCTTCGAGCTGCGGTTTCTGGCACAAGTACTGCACCTGCGGGGCGACTCGCCCGAGCCCCAGCCGGCGGTGGACGCTCGGGGAAACGTGCTGCTGTGGAACGGCGAGGTGTTTGGGGGGCTTGAGGTGCCCCCCGGAGAGAGCGACACGAGCGTGGTGCTGCGAGCGCTGGCTGGTGACGGTGACGACAGCGGTGGCGATGGTGCCGACAGTGCCATCCTCTCCACGCTGAGTCTCGTGCGGGGCCCCTGGGCGCTGCTCTACTACCAGCGCGCCAGCCGATGCCTCTGGTTCGGCAGAGACTGCTTCGGTCGCCGCAGCCTCTTGTGGCTGTTCCCGGAGGCTGGTGATGCTGGTGACGGCGGTGGTGCTTGTGGTGGTGGCGGTGGTGGCACGGTGGATCCTCGCTGGTTTGCCATCAGCTCGGTGGCATCACAGCAGGCGCCTGCCGGTGCACGGTGGTCAGAAGTTCCAGCCGATGGAGTCTACAAGGTGCATCTGGGGAGTGGTGGTAGCGGTGGCAGTTGCCTCCAGGTTGAGTGGTTTCCCTGGCGCTGGAGCCCACCGGAGTTGGCGCCACCATCTGGCGTGGATCGAGCTGCCAGAATGACACCCGACAGCCAGGACGACTCCTGCCACTGCCACTCGGGATCCCCTCTAGACACGACCCCCCGTCCATTGGGAGGGTCTAGAGGAGGAGAGACTCCGACTGAAGAGGATGGACGAGCGGAGGAGTTGCCGCCGTTCTTCTGTGTGACGCCGAGCAAAGCTTACCCGGGACTTCGCTCATTTGTGCCACCCATGAACATGAGCGTGCCGCAGTCTCCGAGCCCTCACCCTCAGGCCCCCCACCCCCAGAGCCCCCACCCCCAGGACCCCCACCCTCAGGGCCCCCATCCTCATGGTCCCGGCCCGCTAGGCCCCGACGTGATCTCGGAGCGCATGGTGGCCGCTCGGCAGTTGGTGGAGGCTCTGGATGAGGCCGTGCGTGTGCGATGCATCCCGGAGAATTGTGGCGGTGGTAGCGGCACCAGCGGAGCAGGAGGAGGCGGCGTTGGTGTTGGCGATGGCAGCACTGACGATGGCGGGGGCGCAGGTAACGCCGGTGGTAGCACCAGCGGTCATGGTGGTCATGGTGGTAGCATTGCCGGTGAGGCTTCGGTGGCCGTGCTTTTCTCGGGCGGGCTCGACTGCATGGTGCTAGCGGCGCTGGCTCACCGCCACGTCCCGGCCCATGAGCCCATCGACCTCTTGAATGTCGCCTTCGAGTGCCGGCGACGGCCGCTGGGCAGTGCGGTGGCTTCCGGTATCGCCAGGCGCCATCGAGACCACGGGAAGAACTCGCGGAAGCCGGTGGGGGCACGGAAAGGCGACCCTCCAAAGAGGGGGGCGCCAGCTGCTCAGGTGGCGAAGGATGAGCGCAGCAATGGGGACGAGAGTGCAGCACCGCCGGCGGAGAGTGGGGCTGGTGAAGAGAAGATGGAGATTGGAGGACGCGACGGAGGACCGTTTGATGTTCCCGACAGGTGAGAATGCTCAATCAGTCGATCAATATCTTTTATTTAAAACCAAGTGAGACTAAATCTGTAATTGTGGAATACTTTTATGTTGTCTGCCAACCAAGTCGCCCTTGAAACAGAACTACTTAGCTCAATGGGATTTGCTCGATGTCACTCACTGCTGATGTTAGCTGGTGCCAACATTCGAACTCAGTTGGCCGGGTACACAGCGTGGTACGTGAGGCACTACGCTAGCATAGAGTGAAATATACAACTTACATTTTCGCGAAAATACTAAAAAATATTAAGTCGCAAGTAGAGGTGGTGCGTTTTCACCTGCTCGGCGATTGAGCAACAACAAAGCGTCACTCGTTCTCACCCTCCGTCGGGGGTGCCCGTGCCAGGCTAAGTGCACGAGCGGGGCTGGAGGAGCTGCGGACGCTGTTCCCCCACCGCCGCTGGCGCCTGCTCGGGGTGGACGTGCGCGGGGACGAGCTGGCGTCTGCCCGCGCACGTCGCATCGCCCACCTCGTCCACCCGGCGCGCTCCGTGCTGGACGACGCGCTGGGATGCGCCCTGTGGTTCGCCGCACGCGGCCGCGGAGAACTCCTCCTTGACGAGGGGGACCGGGGGGGAGCCCCTGCGAGTGAGCCAGGGTCACCGCCGCCAGGGTCCACCACCGCCACCACCGCCGCCATCACGGTGCCCGCTGGACCGGAGCTGTTTGTGAGTCGAGCCAAGGTGAAGTCCAGTTGTCTTCTTGGTGCTTTCGGTAAAGTCACGTAGAAGGGAAATAATAAATTAATAAAAATAAACATAATAAAATACAATTCTCACGACGTTTCGGCCACAACGCAAGCAGCCGTCTTAAGGTGAAGAACAGGTCTGTCAGAAAGACAGCGTCTGAATGTCTCATTCAGACGCTGCGTTGTGGCCGAAACGTCGTGAGAATTGTATTTTATTATGTTGGATTTATATTATTATATTATTTCCCTTCTACGTGACTTTACCGAAAGAACCAGGAAGATGAATCCCTGCAGTCACGAAAGCTTTAAATCGAAATTGAAGTCCAGTTGTTGAGTAAAAATAATCTCGTTTCGCGTTTAAACGTTCTTGCAGTAGATTGTGCTACCTTGGTTGTTGACGCTGCCGTGGTGTGATGTTTGACACACTGTACTGGTGATCCGCATGTTGCCGGTTTGGTTCAATCTCCCGGAGTGGCAGTTGAAACAATTGGCAAGTTTTATTAACCACTCGCCCCCCCCCACCCACCAACAAGCTAGTCATTCGCCCAATGGCTACCAGAGCCTCCGATCCCACAAATAATGTCGGAAGAAAATAGTGAGGTTCTTTTGAAATTGGATTGGGAGCCAGTAAAGGGATTGGGCTGGTTGGCGGTTCACCAACCCTTTCCTCCAAAGCACCGGATCGCAGGCATGCACTACCACCACCATGCCGGGCTTGCGTTGTGCCCCATCTCTGTACCATCGATTGGCACAGATGGGGCACCACGGTAGCGAGATGTTATCTCCCTCACCTGGTATACAGGAGGTCGTGGGTTCAATCCCGACCCCGACACTTGTATATTTGGAGTTTGCTTGTTGTCCCCGTGGCGTGTGGATTTATCTCCGTGTCTTCCGGTTTTTCCCTCCACATTTAGAATAAACGTGCGTTTTAAAGTATTTGGCTGCTATACATTTCCACGCGATAAGCCACTTCGTTGAGCTATCATTTGTGATAGCCAGGTCGCTTGTGAAAAATAGCTACATAGCTCAGTGTGGGCCTTACCTGGTAAAATAAAAATAGTTTAAATAGTTTAACGTGATGTGTTCCAATCCACGAGCCTCACTTTTTGGTGCTTCTTTCTTCGTCCTCAACCCCCCCCGCCCCCGGTCAGGTTTTGCTGAGCGGTCTCGGCGCGGACGAGCAACTCGCTGGATACTCGCGGCACGCAGCACGCTTCCGGCAGGGAGGCTGGGGCGCCCTGGCCGCCGAGCTGCGCGCCGAGTTGGGCCGCATCGGACGTCGGAACCTCGGGCGAGACGACCGCGTCACGGCCGATCACGGCAAGGAGGTCCGGTGAGTAGTGGCACCGCCGGCATTCGTCATCGTCAGCCGTGATCTTTCCACTGCTGGATGAAGGCCTACCCCAAACCCTGCTTTGGCTGCCGCTTCTACATTAGTCTTTGTTACCTGCTTATCCAAGAAAGTTTCCCTGGGTCAGCAGTGAGATGTTTGGCAGATTTAGTTTTGCTTCGTATGGGAGGAAACTGGAGAACTCGTGAAAAAAAAACCGACACATGCTCGGGAATTACATACAATGCTCCGCACATAGAGATTCAATCGATAGATAGATAGATCCAATCCATCAGATATTTTGAGGACTGAACCCATTTCTGTCCTGACATCTCGTGGCCAATTTCATGTTTGATAATAATAAAAATGAGTTAATTTGGATGTCACACAATTCGTACAGCAGCAGGCTATCATGAAGGTGCATCTCTACAGCACCTGGCATTCTCAAACGATCTCTCATCCAAATTAAATCCAGGTTCAAACTCTGCTTAAGCTTCTGAATTCAGACATGGCCACGGGCCGTGTTGTCGACTGTTGGGGGTGGCGGTAGTGCACGTCCGGTGTTACCTTCTGGCTTCATTACCTAGCCCTAACAGTCTCCCCCATCCATCCAATTGCTGAACAGGTTCGATTCCGCTTAGCTTTATTTATATAAATCTTTCAACACTTCTCGCAACTCCGATTAGCACGGTTGGGTACGTACTGTGCGAAAGAAATCCAACATACATACTGTACGCACGTACAACACGATCACAGGCCGTGCGTTGCGGAGCGCGGCGCTGACTGTCGGGTCTGTCGGGTGGTGCGACGGTGTGCGCGCGCGCGTTGTGGCTGTGCCGCCAGGTTCCCGTACCTGGACGAGGCCGTGGTGTCCCAGCTCTCGGCGTTGCCGGCACACGTGAAGGCCGATCCCGGCGCGGCGCGCGGCACGGGCGACAAGCTGCTGCTGCGCCAGGCGGCGCTCGTGCACCTCGGCCTGGCCGAAGCCTCCGCTCGGCCCAAGCGCGCCCTGCAGTTCGGCTCTCGCATCGCGCACATGGAGGGGGGCGGCGGTGGCAGCGGCGGCGGCGGCCCAAGGGAGCGTGGGTCCGATTCCTGTTCGCGGCTGGTGCAGCAGCATCGCCCCCCTCCTGAGTGCGTCTGATGGGAGGAGAAGCGGTGGCTGTGCGTTTGCTGTGTCCGAGTGTAACGCGTTTCAAGGGGATGGTGGTTGTGTGTCGGCAGGGGGGGCGTGATGGCGGTTGTGCTTGAGAATGGAGGCAGTTGTGTTTTAAAATGTTGATAGTGTTTTAGTGAGACTGAGAAATGTCACTCTGAAATGGCCGGCCATCTGGGGGTGAGGGTTTGATGGAGGTGGCTATTTCTTTGAGGGTGGTGCTTTCTTTGGGGGGGGTTGATGGCTGCGTGCAAGAGTCGAAAATACGTGCTTTGTATGAGAGATACGGCTGTGTCTTGATTATCAAAGCGATGGCTGCAAATCACAATAAATAATAATCCCATAATGTGAGAGAGAGAAAATGTGTGCCTTTATAACCACGTGAGAGACAACGTTCTCTTTACAAGGAAGACCAGGGATGAAAACCAATGGATATTACAGAAATATCTCAATAAGAGGGAACGTAGATGATTCCAACGTTTCTTGAGTTTCATAAAAGGCATGAATGTGTGCAAGAATGAAAGCTGATGAAACAGATCAGGGCTGGCACTAGGGGGGGGGGTCCACATTTGTAATTGTGCGTTTAGAATATTTGGTCGCTATAGATTTCCATGTGATAGTCCACCTCAATGAGCTATCATTTCCGGCCAGGTCACTTCTGAAAGAGAGCTACGTGGTTCAGTGGGTACCTTAGCAGGTAAAATAAATTAAAAATAGTTTAGGTGCTGGGGTAGGCCCTGCACCACCAAATATCGCTGCTTTGACCTTTTGCCAATCCACTCTCGTGGCTGGAGGTCTTCGCAAAGGTTAGCCAAGTGTCGCAGTCTTGCGAACCAACAATTCCTATCTTCGCTTACCTGCACACGAGCCGATGTCATCGCTCCCATCTCTGGGTGGATGACTTCCCGGGAGCGAACTTCCTTTGCCTGACACTTCACCGTTGGTCTCAACTCCTCCCCGATCATCTCTTCGGGCAACGCTGTTTTGGTTAAGTTCGCACGCACGCAATTTCGTTGGGAATGAAGGTCACGAATAAGCAATGGAAATTCAGAACTTGCGGATTTCATCTTCTATAGGCAGATACGGGGATTGGCCAGCGGGTGGTGTGAGATGCCCAGTGGCGCGGTGAGACGGTCAAAGGCAGTGGATTTTTGTTGTAACCAGTTTCTAACCAAAGACTCAAAACGTCAAGCGACCAGCATGCACGCAGCACCGTCAATGATGCAACAAGTTAACATGATTTGTACTCTTGGTTTTATCGGTAAAGTCACGTAGGTAAACAATGAAATTAAAATTAATGTAAATACAATTTTTATTTCATTTTTTACCTACGTGACTTTACCGAAAAAACTAAGAGTGTATGAATCCTTGCAGTCACGAAAGCTTCAAATCTAGAACACGATTTGTGTTTTTTTTTATTGACCAGTGTTATGATAAAGTGTCGTGACTTGCTGGATGTACTCTCCAGCTAAACGCCGTGTCCATTTAAATGTTGTGAAATTACATTACAGTAGTTTTCTTCACCAGTTTTCGGAGTGGGTTTTCGGGGGGGGGGGGTCACTTTCACCGATAAGACATCATCAGTGTGAGGGCCGACACACATTTGAAGCCATTTTTGGGTTTGACAGCAGCACGATGATATTTTAATACACAATGGACAGGAACGAGAAGAACAAAGGGCTCTCATAATGCGCATTCACCTTGACTCATTAACCCCCCGCCCACCCCACACTTTGCACAAGAGCACAGAAGCGTGGTCATCACATCTACGCTTCTATGGAACGAGACAGGTTCTTACTGGCGAAACGTCGTACTCAGACTGTAAATGTGGCTTGGCTCTCCAACACCGGTTAGTGCTGTGCTAGTGACGAATTGGTCACGTTCTGTTTACGCGACAACCCTTACTAGTTGGCTGTGTCGGGTGGTGGCGGGTTTTAACGACACATTTACGCGATCCAACCCAAAAAAACCTCTTATGGATGATGGGGGGGGGGGTGTTTTCACCATTTGTGTATTGTCGGTGGTCGCCAGTGGCCCACGCGCCTTGCAACGAGGGACCACTGCTCCACCACCCCGGTGGAATAACAACACCACGTTTGGCACGTTAATAACATCACGTTTGGACCGGGCGACATTTGTTTTGGCTGTCGGGTGGCGGAGGATTTACGACAACAGATTTGTCCACGATCTAACCCAAAATAAATATATTGGTCGTAAGAGCCTAGGTGTAATTAAAATAAAGCTTTACTGGTCAGAGTTTGAGCAATGCATTGGCCATGTATATTTGTAAACGTGGCAATTTTGTCGGGTGATGGAAGGTGCAGGATAAGTTTGGTACTAAGGGGCCGTCCATAAATGACGTCACGCGATTTTGGACGATTTTTGACCCCCCCCCCCCTCTCGTCACACGGCGTCACAAAAAGTCAGACCCCCCCTCAAATGACGTCACAAAGCTCTGACCCCCCCCAAAAATAAAACATGCTTCAAATTGCTTTAAACTATTGTCATTGTAGTGCGTAGTTAATGTGGCGTTGCACTGATGTAGGAGAAAACATTAAAAAGTATATTTAATGAAATAAAACGTGTTGTCTATATTTATTTAAAGTTGCGCATTTTGATGTGACGTCACATTTCTCACACCCCCCCTCGTCACACATCGTCACAAATGTCTGACCCCCCCCCCGCCCCTAGGTGCGTGACGTCATTTATGGACGGCCCCTAACCACTCCGTAGGCTAACCCAGTGGCAAATTCGGATCACTGAATCGGCTACGGAAACCTTGGTTTTATAGATTACTGTACTGTACACAGGGTGTTCCCGATGTCTTGTAGTTATCCAAAACTTCATATTTTTGAAATAAGGTTTATTTAAAACAGAAATTAATGTGCAAAGGGAAAACACTTACCGCATAAACAATTGATCCGATATACACCTTCTGTTGATTACTTCGGCAATTAATCTTTAGTACAAGACACTCGTTTTTTTATTTTGTGTACCTGACCAAATCTCACTTTAATGTTTTGCTTTTGCAAAACACGGGCTAATTTGTCAGTAACTCCCGAGATATATGGTATTTTAATTGTTTTGATCTGATCACTTTCAGCAGTATTGTTGTTCGATCTTGATTTGGCATTCAATGCTCTGTTAATTTGAGCATTATTGTAGCCATTCAGTCTTAGTGCTTCTTTAACTTGTTTAATCTCTTTACTTAAACTTTCACCATCTGACACTGTCTTTCCCGATGTATGCGCGATTTCTGTGCTGGGGGATGATGCGAATCTGCATTGAGATAGGCATCTGTGTGCGTTCCCTTTCTGTAAACGCTGTGTGTTATTTTGCCATTATGACCGCGTCCGAGCAAAATATCCAGGAATGGGAGTGTGTTGTTCATCTCCATTTCCATGGTGAACTGAATGGCCGGGTTTTGCACATTGAGATAATTAAAAAAATAATTAAGTGTATCTTTACCATGTGGCCAGACAACCAAAGTATCATCGACATATCTAAACCAAAAAGATGGTATTAATGTACTCGAGGCAAGTGCTCTTGTTTAAAAGTTTTCCATATTACAGATTTGCTATAGCAGGAGACAAAGGAGAGCCCATTGCTGCTCCATTTGTTTAAAGAAGTCACCTCTCCACACGAAATAAGTGTTATTTAGACAACGGTCGGCTAGTTTTGGAATATCTTCTGGCAAACCTGTCTTCTTTACCAGAGCATCAAGTAATTTAAGTGATACTCTTTGGTCACGTAGGTATAAAATAAAATAAATTACGACGTTTTGGGCGCAACACAAACGTCAGTTATCAAGATTAATTTCAGTGACTCGTTAACTGGAACCTACCTTGATACAGTAAGTTTAGCTGTGACGGTCCCACCTGAAGACGGAGACTTGTGTTGCCTCCGAAACGTCGTGATTTAATTGATTTATTTTCATTTATTATTATTTTATTTTATTATTTTTTACCTACGTGACTTTACCAAACACGTTCCTTCGGAGTGGGCAGGTAGGAACTTGGTTGGACAGCGCATTCGTGCACGACAGACAAATATGCACGACAGACAAATAATCCCTGGTGGGCAGTGTGGAACCTGTTGTTCCTACCTGTGTACAAGATAACTTGACTTTAGGTAGCCAGGCAGCCAGCCCTCTTAACTGTCGGCCCCTCCCCCTTGCTTAGGCCCCTCCCCTTAACCCCCCCCCCTCAGGCCCCTCTCCCTGACCCCCCCCTCCCGCAGCCCCCCCCCTCCCTTAGGCCCCTCCCCTTACCCCCCCCCTTAGGCCCCTCCTCTGACCCCCCCCTCAGGCCCCTCTCCTGACTCCCCCTTCCTTAGGCCCCTCCCCTGACCCTCCTCCCTTAGGCACCTCCCCTCTCCGTACCTGGCAGTAGGTCTCCACCAATCAGAGAGCTGTATATATTATATATTTATTTATGCACGACAGACAGACAGACAAATAATCCCTGGTGGGCAGTGTGGGACATATTGTTCATTAATTGTTTTGCCGACAGACCTGTTCTTCACCTGAGGACGGCTGCTTGCTTTGTGGCCGAAACGTCGTGAGAATTGTATTTTATTATGTTTTATTTTATTAATTTATTATTTCTCTTCTACGTGACTTTACCGAAAGAACCAAGAACATATTGTTCCTTCCTGTAAAAACCTAAGCGTACCTCCCCCCCCCATATTAAATCAAGAATGGTTTCACCCAGTCGCCAGAGAAGGGGGGGGGGGACGTCTCGTCCAATCAGAGCGGCTGTTGTTGGGGGGGGAGCCACCGACCAATGAGAGGGGCGCGTTTATATCGGCGTTCATCATGGCGCCGGAGAGCGGCTGATCGCATTCTCTGCTCCTTAAGCGCGACAATCGATAACAAATTGTAAATAATAACAATTACCAGCGTCGCGATTGGCAAACAGAATTAGTCACGCGGTTTTAATCGTCATAAATAGCGTCGTCAGTTTCATTTTTAAACGTCGCGAGGAGCGAACATGGTTATGTTGAAGTTGAGCGAGCAGGTGAGAGAAGCGCGAATCGAGATTTGTTTTGAATGAGATGTCCCTCAGATGTTGTCGCTTACATTTAAAATCGTCCGAGGAAACGTACGAATTGCTGGTATTGTTGTCGATGTGAATGCTGTTGATAGGAAAGTGCTGAATCTGTGGAATAACGGTGTCGCTTTGTGCATAACGCGCGTGTTGTTGTGGCATTGTGTCTGTCTCTACAGTAACTAATGATGGCAAATACGACATTTAAACGCCTTGCTACGTATCGTGTTGTTCTGAATGTTATTTCACTCCTCTGCAATCGGGGCCATCGTTATGATTGTAATACTCGTGCTATCAATCCTGTTCGTTACGTAGACCGTTGTATAAGCAATGCGCGTGCTTTCAATTATCGTAGGGTCTAAGGGTTGACATAGGAAAGCCATCATTGCAATCTCTACATGGTAATAAAATCGGTACCACTTTGTGCGAACTCGTCAATGGTTGTCAAAGCTGGTCCCTGCCACGGGAATGTGGAATTTCCACCCTTTTGTCTATCCACTGCTGGATGAGGGCCTTCTTACGCCTTGCTGATTGCGGAGGCCGTTTGGCCATACTTCACCCCGGCTGGTCAGTGCGGATCGATAACGGGGGGCAGCATTGCCGTGTGTAGTATTATGCAGCTGGATATAAACACAAGCTGTTTGTGGATGGTGGGCCGCACATCCAGGCAGTGTCCAAGCTCGGACCTGCTTGGCTTTCTAGGTCCGACCAGATCGGGCGCATTCCCAAGGCCAGGTGATTTGTTTATAGGCGTCGAGGGCTACAGTGATGCTGTTACACCATTGGAACCTCCTTTGCCAGTAGCAAAATATGATAATTGTTTACACCATTGGAACCTCATTTGCCAGTAAAATATGATAATTGTTTTTTTGCCAGATAGAAGGGTAAAAAACCAATTATCATTTTTCAATTTAAAGCTTTCGTGACTGCAGGGATTCATCTTCTTGGTTCTTTCGGTAAAGTCACGTAGAAGGTGAGGACCGCTGCTTGCGTTGTGGCCGAAACGTCGTGAGAATTATTTTTTATTATGTTTTATTTGTATTACTTTATTACTTCCCTTCTACGTGACTTTACTGAAAGAACCAAGAAGACCAATTATCATGGTAATTGTTTTTTTACCCTTTTATCTGGCAACAAAACTGACACCTTTTTTACAAGGAGTCATGTTTGCATTGACCACAATACCTGCAGCCATAATGCAAACAAAAAACACAACTCCAGTTTTGTTGCCAGATAAAAGGGTAAAAAACAATTATTATATTTTGCTACTGGCAAAGGAGGTTTCAATGGTGTAAATGCTTACCCCGAGCTCTTCATACTCTGATGGTGCATTGTCTTTGAGTTGTGCGTCTTTTAGGCGTCATCTGGTCCAACACCATGTGAGACTAGGCCAGGGGTCGGCAACCAAAATGACAAGAAGAGCCATTTCTTTCCAATTCGGTACAAAATTCAGTATTTCAAGAGCCGCAATGCATCTATGTACATCCGTACATATCGTCAAGAAGCAGCCCGTAAAGAGCCGCATGCGGCTCCGGAGCCGTAGGTTGCCGACCCCTGGACTAAGCTCTAAGAAAAGCTGTCTCGGGTGTGGACCAATCAATTTCAAGGACAGTGCATACATTATCAGAGTTGTGTTTTTTATTTGCATTCCGACCGCAGGTATTGTGGTCAATGCAAACATGACTCCTTGTAAAAAAGGTGTCAGATTTTATTGCCAGATAAAAGGGTAAAAAAACAATTATCAGTGATGCTGTTGTTAACTACCTCGGCTGGTATACAGGAGGTCGTGGGTTATATCCTGTCCTCTGACGCCTGTTGTATATGTGGAGGTTGCACGTTCTCCCCCGTGATCGCGTGGATTTTTTCTCCAGGAGAACGTGCAAACTCCAGTTTCCCCCCTCCACATTTAGAAAACATGTTGCTTCGAGAACAGGATTTGGCTGCTGTACATGTTCACATTATAAGCCGCTTCAACTGGGCTATCATTTGTGGACAGGTCGCTTCTGAAAAATATCTATATAGCTCAGTGGGACTTGCCTGGTAAAATACAAATAGTGAAATAGTTACATTTATCTATTTGTTTAACTTTGTTTGGTTGAAATAACTAAATAGTGGATTCCTGCAGTCACGAAAGCTTCAAATTCAAATCAAGAGTTAAATAGTTGAATGTAGTTTTCACGGTAAAAATTTACGTGCTCTTCACATTGTGCCCCTCTTATCTTTTACAAGGCTTTTGAAAAACCATTCCGATTTTGTTTTTACTCAATTGCAGTAGTTCGTTATGCTGATGATAGCTTACATGCCTTTGTTAGTCCACTGCTTGATGAAGGCCTCTCCTACACCGTGTCGTTCACGGTGCTTTTTTTTTTATCACACTTGAACACGTTGGTTAGTGCCGGTCGTGAAGGGCGGGTGCCGAAGATGTTCCACTGATGTTGACTGGCCAGAAGTGGAAGCTATGCTGTCGTTATACTGGTAGGAACCTCCTGGTTACATCAGCCCACAGGGGATTATTGTGTCCGTCGTGCAGGGAGGGGCTGGGTGGGGAGGGGCTGGTCACCCCGTGGTGCCCTTATAAAACTCAACGTTTAACCTACTCACGGCGGCTTGTGCCCGCCCTCAGTCGGGCATATTTGCGGAATACACCACGCTGCCGTTGACCCTGCAGGCCATTGACCGAGCAACCCAACGTTACTACCAGCTCCCTCCGCAGGAATGTGTTTTACAAGGTAGCCTGATTTATGAAGTTGGTGACTCGTTTAGTGTCTGTTTACAAATACACCACGCACTCTGCATCCATCTCACTGGGTCACTTGGTATTACAGTGAGAGAATACAAAGAGGAACACATGATTAGCGAAACAAACGCAAGCTATGGAGATCATTCGGACTGTTAAGGAAAAGTAAGTGGGGCTGTCGCGGTTAGTGGTGATAGCCGATGGGTGATTTTAGACTGACGACGGAATGGCAGCCAAAGTATAGCGCATACCCGATAAGACAACCATCCATGTGAACATCAGTTCATTTGCAGGAGTGAGAAGAATTGTGCGATCGTAGTACTGCTGTACTGCGAAGGCTGGCGGTGGCATGGCGTGGCCCTCATCCAGCTGTGGATAGGCCATGGCTCGTGATCACAATGATGATCTTTGAGTTGAATGGTAACCCATCCGTTGTCACAAGCATAGCTCACATTAGCCGCTTGGCAATCCACAACATAACACCGACGACGCTTTGGGCTGCATGTACAAAAAAAGAAACTGGGTCAAATGAGGAGTGACTATGAGCCCTGAAGGCACCACCAAATTCCTGCTGCTGTTCTGGGGGTTTCGCCTTTGTAGTGGCACGGAAATTGAGAAAATGGCTTTGTTGTGTAGAATGTTGTTTAAACCTTAAGTGGGTTTGTGAGGTGGCCTGATGGCTTGGAGGTCAGAACATTGAGCTGGAACTGCTGAGATTCTGGTTTTGAATCTTACGTTTCAGCCACCTATGATTGAACTGGGTTCTCAATTGTAGTGAGAGTGAGTTTCCTGGTCTCACCCGGGTCACCAATGACTGAACGCACACGCACAAAAACCACCTATAAATGGTGTTCTCACGTGAATTGGCTAAATTCCAGCTCTGAGATTTAAAATGTAACTTTAAATGTCATGCGACGGACATTACTGTGGCAGCACGGGTGGGAAAGTAGCTGCATCCTGTGTGGAACAGAGGTCACTTGAAGCACGGTTGACTCCTTACGGTGCGATAGAAGTTCAACATATAGTACATACAAGGGATTTTGTAGGTAGTTATGTCTGATGACGTGATGCTGATAGCAACATTGGGATCAAATTGGAGCAAAATATCATTTAAATACCCGAAGAGTGGTTTGTGCGTGTGTGTGTTTGCTTTAGATTAGCGAAGTATGGGTATGATTGTGCTGTCCACGCATCAGAGTAGTGGGTATTGATCACTTGCCTCTTCGATTTTCGAGTCTGAAGTGCTGCTTGTCATTCCAAAATTATGCAAGTGTTCCACTGAATTCAAGCACAGCACACTCACAAGTTCACTTGGCCTCATGTACACATATTTGACATTAATAATAATTATGAAAATACCCCATCAGATATTGTGCTTTAATCAGAAAGCTATTTCCAAAATATTTGTGGACATCCAGATTGAGATGCTAACCTAGCAGTAAAGTATTGGAGGTGGTGTTAGGGGTTTGCTTATGGTCAGTGGGAAGGGCTAGGTATTAGTCGTAGCTTGCTTGTTAGTTGGGGGAGGTTATGGTCAGTGGGAGTTAAAGTCGTGGCTGATTGGCCAGTTGGTTAGGGTCATTGGGACAGGGTAATGTTTATGGGGCCTATTTACTCGGCCCTAAAATGTATTTGCCTGTCCTCCCTCTTGAAACTTGTGATTTGTTTTATTTTTTGTCCTGTTTTGGTTTCTGGTGTTTACAACATTGTTCAGTAATGTACACCCTTTGCATATCTTCCACACGAAGCCCGGATGAGAGGTCATGTACATTTTTCACTGTCTTCCACATCCTCCCTGCCTGCCTGCCTCTCCTCTCTCTCATCTCACTCCATGTACTGTCCTACCTCTTGTCCGCATCTCCATTCCCCTTGACGCACTCTGCTCCAGTCACCGAAACATTCTATCGAAGTTCCCCCCCCCCAACCTTGGCTCTCGTAGGCAATCACTTCACTCTCTTGTACTGCACCCATGGCCTGGACCTCTTTTCCTACTGCCATCTGTGCCTTCAGCTCCCTGCCCCTGTTGAGTTCCAGGCTCAAGAACTTCCTCGTTTTCCCTATAGCTATGCTCTTCCTCTTTTTCATCTGCCTATGACTGTATATATGAAAAAATCAGTTTGTCCACTGGTTATGTATGAAATCCTGAGATGCGGTAACATTTGCATGCTTTATAGATTCACATAAGTTGTATTGTTAAGTTGCCCAAGCACTGTATTCAATCGCTGATCTCATG